CGGCAATTCTAACCGTTAAAGATTGGGAAAATTAATATTTCTTAAAATTCTTTTTATACCGGGTAATCTTATCCCGCACTAGAATAAATAAAAAAATAAATATATCAATTAAAAAAATCTTATAAATCTATTTTACAACATATATATATTTATATATATAAATTGTATATTTTACTACTATACTCGTAATACAATATTATTATAATATATATATGTCGCAGCCAACTAGCTCAATTAGCCTTTCAATTAACAGCCTAGCCTTTTAACTAAACGGCGCCGTTTAACTAGCGGCCTGAAAGATGTTCAGCCGGTTGATCAAACAGCTAGGCAAATGACTTGGATCGTTGACGTTTCATTACTTGCCTAGCCTGTTGACTGTTAATTTAGATTTAAATCCACTACCACTCTCAAACTCGAAACGAAACTCTTCAAACTGTCAACTTTGATGGTGTTTTCCAAAGTTTCATAAAAACAACAAGTCAATGGAAGAGTGTAGTGACAATAATAATGTGAACTTGACTCAAGCAATTTAATTTTAAAAGAAATATTTTTTTTATGTCATATCTTTCATCTTTTTTATTTCTGCCAAATAATGAATATATCGTACGAATGGCCTAAGCATTACCAGCCAGTTTATTAAATGTTACAAACGCTACGGCTAAATATCTTTCAGGCCGCTAATAAAACGGCGCCGTTTAGTTAAAAGGCTAGGCTGTTAATTAACCGGCTAATTAAGCTAGGTGGCTGTGACATATATATAATTTGCGTGTGGCAAAAAGAATAAAAGTAGAATAAATGCCGCGGAAATGAGAGAGTTAAGATGTAGAACCGATGAATGGGAAGCTGCTTACAAGTCATGGATGTTGAAGTCGGGTTGTACGCCTTGTTGGACAAACCTAGACCAAATCCAGGAGGTACTAGAGAAGGGACAAGTTAAAAGTACCATAACCGACGAGCATGCATGATGAAAGTCATGAAAGTGGATGCAGCTAGAGAGGTATATCGACCTTAGCAAGTTGAGTTTCGAAGTATCTGCCTAACCCTTCGGGAAAAAGACGTAAAATATGACATTATTAAGTCCTGAACCCCACGTGTAGAAACACTTTTTAAATAAACTTTAACCTCGTTACGATGTTCATAGAAGTGACACCAGTTATTAAAGGTCACTAGATACCTTCCATACAGTGGTGTAACAATAGGATAGCAGGGCTGGCAAAATGCCACGGGCCCCCGAGTCCCGACCCCAGAGGGGCCCTGCTCAAGAGACATTATGTTCTATGAAGTGAAGTCTCCAATACGCATTGGGCTAGCGTGGGGACTACAGAGTACAGACCATTCCCTCTCGCCTAAGAGAGGAGGTCTATGGACATTAGTGGGACATATACAACGTGTAATTGAGTACGCTGAAAATCTCGAAGTTTATTAAAATTAAACTAAGTAGGGATGATTTTAACTGATAGGGCCCCAGATGGTATAGTTACGCCACTGCTTCCATATATAGTCCGTATTAACAACAGCGAACGTTTAATATCTACGACTTTTTCAACAATTGGCACAAAAAGTATTTAAGATAGCATTCTTACGAAGACTCAGCGGCTTAGTGTGATTTGAAAAAGATACTTTTGCTTTATATTATTAGCTGGGAAGCTATAACTCATATGAGCAGCAACTTAAATATGAAATGTAAATATGAAACCGCATAGTTGGCAGTATCGGAATAGTTCCGCTCTTTTCTCGGATCTAATTCATAAAACGTTGACGTAATACCCCATAAAATGTACTATTTATTACTCATGACTCAAGTGATGTTTCGTCGATGAAAACCCATCTCAAACAGATAGTTTTTCATTCAGAAAAATTATAAATAGACTATTATAACGAATAATGAGGCTCGTACGGTATGCAGTCGTCAAGCACCAAGATCTGTAACCTAACCGTGACCTAACAAGATACATCAATTTTATTAAAAAAAAACAATACAAATTCTTACGAATAACAAATTTTATATTATATGTAAAAGTATTTTTATGAATATTATGTAAAAGTTATTTTAAAAAAGTATTTTGTTATTAGTAAGTCTATCATCATTGCCCTTAATGCTACGGTCACACGCGGCTGCCTGGCGGGCTGCGCGGCATGCAGCCCGTCCCGGGCCGGCGGACATTCAAGCTGTTCACACGCACGCCGTCGTGTCAGTCAGTGCCAGAATTCGCGGCATTCACGTTCACAGGCGCGTTCACGGGCTCGGGCGTACCGTTTACACGCTCGTGAATGTGAACGTGCACGTTGAATGTAGAGTTGAACGCGCGCGTGTGAACCTACCATAACAGTTTGACAGTATGTTATGACAGTTTACGTCAAAACTGATAAAAATATAATTAAAAAACTTAATGAGTTCTGTCTCTATTCATTTAATTTCTCTTTATTTTAAAATATTATTTCTATAAAAAGAAACACTGAACTTTAAATATGATTTCTAAAATATACACTTTTTACAAAATTTCTTACACACGCATATTGTAATAACTCTATCGTTAAACACGTAACGTGTTGTTATGACGTCATCTGTATATAATTTACAAGGCTTGTTTAATTTTATACATTTAGAAACAATAAAACTAATTTTACACTCATTTACATAGTTCAAAAACTTTCGTAGGTATTCTGTAACTTTTAACAGCGATAACGAACTCGGAGATTTCATATGCAATTTTGATGAAGTTTTTTCAATATCCGTAGAGTTGATGTCGCGGTATAAAAATTATTAGAGTCGGGATTGTAATCGCGTTCACAGAGACCGACACCAAATATTTTTACAAATTTATACATAATTGTTATTGAAACGCGTTATACAGTTTTTGATGATAAAAATTGTTGACACAAGTTGATAGAGACTTTAAAACGTTAGTGCACGTGACATTATCTAAAATCCGTGACTATATAAATATTTTTAATTATTAAGTCATTTTCGTAGAACTAGCTAAGATAAAAAAATCGTAAAAGTTGTTTGTGTAATTATGATATTTATATAGGTATTTCGTAAGTGTCGCATAATTTTATATGTTTTGCGTAATTGCAATATTTTATTCTCTTATTTGATTTGATTTACGTGAAAGCGTATAATACATGTGCCGTTATCGTTCTATAACCATATAACTAATAAAACTGAACTCTTTTACAAAAAACGGGCACCTAAGGAAATTTACGTCGCAGTATTTAATCGACCTTATAGGTCGATTCCAGTTAATTAAATGAAATGTTATTGTATGACGTAGTCTGTATATTTATAATCGTACATCGTGATTTTGGCAAGATGACACAGCGTCACACAAAGGTTTGATACTCGTTATTAGGTTTTTACATATGTAACTTTATTTAATCAAATCAGTTAAAAAAACTTTGTTTTTTTGCCGATCACTTATTGTTTGGCCGTGTACATCGATTTTAAAGAATTCATAAAAAAAATTGTCTGAATGCACACCACGCGTTATAAGTATACAGACTACGTCAGTCAATTAAATTTTATTTAATTAACTGAAATCGACCTTAGAACCTAAACTTCCTTAGGTACCTGTTATTATGCAAAAGAGTTTATTTCTATGAAATTTGATACATTAAAAAGAGAAGTTTTGTATGATTGTTATATAACATTCATAAACTGAACATCATTTTCTTTCTAACAATTTGAAATTAAATCGTAATACCAGAATATTGAATTATAGCAAAATTTCATTTAACCTATTCAGACTTGAATGTTACTATTTCTGTCTGTGACTTTCTCTATGTACAGACTCGAGACAATGTGAAATTTATTCATCAAACTCACCAAAATCTGAGACATGTATGATTTTCTCAATAGTTTTGGTCACGAAAGGTAAAGCTTTGGTCTTAGTACAATTCAAAATAAACTTTATACGTTTAACAGATATAATCGAGAATTACTTAGCACGACTTTTCGAATGCACTACGCCTGGTTTGGAGAAACGACAAATAATGTTCTTCTTCAAGGGCTATTTAGTGGTCGCGTAAATCATACACAATATTTATTATTGTATTTATCAATATAATTGTCTGAGTTGATGTGGTCGGAAATTAAAGGCCTGGTTTATGTAACAACGCCATAGGCGAAGCGTAGTGGTCGCCCGTTTGGATTTTGATGTTCCTATATCCCCACGAAAATAAATCAATCAATATAATTCGATTCTTACAAAATCAATGAAATCTTTTCAATGATAATTTCAGTCTTTTGAAATAAAATTTTATCACATTGTAGGAGTACTCATGAATAAAACTTAAAATTAAGTTCATTATGCAGCGCGCAAGTACCTTATTTAAAAGAGAGAATATTTCGATTCGTAAGAAGTTATATTTCCTCTGTTATAACCTTTCATAGAACTGATTTCTAGCAGCTTACGTAAGAATATATTGAGTTTTATTCAGTACAATCGAAATTGAATGTGCCTATGGATGCCGATTTCAATTTTGCAAGTTTTAAATGAATTACGTGTCGTTGATGGAACACCATTAAATATTATTTCCTGTAAACGGTCGTAAAATTGTAACGACATAACTCAATCAATGAAAAGCGATTGTATAAACGCTACCTTAGAGGTGAAATTGTATGCGATACATCAGCAAGGGTCGTGCCATACCGTGCCAGGGCTATCGTGTAGGCACGGCAAAGGTCTCAACTATGACACGCCGTCAAAAGTACTAAAACTTTACGGCGAGGAAGCCAGACGCTTGGCAGTGTACTTGGAAATTTCTATTCAAAACGAGTGCCCAAAATCAAGCAGAGCATCTGCGGTGAGTAATTTCTGCGTGGTGTGTTCGTACTTCATATCACCGCACAAAGTTTATTCGATAACCGGATTTGTTGTCTTATGTTTTTGTGTTGTTGAAAATAAAGGCGATGTAATTTTTGTGGTTATACATATAACCTAATAATTATGTCAGTTGTCAACTCCAAAAGCTATTTTCAATTAATAACTTTTGTTTAGCTTCGCGCATCCGCACGTCCGCGCCCGCCTGGAGAAGCACATGGGCTCAAACCTGGTGAGGCTGACGGACAAGAACTACATGAACGAACTGGAGGAGAGGATACGAGCTGTCAATGAAGAGAACCTCAATAAGAGGATATCTAGCAGAGTCGTAAGTTAGACTAATTTCAATAAGTAGATTTTCACTGTTTAAGCGGCAGCATTACAATTGCGACTTTCAAACAAACAAAAACAAATCGGCAATTAAATCTGATGGCATATTAATTATGAATTTTCCATTATCATCAATTAGTTTAATTTATAAGCCTAAGGCTATCAGTCTACATAAACATTTTATAAGTCAAACCTAGAAAAATGTATTTTGAACATCTCTTGTTTAAATACGAACTTCAAAGAAACTAAGAAATTGAAAGTATTACGTAAACAAAATCGGTTGCTGAAACTAACCATCATTTAGTATATATTATCAGCGAACAGTAATTTTACAAAGCAATATTTTTGTACCACTGTAATAAAATTAGGAAAAACTACATACCAGGTGATGGCTGCCTAATTGGAAATAATAACTAGTACTATTTATTTTTACGACGATTACCTCCATACATTTTAGTGCAATGAATCGTTATGATTATTTCTTCAGTACTATTACACATACGAGTGCGATTAGAAATTCTCATGTGTTTTTTTTCAGCTCGATGAAATGGAGAGACTCAAGCGCCTTATATTAGTCGGAAAGACACCATTAAAGGAATGCCCGCCGGAATTATTTAATCATCCAGTTTTTGTATTTTGGAGAATGGTGAATAGAGAAGTTGCGAAAGCGTCGAAGAAACGAGCTGATGCGTATTATAGGAAGCTGAAATCGTCACAGAAATTGGATCAAGTAAATATTGAATGTATTTAATTTATATATGCTTAAAATTACCATGGAGAGTGTTCAGAGGAGTTGTTCGGACTAATACCTGCAGCTGAGTTTCATTATCGGCCATAAAGGCAAAATACAAATACCATCCGTATCACCTCGACGTCCATCGTTCCACAACTGAGCGTTACTTAAGACAGTTTTAGTTGAGCACCACCACTATGTAGCTGTCAACTGAAGTATTTCCGAACCAATTCGATTTAGGGTCCTTCAAAAAGAGCGTACCGGCAACGCACTTGCTGCCTTCTGGCAATGTGAGTGCGGCGCTATCACTTAACATCAGGTGAGCCTCCTGCCCGTTTGCCTCCTATTACATTAAAACATAATAACTAGCAAGGAATAAATTAAATACAAGCAAACAGTAAGAGCGTAATACACAAAATTACGGTAAAATATATTAATATTTTAATTAATGTTAGTAATTAAGTTGTAAGAGCGAGATAGTGTAGGTACGTGTACACTGGAACGTTAAAAGTAATTATGTGTATTGGAATATTGTTATTTGGTGTGATAATTGAAAAAAATGATTTCATATTAATATAGTCAATTGTCAATAATCTATACATCAATACATAAAACAATTTATTAAGAAAATTTGATAATATACTTCAAATAGATGCACTTAATTCATAATTACACGTGTTTATTGATAAAACAAGGTTATTTTATCATGTAAATATTATTGTTTTCCATTAAGTACTTTAAGATAATGCATTTGACTTTAAGCTTAAAGTAATATTTTTGGTTATTATTAACTCAATAATCTGAGTACATTTGGAAGGGTCAAAATCGAGTTACGACATTTGTACTTTGTAGAATTTAATAACAAGTTTAGCAGTAAACATTGACCTAACCTTACCAACCAGATCTAAAATAACAGCGCGTTCAATTGGTCATAACAAAATCGTTTTATACTCTTGATTTAGTTGATCATAATTAAAAACTTTTAATCAAGTGCTTGTGGACTAACTGAAAAGAACAACTGTTGTGAGACTCTCTGGGAAAAAATAGTAATAAAATACATTTAACCTTTTAAATGATTATAAAAAAAAACGAGACCACCATTCAAACATTCATTTTAGGTCTTAAAACATACTGGTGACTGACTTGGTCTTGCTATAAATAAACACGCAATTCTAGGCACTCGAAGAAGAAGCTGAACCCGAGGTTACGGAGGAAGAGGGTGAACAGCTAAGTGCAGAACAGTTATTAGCAAAATGTCGCGCTGAACTGGAAGAACTGAAGCAGGTCGACATCGAAAAGGGCGTTCGGTTCACTGACGAACAGTTTGCACTTCTCAAATATGAAACCAATGATGTGAAGACCCTGAAAACATTAACAGTAAGTATTTTTGATCATTACTTATTAGTTAATTAATTAAATTAATAGCGCGCACAAATAAACAAAACTAATATTTGCAACACAGCTTAACCTATTTTTGCATTGGACCTTTTGCGATATAAAAACAATTTAACATAGATCCATGACCTAAACTAATTTATAAACAGTGTGCATTTTATATTGAAATAGGATTAATAGGGTAAGCTAACATTTCCAGTAAATTACGGGAAAAGGTCACATTCTTAGGGGGAATGACAAAATTTCGCAATTCCGTTACTTCCGCGCTACTTCATAAAATATAAGAAATCACACCACAAATACTTGAACAAAAATGTACTTTTACAAATGTCTCATTGATAACTATATACTAAATAACTTCGTCTATAGTACGTATCCGAGACCTTAAAGTTATTTTAGTACAAACCTATTTCTGCAGCGCAATAATGTTGTAACAACCCGAGAGCCATTATAACTGTCTAGAGCCGTTCTTAGTGAATGCCAAAACTGAACAGTCTGTAAACATGTTTTATAGCTTTGCTATTAAATCTATTGATAGAACAATATCTAGCAATCTGATTTAAGGATTGTCTTGCTGTTCCACTGTCAGCCCGGCAAAACCATCTAATATCTACCTTTTGACCTTCTTTATCTCAATGAACGTACGTTTCATTTCTTAATTCGCCAGTGGAATTTTCTTTCGTGTGCCCGTTCGATAAAGGAATCATCTTCTTGAAGAAATCATCATCTTGAAGCAACCGGGACACCTAAAAGTCTACGCACCTTTTCGGCACAGAAGGCTGGTCTTCTATGTATCTAAAGAAAAAATATAAATGAAACTGCAAACCTCATTGAGTGAAACAGTTGTCGGTTGATATTTATATTAGAATAATCTAGTCTAAGTGCCAAAGTACTGTAAGCGACATCGTTGTTTATAAATTCAATTGATAATAGTAAACGGAACAGTTTTGTTGATATAAAATCCATCAGAGGGCTCGTGTCAAACCGGTTTTATCTCGATAGTGCCCAACTCATATTGACCCTTAAGTGTCACTTCACCACAAGATCCAATGGCTAAGTCCCCGATATAATATGACTAACTCGTGGATGACATGCACGAAGATAATTTGATATTGAACTTTCTACAGGTTACGCTTATCCAGTTATAACACGCGTGTCCGATCTGACATGTCTGACACTTTCAGACTCGTAAACGCCTAGAAGATATCTCTGCGTATTAATTTATCATCGTAAACACTTACGATCTTTAATAACGTGTTTGGATAATTAAATCATCACTCTGGATACATCTGTGTATCTCCCTCCCAACCACAAAAAAGGTAATGAGAACTATAACTTGCCTATACCAGTTTTAACTAGAACTGTTATCAAGGCTAATTACTTTTCGATATGTTACGCGTTCTCTTAACAAATATATAGAATAAGGGCATTGTAAGGAATGTGATTATAATGAATATTCAAATAATGACAAAATCTTGCATTTTCGTTTTTTAACAGTGGTGACAGTAACCCAACTTATATAAGTATCGCTTTCTTGTTTATTGTCTTGTAATAAAAGAATTTTGCCAACTATGCAATAAAAACAAAAAAACTTGAGTGATATTTTTACGACTTTTTGATGAAACTCCTTTTGTTTATCGCAATTCTTGTGTGAGAATTTTTCGTGGAGTATTAGGTAGTTATAAGTACTACCTCAGTTAATGGTATAACATTTAAGTAATCTATTATGTGAATACCACCGACCTTGTTGTACTTGCGGTACGTGAGAAAAGCACAAGCTCTGGGGTCACCGGTACTATATCAGGCGCTAACTTAAATCTTTAATTAGCGTCTGTGCACTTGAGTCCCATGACCAAAAGTATTTACTCCATAGGGAACAAAATCAAAGTTGGAGGAAAGACATATTTTCCGCCTGCTTCTGCGGCTTGAATACTAAAATTATTTTTAGCAATAGACTCCTAAATCAGGATTTGTGTAGGGTAATATCCACACACGTATAATACAAATTTAATGCAAATATATGTTTAAGAGAATGCCAGTGGCATTAAATAATTCTTTAGTAAGTAACTTTGTATTAATGGTCATAAATGAAAATATTCCTGACTTGTACATTGGTGCAGTCATTTTAATAATGTTTTATTAGTTCGATATTTGCTTTCAGATCAATTAGTTTTCAGCCCAATTGATTCCATTTCCAAAACATGTGAGAAGGTTTAAATTCGTCAGACGGATTTCACACAGTAAATGTTTAAAAAATAAATAACCATATGCACTTTAACGCCCACACAAAATATATATTCCATGTGTTTTTTTTGGATGTTTCCGTCTAGTTACTCATGTGTCAGAAGCAGCAGTAATACTGCTTCACTCTCAACTACTCATAGATCTTATTTCTTTTTAACCAAATGCTTTATTTTCAGACTGTCGAAGAACTTTACGCCTTGGCTGATAAAATAATTGGAACAAAACGAGTTTGAATATAGAAAAACGTGTTTTTAAGTGTAAATGTTGTGAGTTCATAACTTTTTTGACATTAATTTTATTGATTTTTATTTACCAAACAGTATTATTTTATAAGAATTTTCAAAATAAATTTTGTATCCTTAATTGACTTTTATTAATTACAAAAACATGAATCAGGTTTGTCACATATGCGAAGGTGTAAATAAAATAAATAGAATACTTTAAAGCCAATTTATTTAATATTCTTTATTCTTCATTGTTTATGAACCTTGACTAGATAGATATTTATATTCAGTTCTATTAAACAAACAGTATTAAAGAATGGTCATAAGTCATGTATTGTTACAAGTAATAACAAAATTCCTTTACTTTAAAGGACTACAATTACATTATTATGAAATTACATCTTATTCTTTTGAAACATAACACCTGACTTTAAACATAATTTTTATTTAAACTTAGTTTAACTAAACTAAACAAAACAATCTATGTTTTTGCGGATGTTATTAACAAAAACATTTAAATAGAGAGCCCTTGACGAAGTTTTAAACTCAGAAATGTTTCTTAATCTCGAAAAGTCTACGTCACAAGCGGCTTTTAGGTCTACGACGTAGCTGCGCGTAGATGAGTCCAGCTGGTTTATCTATGGGCTGGTATATGTAGTGCCGCGGATCCCCTTTAGTGACATTTGCAGGGAATTTCGATACATCAATGTTGAGGTAATGCTTATTCGGCATGGTCATACGGATCCAAGATATCTGAAAAAAATTGTTCAACAGAATACTAAAAAGACAAAGAACTGCTAAATTACAAACTGATAGCCATTTGAACCGTACTCTTTAATCATATGAACCTTAATCATGACAGACAGAATTATATCTCCAGACACGAGTAAACATAAGCTATTTTTGTTTTAAATAATGTCTTGTGTTAAATTATTAAGTAATCGAAGCAAATACAGATAAGATCCTTAATTTATTAGGCTTTAAATTTCTTGGGTCACTATAAGTCGAATCTATGATTTATTATATCATTGTTAAGTTTATCACGCACGCGCCGTTCAATAATTGAGGAATCTATCTCGTATGATTTATTATAACGAACATATTAAGTGCAGTCACATGACTGTAAGCTGATTAAAATAAGTTTATATAACAAAATTAACAGGAAATATAATTATCAATGTTGACAAACTGACTAGCCTTTGTGAAGTCATTCCACTTTCGGTATAGATGTAAAAAATTGGCACCGTTTAAATTATTAAAATTAGTAATTAACTCTTGTACTGGCGTCCGTGATATGGATATAAATACTTTAATACTGATAAAAACTTTTAAAACTCACCTCAGACACTTTTTCTAAAACAGTTTTTTCGGCTTGATATAATGTGTGTTGTACTGATGGTGAATAAACTCCTGTATCAGGAGGTCCGGCGAATTTATCAAGAATCGCGTCTTTGACAGTTAGCCAGGCATTGTCAAAATCAGCTTTTCTCATATTATCATATGTCCATTCTGCTTCTACGACAGTACTGTAAAGACACGATTTTAGATTACAAGATATGAAATGCATGAAGGATCTTTAAGATTCTAGAATCCGATGAAAATATTCCAACGGCTTTTGTAAAAAGATATTACAAATATGGGTAATATACCTGAAAATCCTTTCTGCAGCATCAGATAGCGTGGTGTATTCATCTTGAACAAAATCTACGAACGCCGACTGAGTAGTCTTCAGCACTCTTAAGCCGCTCAAACCGGCTTTTACTACAACGGCCTCTGTTAATAAAATTGTTATCATTAGTAACCAATTAATTAACAATTATGAATATTGTTAAATTAACGCGTGTGTTCTATTTATTGCGCCCATCAAAAGTTAAATAGGACTTGATAACAACACACATCGAGAAAAGAGCACAATAAATTCTTGAATATACACTCACCATGTCTGGCTTGAGAAACTTCACACCACCTGGTGGCGGCCGGAGAGAAGACAAAAGCATGGTTGTGCGGTGCGCCGGCTTGCAACCTCTCCCATGGGTATTCGATCACATGACACTTAGCTTCCGCTACTTGCTTATATGTGTAAAGGAAATGATTCACTACAACTGCACCGAACTCCTCTGGAGTTTTAATCCCATGTTTCTTCGCTAACACATAGACTGTGTTCTTCTGGGAGTCCGTTGCAACCACTTCTTTGTTATCACCAACTATGTACGCTGATTCCGATGCTAGCTTCAGTTCTGTTGAAACTTCGAATTCTCTGATTGCATGTCGTTCTCCATCTCTGTGCACGTGCAGCAATTTTACGGAGCTCTTTCCATAACCGTGATCGCTGAGCTCAAAGCGACCGCCTGAGTCTGCCGCCGCTGTAGTTGCGGCCGTGGCTGATACTCCTCTCGACGCAACGAGAGGACCACCTTCACCCGCGCTTGAGTTGGAAGGTTTCGCATAAATTCTGTAAATATTAAAAAATTAAATATCCACGCTAAAAATAAAAGCAGTAGCAATCAGAAAAATATATAAATAATTAACCTGTTAGTGCTTGTCCACGGCATTTTTAAAAAATATTTGTATTACTTGATTTTGAGCGTGTGCAAGAAACGCCTTCGGAACATTTAGTGAATACGAACTGTGATAAATCGTAACGGACAACACATTTATACAAGTGCCCTGTGACCTGTGTTATCAGCAATGAGCACGCGACTAATATGCAAACCTAACTTTTATCGCTTCGTGTGTAGCTTGATTTACTAAATCAAATTAATGTAAACAAAGATTAAAAACTTGTCAAAATCCCCACTAATTAGTACATTGCCTACAAAATTTAATCCAATTCCATTCTCCAATTTGAAAATCCCTCAAGAGCCTGCCCATATGAATTTAAAATAATAAAAAATTCCATAGATTATTATATATACTATTAACTTAATTCTGCCACAAAATCTGTTCGTTGAAAAAGTAGCCTCAATATACAGATTATATAGAGATTATATTATATACAGATTCTTAAAACTTGGCAACAATTATAAAATCAACTATTAATAAACTTAAAATTTCTTTATCTCGTTTACAATTTTAGTCGTCAAGAACGATAAAGTGAAGACAGAATTGCTATCGATTTTTCATCATTTTGGCCAGGTCACGACACCTAAACTTCTGATTTATCAATAATATTTTGCTTAATTGTAATGATTAAAATTATGTTGTTATTAAAAATAACTATTGCAAATCTGTTGAATTACAAACATGGGTTTTAAATTTACGTTTCATTTTGTAAATGTTATATTTATAATTACGACTTAGACTTCATTGTAATAATTTCATGATATTATGTTGTGTGTAAACGACCAATGTGATAAAGCGTGACCATACATTTAAATTTTTGTCAATATGTGCTTGACCTTTTTGATCCCACGTTGCTATGGTAACGCATACTTGATCGAATAAGAAATAATAGCGAGATATAATTAATTAGGTACTTTTGAGATAGACAACAGTTCTTATGCATCATAATAAAAATATAGAGTAAGTTACGAAACAGATAGTTAATGTGAATATTATATAGATTTATATTTTTTTTAAATGCTATTTTTCAATAAAAATACGTTGTTCGAAAAATTTAAAAAGTTATTTGAAGTTTCCTTTCATTAAATTAAATAAATCCTTTTTTCTCTGAACGTTGGTAACAACCAAATAACATATAATCGCTAAGAAAAACCAATTGATAACTTTTTTTTAGCAACCGATTTATATAGTCAGGTTGTCCGCACTGACATCTAAGCTAGCCATCTCTTCGGCAGACAATTGCCCATCTTTTTACTTGACGTTGATTTTTAATAATAATACTTGGTCTATGTGATCGAATTGAAACTATATAGGAGAGGCACGCAATTTTATGCCCTCGTAACATTTTATTAGGTTTACTTTTTATATTTACCGATTTTATGACGTTACAATAATGTTTTTTTACGATGGATACTTCAATCTATATGTGTGATGAATGGATATCGGATGACTATGTTTGCTTGTAGGTTGATGTTTAGAATTTAAATAAATGTAGTATTTAATTATTATGTATTAGTTAAACGAATATGATGATTAACTAACTAACTCAGAAGTAGCCAGCATCAAGAAGAATAAAACTATAAATTTAATACGTAAGGAAAAAATAAACACAAACACTGGTACCCTTTTGGACACTGAATCACTTCGCCATTCACATTGCCATCAACCGTCGCTTAGGAGTGTCCATATGTACTCCCCATAAGTTTCCCTGTGGCTTTGAAGTCAGTAGCCATGGCCTCCATTGCCAAGAGTGCAGGTCGTTTTTCTCCCCACGCCGCGCTCAACGACATCATACGCTGCTCTCTTGCCTCCATCAATGTTTCAGCCATTTCGGGCCAACAGGCATCGCTAGAGACGATGGCAAGCAGCCGGATGGGATGTCATTGATCCCTTGGAGCATGGAAGGAGCTTTGGCATGGGATGCTACTTGTGTTGACACGTTAGCACTGTCTCACCTCCCTCGGACAAGCACAAAAGCTGGCAGGGCCGTAGAGCAGACATAAAATAATAAACGACTCAAATAAAAGGGTCATTCCTCCAACATTAATTTTGTTCCCTTTGGATTAAAGTCTCTTGAGTCTTGGTCCGTGGGGTACACGCTGATTAAAGATTGAACTTGACGCCTGGTAGATAGTACCGGTGACCTCAGAGCTGGTGCTTTCCTCGCTCAACGAATAAGTATCGTAATACAGCAAGGAAATGCAGCTATAAGGTACACTGCCACAGGGACCAAACTTTTTATTTTTTTTTTAATTTTCTATTTTTAATTTTTAAATATTATTACAATAACTATGTACGTTAAGAATATTTTAAATACTGTATATTTTTGTGTTGGAAATAACTATAATATACCATCTGTATAATACGTGAGAGAAAATTGAGGTTGTGCGAAATTAAACTTCCGCCTACTCAATATTCTATCTAAAACGCTTGATGTGTTAATTTTATGATAGTAATGAACGAATCGTTTTATCTCTAAATACGTGTTCAAAAATACTTAATCGTCAGTGTTAGTAGTGTAATAGTAAACGTTTAAGAGTATGGGCGGGCGGGCATCGGATGCGCTTTAAGTACGCATCAAAGAGATATGTCGATAATTTCTTAAACAATTTTAAATCTAGATACAACTCTACGATTTGTAGCGGTTAGTTTTTTTGGAAATAAATTATATATTACTATTAACGTTGTTAGTCCTGTTATGTAAATCCTTTTTTGTTTTTGTTTCTTACTAAACATATCATTACCAACCTATGATACAATAGATGGAATTGTATCCCTCAATTACCCTTGTAATCAAATACAAATTAAGAGCAGAGAAATTTCTACGTCTGGTAACAAACGCAAGCCGGGAGTCGATCAGGATGTGTATCCTGCTGTTGCCTGCAGGGTTATACAACATATCCGTTACCAACATTGAGTATCTCGGAGTCGATTTATAAGTAGTAAATAGTAGTGTAACGGAATATCGACAAAAGCACCCAACACTATAAACGACGCGAAAGTCGTTGTGCGCAGGCGCGAGGGCGGGCGGCGCTGACGTGTTTCATCAGGGACAGCTGACGGCGCGCGCGTGACGTACGCACGTGCACGCAACCAGCGAAGCACGCGTTCTCTTCTGTGATTAGTGTTGTGAAATGATGGTGAGACGAAGCGGTAGATACACCGTCAGCTGGCGAGGCTTCAGGGATTTTTCAGCCAATAAACCACCAGACGACCGTAAGTCATCGCGTATTAACTAAATCCATGTTTTGCACGGATTTGCGGTAATTACCCCAAATCACTGCAGTAGGCAGGTTTCCTTTGGCTGACGTTAAAAGTAAAAGCTTTAGCATTATAGTATTTTATATATAATAATTTCTAGAACAGTCTATTACCTATGGTAAATTTTAATAGAAATCTAAGCTTTCCATATAGATAAGGTTGCGGGTGCTATTAGGATATAAATTTTTAACTTTAAATATTTTTAAGTAAGCAAATTCAATCTATCTCGCACTCTATCTATATATCTCTCTAAGATGTTGATATAAAATTGTGAAGGTGTTGTTTAATGTAGAAACTATATTATGTGTATCTTATCAAATACGTTATTTTCATTTATAACTTATCAAAGTTTTATATCGTTCATAAATGAGAAAAATCATGATTCAACTGAAGTCTTCATTCTTTTAAAATATATCGCGGAAAAAACTAAAAATAATCTTATTCGTTCTGATTTCGACTCGCTACACATGTGACATCATTACTGCAGAGTCATTCATCTTTCTGTCTTATTAAAGAACACTATACACTAAATAATACTACTACAGATACTTTACATATTATCATAGATATTAATAGACAAAATAGGTTGGTAGACGTTTTTGTAATATCATCGAGATACAGGCTATTTCACTGAGTATTTTCCATTTTAAGCACATACGATCACTCTATGCCTCTCTGAATAAAAGGATTTTAAAGATAAGAAACAATTTAGGAATAAAATTAAACAAGCCTTGACTACACAGAGATGGAGAGCATTGCCCTTAATTCGAGTACTGAGACTTTTATAAAACGCCGTGCAATGAAAGCCTACATCTTGAATACGTACGTACTTTACGCTTTAAGAACAAATAAAATATAAAAAATTACTTGATTATATTTCTAGAACACGTTCTACGAACAAACTTCCTTGTTATTTATTAAAATATTCTTGAAATTAACTATATAGATAACAGTGAGATAATATAAGCAGCTACCTCTATGTATTCTAAAGATTATTAACAATACAATATACTGTTTTCATAGAATGCCTAGAACACCACCTATGATCTTCATGCAAAACTATTATTCGTTATTTGAATAAAACCATATTAAAAGTGCTTTATGAATATCAGATATTGTTAAAAATCTCAACGCCATAATAATATACAATTAGCCACATAGAGCCAGATTTTCAGTAAGTACTTACGTACAGATATTTGAAGAAAACTCATAAACACTTATTTCCTAGATATTATTTTCAGGATATTGTATATTATTTTCATCAATAAACTCAAAATATATTTTCAGTATTAAAATTTCCACAAAGTTGATATATACACATCATAGATACATAAATCCCCTTGTACACAAATATATTTAGTTTTAATAAGAACGGGGAGACATACTCGTAGTACAAAGTTTATTGGTATTTGTTTTACCCACTGTCTGAAACAAAAGAAAGATCAATACGATTCACGATCCTAAATTTAGAGTCTCGCCTACTAAGTTATTATTATCTAAAGTTTAAGATTTATCTATAAAGCAATTTTTTTCATTGTGTATGAGACTACATTTTCCTTGAACGACTCTCCCATTGCAGAAAAAAAACGCCTTTCTCTATAAATTACAGCGTATAAAGACAGAGTAATACGAAAGAGTTCTTTAGTTAAAAGAGTATGTATATAAAGATAAAGATGGGATCATTTTATGAAGGGTTTCTAAAATGAAAGAAAAATGAAGTATCAAATTGTTAAAGAACACGAGTAAGAAACAGTTTATCTTTGCTTATAGAAAAGACTAGGCTCTTAAGCCCTTTCTCCACTGTTCCGGTCCGGCAAACGTTAATTACCGATCCGATTTAGAAACTCACAACAGTACTTACGTACTTCTCCACTACTCCGGCTTCCGGTTTTTAACGATCCGATAAATTGCTAGATCGGAACGCGGTGTTTTATCGGTCCAAGTATATCCAAGTATCCAAGAGGTTATAAATTATTATTCACAGGTTTATTTATAGTTTCTTTAATTTGAAAGAATCTGGATAACCTGGACCAAACCAAATTATGTCGCTATTTATTATTTTGTTTATACCATAGTATTAGTAAACTATTTATTAAGTAGATTATTTATTTTATTTACATTAATAGAATGTGTGGAAAACGTCCCTTGCCTCTGGGATAAAACAATAGAGGATTATAAGAACAAAATATTAAAACGAAACTCTTGGTACGAAGTTTGTAAGATATTGGAACCAAATTTTGATACACTCGATGAGAGAAAAAACCTTATTTTTACTGATCGCTTATTGTCGGATCGGATATAGTGGATTTTTTTCATGACTCATTCCGGTTTCCGACGCCGGACCGGAGCAGTGGAGAAAGGGCCTTAGCCTTCATTGACCTTTTCAGTTTATCGAGGGGACTTGAACATTTTCTTCCTCTGATCATTGTATATTATTTTGCTAGATTTTTCTGACATTTGAATAAAGTACTTTTTAAAATAATTAATGTAATAAAAATTAAACTTTCGAATAAAGCTTCATGTACTATCTGAATTTCACAACATGGTATGTACACGGAGGCGTCAAATCATTAGTTCAAATATTTTTTTCAGAAAAGGAGGAACCAAAACCAGAAGAAGATTTATCAAACCATGATGTGATATTTTTAAGAGGCATTGTTGAGAGCCCTGATTTTGCGCGGAAATGTGAGGTAAAATGTCAATGGTTAAAAGTTTATTGATATATCATAATTGAAGTGATTAGACTAGTTTCTGAACTTTGAACAAAAAACGTTTAGGTAGAAAGTAGAAAACACACAAGCTTGGGATTATAAAGAAAGCGAATTATACTTCTTTTTATTATACTTAGTACTATAAATATTTTAACTTGATCTATAGATCTATAGAACGCATTTCAAATTTGACCATTACATAACATTGAAATTGTAATAATACATTTTCAATTTGTTTATTATCTTTGAAATAACTAACTGAATAAAAACATCAACTCTTAGTAAAATATCAATTATTATTTCGAATTACGCGCACACAAAATCTCTTCTTTGCTATGGAAATAGTGTCAAATGTTGGCAATTGGCATTGTTAGACAAAGGCTGTGGACAAACCCCATTGGCTATAAAGACTTTTAAAACTATTTTAGATTATTTAAAAGTAATTATAGAACCTATACAGTTTGTTATTTTTCGTTGTCTTAAGTATTTAGCTTCTAAAATTTAAATTAACATTAATAAAGGAAAGATTTTCTAGGCATGAAGTACGCTATGACGTTAAGCAAACCATGCAAACAAACGTTAAGTTTTTTAATTGTTAATTCAAATTCAAATTCAAAAGCCTTTTATTGCCAACCTTAAATAACATTACTTTAGCTGTGTTAGTATTTAGTTTTCTTAATTTATTGTTAGTATTATATTTAATAGTATATTAAATAACTAATTGTTTATTTAGTTGGGTACCCGGTTATGGGTAAAGGCCTCCTCCATATTTTGCCATCTGTGTCGGTTCTGAGCGTCCCTTGTCCAGGTGTTGCCAGCCATGTCATGTATCTCATCTCTCCATCTCATAACGGGATGACCTTTGTTCCTTCGGCCGTCTCTGGGATACCAATGAAGTACGCGTTCACTCCATCTTCCGTCATTTACTCTTGTTATGTGTCCTGCCCATTTCCATTTGAGTTTGCAGTACATTTCGGCAGCATCTATTAAGTTGGTTTGTTTCGGATCTCTATATTTTTTACTCTATCACTTAGTCTTACACCCAGCATCGATCTCTCTGTTGCTCTTTGGAATACTGACAGTTTTTTTATTTGTTTTTTTGTTAGAGACCATGTCTGGCAGCCGTATAATAGGCATGGTAGAATCGTGCTGTCATACAGTTTTTTCTTTAAGTGAATTGGTATTTTTTGTTTTTGAATATATCTTTGTTTGCCCAGAATTTTTTCCATGAGATGGCGATTCGTCGACTTAGCTTCTTTTTCTGTGAGATCGTCCAGGGAAATGAGTTGGCCTAAATAAATGTATTCATTTACATACTCTATTACACATGACTCTATTGTTGTAATTATGCGGTCGTCATTGGTCATAATTTTGGTTTTTGTCATGTTCATTTGTAAGCCTATATTTTTACTTACAGTGTTTAGTGTTGAAAGCATGATTTGTAGGTTTTCATGAGTATTTGACAGTATTACTATGTCATCGGCAAAGCGTAGATGTGACAGGAATTCTCCATTTATGTTAAGTCCACAATTTGCCCAATGTAGTTTCCTGAACATTGATTCTAATAGAGCTGTAAAAAGTTTTGGTGAGATAGGGTCGCCTTGTTTGACTCCACGTTTAATTCGAAATAGTGCCCCATAACTCTCTAGTTTTATTTTTGGCGTTATAGTCGTCATATATAAGTTTTAATATTCTAATAATTTTATTATTTATTCCTTTGTTCTTTTAATGCTTTCCATAAATGTGTTTGTAAAATCGAATCAAACGCTTTAGTATAATCAACGAATGCCAAGTAGATAGGTTTGTTATATTCTCTGCACTTTTCAATGCACTCACAGTGGTCCATCCCATAGGTCATAGGGCTGAAATGTCGATGGTTGAATTATGACGTCATTTATCACTACAGGGTAACAATACCCTTCTACCCCCAATATAAAAACAATTACAATAACATGAAAGGATCATTTCATTTTGTGCAACCAAGTGATAACATTCCAATAGTGCTAATTAGCGTTGTCTTTGTCTGGCAAAATTTCTATTGTTTTAAAGTGTTGTTTTCTCGAAATTGATTGTTTGTGATAATTTTTTGCCATGGATATTCAAATAAAGGTATGTACGACATTTTTAATCCTATTGTGTTTACTTTAACCGTGTCGTTATCTGTAATCAGCACCATCAAGAAAAACTTATTTCTTTGAGTTTTACCGCTTCCATATTTAATTAGACTTTTACTTAGAAGGAACAATCCCCAAAGATGAAACATATATCAAAATAATCTCTTGTTTGTCTAGTTTTAGAATCTGTAACATCTAGGTGCGCCAAAGTGCGCCGAGGATTGCTTATAGGTCATGACAAAGACAAAGTCGTATATAGGTAAATTTGATACCTTATAATTTTCATTTCTTTTATTCTGTAGGATCCATCATCAAGTATTCTTTTCCTCGAATGCTTGTCCTAGACACGTGGTTGAATGCGACAAGTAAAGAAAATGAGGCAGATAGATCTCGTGAAGTGTTTGAAATGCTAGCAAATTCTTTACCGGACACTGAAAATATCAAGACCGATTACTTAAGAGATTTAATTTGTAATCTCTGTAAACGGTTTGCTGCATATTGGAAGAAACTGGGGAGGTCAAAAGCTAAGCTGATTGTGTGGAGGAAACCCCGAAGTGGAGGAAGTGGCACATCCAATGATGGAAATACTGCACGTAAATTTTTCCATAACTCAGAAATTTCTGCCGAAATAACAGGTATTAAAAAAGATCTAATAGACAGATGTAGTCACCTTCTGCAGAGTCTATCATCAGGGTATAAAATAAATTCACAAAAATTTAAAAGTTATGCTTTTGATACTGCCAAAATGCTTGTTGAGGAATATCCTTGGTATAATTTGCCTTCATCTATACATAAAGTTTTAATGCACGGTTCAGAGGTGATTGATAATGCTATATTGTCTATCGGTGAATTATCTGAAGAGGCCGCCGAATCTTGTAATAAATTAGTTAAACTATTTAGACGCGATAACACTAGGAAACATTCCCGAGAAGTAACTAATATGGATCTTTTGAACAGACTTCTTCTTAATTCAGACCCACTTATTTCTAGCATAAGAAAGTTACCTTGTAAGAAGAAGTCTGTATTAGCAAAAGAAGTGTTGGATTTATTATGTACTTAAACTATATTGGCATAAAAGAAACCTGTAAATATTGTGAATTATAATGTTTTCCTATTATGTAAAAAGACGATGTTTTATATAAATCCTATGTTCAGTTTTCTATTATCTGGTAAATTTTATTATTTATATGTAAATTAAGCTATTTTCAGAAATCTATATATATAAAAATGAAACCCGTTCTTCGTTGTCACGACATAACATAAAAATAATGTATAAATAAAACTTATTTTATTGCTACCTATTATTTATTAGTACGGATGGATCCTTTTTTTTGAGAATATACATCTACCTTTTTAAAAATATATCTATTGTTTTACTTGTTATTATCATTAAAACCTTAAAACAATCATTTCTAAGATAAAAAAGTTAATATTTCATTTTTAATCCGACATACAACCTCTATGACCGCCTTTCTTAGAACATGGACCACTTGCACTGTGTCAATGTAAAGATATGGTCAACAGTTGAAAAATCCTTTCCTAAATCCGGCTTGCTCTCGTGGTTGCTGTTCGTCTAAGCTTTTACTGATTCGGAAGAGTAAGAGTGATGAGAAAAGTTTGTATAAAGTTGGTAGTAGCTGATTGGGCGGTAATTATCTATTAGTTTGGAGTCTCCTTTCTTGTATATGAGTGTTATTATTGAATGTGTCCAATGATCGGGTATTTTTTCTCTTTCAAGTATTTTATTAAAAATATTAGTCAGGTGTGGTGCCAATTGTTCTGCCGTTGCTATTAACATGTCTGTGGTGATGCCATCTTCGCCGGGTGATTTATTTTTCTTCATTCTTGAGATAGCGCTTTGACTTCGTCTAGTAAAAAGCAAGGACCTGTTCTTGATCTGTATCTGGTTTTTAATTGTTAATTATTATTATTTATTACATGAATACGCATACATTCTTTTTTGCTTAAAAACTCAGACGAAATTAAACTATAAGTATTAGACAAGTGAAGAAATATTACTTACAAGCATGCTACTTCATCGTTGATTCGACTAATATCTGAGCCCTTTTGCGTCACGTGAAAGACGAATAAAGGTCAATAATTTTAATTATTATTAAATAGCTGATTTAGTTTAGGAATATCAATCACCAAATTGCGGCGGCATTTTAAAAAAATGTTTAGAAATCAATTTTTTGACCTTAGATTATCTGTGGATGCGGACACTTTACGATAAGTAGGTTTAGACAAGTTTTAGGGTACCAAAATTATCATTTGTACAAGTTTATAGCTGACTATCTATCATTCCGCGGTGATACACCTTATATTCCTGGACTGTTATATCTTCATCATGCGTATTAATGGATGAAGTTAAAGCAAGCTACTTTTTTTATATTATGGCAAAGCAAGCTACTTAAAATAATTATAATATATTATAATACTTAACACAGACTATTCATATCGTTTATTATATACTATGCGCGATATAAACGTTGTCATTTAATAACGTTGACACTACAAGTCGCTATAACTGACAACAATGAACAGTCCGTATTTGACGAATACAAACTTCGCAGTCAAATATTAATAATAAGAAAGTGGAACCAAGCAGTGGTGAAGGGTGTGTTCTTTTGTTCTTATGTGATTTTTCAATAAAATTCAAGTAAATTATTTATTATTTATACTAATAAATAAGTGTTTAATAAGAATATAAATAATGTGAATGAAAAATCTTAACTTTTATATTTCTTTTAATTCAACAATTTTAAATACGCTAAGCGTTAGTGCCACGCCTAATCTTGTTTATGTTAAACAACTGCATTTCTACTGTTGTTGTTATGGTTGAAATAATAATTATAATTTACAGTCGATCGATTCTGAGGAGGATTTGATTGTGAAGCCTGTATCCTTGGACAATGTAAATATAATACGATCGCTCAGCGAATATCGAGGTAACAATATTCGAACAATCGAACAAGCTGAACTAGCTATATTATTATCTCGAGTTCATTTTAAGGTACGTGATTGATTAAGACATTTCATTCTTACCGACGAACTTGTTTCGAGTTTTTACACATTTCTGCTGTTTAAATGATATCTTACATGTTTTGAAAAATATGTATGACTAAGCATTTCAAGTATTTTTTAGGCTCTGATTGATGTACATGATCAAGTTGGTAAAATTTGGTTAGAAAGAGGTTCTGGTATTGATGAGAAAATAGATATAAAGGAAGGAACTAAGGACACTGCAGAAGCACTTACGCCAAGTCCAGATCAGAACGGAGACATGCCAGTTGAAACTGTTAAAGTTGTAGGTCTCCGTAAGGTGCCTGGTCAACCATTAGGTTTAACTGTAAGTTTATATAATCTACAAATAAAATATTTAAAATTTCTTTCTAGTTTAATTCTTGAACCCTTATAAACAATCTCTTGTGTTTTTACATAAATTAATTTGAATATTTCAGGTTACAACAGATGAACATGGACAGTTGATAGTGGCCAGAATTTTAGCTGGCAGTGCGGCAGCAAAACAAGCACTTCTTAATGTGGGTGATGTCTTACTGGAGGTGGATGGTGTGCAAGTGGATTCTGAGGAACAACTGAAAGAAGCTGTTTCAAAACCTAACGACAGGGTGACCTTGAAAGTGGGACCAAATTTAAAAGAAAAGAGTGCTCAATTAACAAATAATAAACTTAGTGTATGTATGACTAAGTAGCTTTATTCTAGATTTCTGTGAATATATTTAATATAACAGTTTTTTGTTTCCAGTGTTATGTTAGGGCGCTATTTGACTACAGCCCAGTAGAAGATACACTCATTCCATGTAAAGAAATAGGATTAGAGTTTAAAAGGGGTGACATTTTACAAGTATGTACAAACTTCTCTAGACTAAAATAATTTATTGCCTGAACATTTAAAATCAAATTTGGAAGACTTAAAAATTATTTATATTCATATTTGAAAAATTAAATTTCATTTATTAACACAAAGCATTGCAATATAACCAAAAACTAAGTTTAACTATTCATATTCAATATTTACTACTATGATTTCATTAAGTACTTAAATAAGTTAACTTAGTTGTAATTTCATTAAATTATGAATTAAATTAACTATTATATAATGTAGTATACATCAAAATTATGTTGTCTTGATTGTGTTCAAGGCACAAGATCAAAATCAAAGTAGGTAAAATCATTGTCATAATTTATCATGTTTCAGATATCAGATAGAAAAGACCCAAATTGGTGGCAAGCAAGTCATGTTGAGAAGCCTGATGTTGTTGGTTTAATACCTTCACCTGAACTAGAAGAGAGAAGAAAGGCATATGTACCACCAGAAGCAGATTTTGTGCATAAAATTAGCATATGTGGAGCCAGGGTAAGAGAGATTCTTTTACTGCTCCTCTTATGAGTTAGGTTTAGTTTATATAGAGATAATTGTTAAGTTTGTTTTTACTTTTTCCAATAAAAATAAACTGATAATAGAAGAAGCCAAGAGTCAAGTTTAAGTCAAAAAGTGGTTCATAAAAAATGTCAGCTAGGCAATTCATTTCTCATATCAGTTCATATCTATCATCCATATATTTTTATTTTTAAATCTATTGATTAATCTATTGTTTATATTTAAGTAAAATGTTACCTATAAGGCTCACACAATATGCCCACAAAACCAAATTTTCACTAAAAAAGTTAACTAAATTTTAACAGACAAACTACATACAGCTCTTAATAATTTTAATCAATACTAGCTTCATCACCGAAATCTTGAGGAGATAGGATTCCTACATACCCTACAACTTTATAAAATCTTAATTTTAATAAACCAAATCACAAAATGTTTAATCTATTTTTTCTTGGTCAGATATCCAGGAAAAAGAAGAAATTCGTGTACGAGTCCCGTTCAAGTGTCAAGCTAGAAGGTGCAGAGTTGGCACTGTATGAAGAGGTGGCTCGTACTCCGCCTTTTCTACGCAGAGTGTTGGCGTTGGTGGGCACGAGGGGCGTCGGACGGAGAACTCTTAAGAATAAGATGATTCAGGAGTACCCTGATAGGTTTGGGGCTGTAATCCCACGTAAGTTAACATTTGTGTAGGATTTCATAAAAAAACTTTTAAAACCTAAAAACTTGTTTTATGATATATATAATATATATATCAATTAAATTGAAATAATGGTTCATATTAATAGGTGATATTTTACATCAAAACTTACTTCATAAATTTTTATTATATTTTTTTTTTAGTTTTAGTAGTATTTTTTACCAAGCTTAAGCCTAATTTCTATAAAGTTGAGTGAATTTAATTTACCAGAAAGAGTAGCTTGTATAACAAAATTTATTTAATTTTCAACATATATTTCGCTCGGAAATATATATTCAAACTAGCGACCAGCTGCTGATACTAAATACACTACAGAAAAACTGTGAACATTGTATGTATATAAAAACATAGCGGCCAACTCCAGCTTCGCACGGGTATTAAATATATAGCCTATGTCACTCACTGAAAAAATGATTAAAATCGATCCAGTAGTTTTGATTTATTCATTATAGCCTGCGTTTGCTATGTAAGCGAAAAAAATTTAATTATTTACGACATCACTTGAGAAAACTGAAAAATAACAGTATTTCTCCACTATTTAATGGATGTTATTATACATATAAATCTTCCTTTTCACTCTATCTATTAAAAAAAGCCGCATCAAAATCCGTTGCGTAGTTTTATACATTTAAGCATACATAGGGATATACGGACAGAGAAAGCGACTTTGTTTTATACTATGTAGTGATAATGTATGTATATATTTATAGTTATTAATATACTAACTATTAACAATTAGACGAACCCACACATATAAATGTGGTAATTGCGCTCGCCAGATACGTCTCGACCACCTCGGCCTTTGGAAGAAAGTGGGGCCTCGTACTGGTTCGTGTCCCGGGAAGAAATGGAAAGAGACGCTCATGCCGGCCGTTTCCTTGAGTATGGCGAACATAATGGTCACTTGTATGGAACACATTTGGACTCCATAAGAGCCGTTATTAAAGAGGGTAAGTTTTTTCTAATTAATTTGGTAATTATTTAATTATATTTTGTTTTTATGTGGAATATAAAATATCTTACTTATGTTATATCACTTGTCGTCTAAGATCTAATTGCTCAACATATTCCATGCCTCAATTTCCAGTTTCCGGTCAAAGGCTACTAATACACATAGTTTAATCTAATTTAACAAATTAAGGATATTAATTGTCCATAATTAATGTAATTCTTTCTTGTATTATATATATTAAGAGCTTAGATTGCTATTCAACACGCCCACAGAGTTAGTAGCTCCTGTGGGCTTTTAAAATAAATAAATGTAATATATAAAATTCTCGCGTGACAATGTTCGTTCTCCTCCGAAACGGCATGACCTAATGTTATGAAATTTTTTATGCATATTCAGTTGGTCTGAGAATCGGCTACTATCTATCTTTCAAACCCTTAAGTGATAAGGAGTGTCCACCCCAAAAAATTGATTTTCATTTTTAGACTCTGAATCAAACAGTCTCTATGGGGCATAGAAAAATGTTCCATATATTGGCATGTAGCTACTAAAAGGTGGGCTAAGTAAAAAAAATACGTTAAGGCGAAATGAAGTTCGCGGGGGCAGCTAGTATGTGTATAAAAATCTAGAAACTCTTCTGTGCTTCTGTCAGGCCCTTTTTCGGACATTATAATTAAGCTTATTCCTTGAATTAATTTGCAGGAAAGATGTGTATTCTGGATTGTGCCCCACAGTCTCTGAAACTGCTTCACAATAGCAGCGAATATCTTCCTTACGTCGTAATGATTGGATCACCCGGAATAGACCAATTGAGGAACCTCACGTACGCCTCTAACCGAAATCTAACAGTAAGTTATTCTCAAAATAAGTATGACTTATAGCTAAGTTTTTAATGTCTTAAGCGTAGTCGCTTTTTATTAAAAAAAATATAGAGTGTAATTAGACCGCTTTTGAAGCCGGAGAGAATGTTTATGGTTCGGCAGTAGTTTTGAGTTATTATTTCGTCCATCAAATTATTGAAACAGATTTAGATGTATTTAATTACTTTGTTAGAAATCCTTTGTAGAATGATCCTTTAAGGGATTAAAGCTATTTACACTTGATATACCTTTTAAATTCAATGCCTGGAATCAGCAAGTATAAAAAACCATGGTAATGTGTATAAAATGATATAAAAACAATATACTAAACGGTCTCCAACGCTGAAATACCAATTCGGTGGGTGAAATCAGTAAAATAATTTCTTATATACTCTATGACTGACTATTTCATTAAATTTTTGAAGGAGCTACTCAGTTTTTGCTGATCGGTAACAATTACTATTTCGCCGGGAACAAACCCAGGACCTTCTTATTAATTACTAGCTGACCTGGCAAACGTCGTTTTGCCATGTATATCATTTATAATAAAAAAATAGGGGTTGATCGTAGAGGGGTGAAAAATAGGGGTTGTATGTATTTTTTAATGCTGTATCATAAAAAAATAAAATCATTTATTTAAAAATTATAAAAAAAGGGGTGGACTACCCTTAACATTTAGGGGGATCAAAAATAGACGTCTGATTCTCAGTTATACCCAATATGCACACAAAATTTCATTAGAATCGGTCAAGCCGTTTCGGAGGAGTTTAACCACAAACACCGCGACACGAGAATTTTATATATTAGATTAATATGTTATATACGTTAACTAGGCCACAGGCCTAATAACTTGCTTGTTGATGTTTTTAAACATTTTTTGATTAAAATTAAGTAAAAATATTTGTCATAATAAAGAGATAGTAACATATTCTTTTTATCTGGAGTATTACTTTGATAAATTGATAATGTTAAACAATATATTTTATTGCTATTTAAAGTTTTTAAAATGCATGACTATGTCATTGTTGTTCAAGAGTTTAATCTATAGATATTTAAACAGTAGTTACTGATTTTGCACGTATGACTTCATTTGATGCCTAATATCAACACAGCTAACGTTGAGAGCCAATTAAAATTCATACGTGCAAAGCCTGCGTAGCTAGAGTACGATAGTATAGCCGAGCATGTGTGTAGTTCGACCGGCAGAGCTCCATCCGCTACAGCTCAAGACGCGCGCGCACGCTCGAGTCGCTCGCATCGCTTTACGAGGTACGTACACATACTTTACATTTATTATTATTAAAACTGACAACTTTAAATTTATAATTAAAAATGTTCTGTTAATCTAAAAAATTAATGAGTTTTTGATTATTGTAATTTTGAAGGAATGCACGATATTGTTAAGGCAATATTTTTTGTTTCATTAATAATTTTCCTTCATATGCGAGGGTGTGATCAGCTGTATGTGTTCAAGAGGGTAATTCTCTTTCTATTAAATAAACGCGGGCCCTCCTGGGTGTACAGAAATAATATTCCACCAACATGTGCCAGCTAAACAACAAAAACGATATTAAAATAACAATCAAACGATAACATTTAAGAAAACTCTTCTATATTGATAACATGGATTATTTGCATGAATTTTTTGAAATCGCCCTTAATAAATAATTTAAATTTATATATTCTATACTGCATCAAAAAATAAACTTCGACAGGAGGAAGACTTAAAGCAAACGCTAGAAGAAAGCGCCCGTATTCAAAGACAGTACGAGAAATACATCGACTTAGAGATAATAAACACAAACAATGATACCACTTACTCTAAAATAATGGATGCGCTTCACTCTCTATCCACTGACCACCAATGGGTGCCTGTCAGCTGGATTTACTAACATTTCTCATGATATATAGCATTTTCATAAGCATAATCGCCTTAAAGCGTTTAAAGAGACTAGGGGCAATCGCTTTAAGAACGGGTGAACTTTTTGCTTATTCCAAATCTATGAATTTTCCTTAGAAGAAAAACTTAGCTAAATTTAATGAAAATGTCGCCTCGCAACTTTTAATACCTCCGTTGCTTTCCTGCATTTTCGAAAATTAAGACTTTGTAAAACCATATATTTTTGTATGGAATTGCGCTTTTGAAAATGCTATCTTTATGTTAAGATTATACACATATATTATGTTTAGTAAATAAATATATACTGATTTAAATACAGCACGATTAAGAGATTATGTAAACATCACATTTATTCTGTACTTTTTAAAGTGCAATAATAATTATACATCTTCTCAATAGAATACAAACAATGTTTTACAATTAGTATAAGAAATTTGCAGCTAAGCTATCAGTAAAATGTGCAATGTATGCCGAATACCTGAAGAGTCCGAATATTTAAGGGCAATGAAGCAGATATCAGTGTTTCCATCGCATAAGTAACGCCATCTTTCTGATTTCCTAAGTACTTCCCCTAACTCGGCACTTCTCGCCTTATTCATAAACATAAATTGTCTTATTATTTTGAGTTTCATTTTTTGTTACGTGATAAAAAGAGATGTTTTCATCACAACTTTATAACATTGTAATGGGACAATTTTGGTCAAGAATAAAATTAGTATATTATATTCAAATGCTTGTAAAAACCTTTGAGTAGCGCTTTGTGGACGTAATTGGAATTAAAATCCAGAAGTTACCTAGTCCTCTTTCGGATCGGTAGTGGACTATATCAAATGTATGGAAATCTTGTGTGGTCACTAAAGTTCTCATGGTTATTCGTATGTTACTTTGCGCTAAAGTTTATTAATTGGGTTTACATGAAAAATAATTCTAAATCTTTAAAATTGTATATTATTTATAAGTTAAAAACATGTGTCATTTATGGTGTTCAAATCCCACCAAATTTTCTTAAAAATGGTTGCCAGATCTAAAATCTAGATCAATTTATAAATAGAATCTGAAAACGATATAAAAATCTTATAATACATATTACCAACCTTAAGTTAAGATTTTTTGTATATTTAGCTTTATCTAATATAGTTTTGCATTTAATAAGTTGTTAATCGCTTATGTATGAATTTAATTGTATACTTTAAAAGCACAAGTAATAAATAAAGACATCACAGTGCTATCACAGACATATTTGTGATAAACCAATAGATTAAGGTTTAAGTAAGTATTTCTCAATTAGCTTTACAGATAAAGTATTAAATCGAAGATGACAATCATATTCATAAGCCACATGTGGATGCCGAATTTACCTTTTAGTAGCATGATTTTATTAAACCATTCGTAGTGATGAAACAGTCCTAAAGTCAAGAGTATCAGAGTTTAGTGAAATCTGTAGACAGCATATCCGAGTTGAGAGTTTAAGAAACATCGACGATTCGTAGCAGTTCGTATTTTGCATTTTGTTGATAGAGTGTTTTAGTAAAATTATCTTGTTTAAACTTACAAGAAATAATTATCAACAAGTTTTTGACAATAGACTTTCTAATATGTTATTTTTATTTCCGTTGCTGTTTCGCTCACGTTATTTATGTTTATATTAATTTTTGCACAGACTTGTGATATATGTATTAAAATGCAATGAAATACAATGTCTGTAAGGTTAATTGTATGTAATTGAAATCGCTTACGCATAGTATAAGCCATATAGATCAGAATCTCACATTCCGTCCATTTTGTTTTGTTATTTAGCTATAAATTTTATTGTATCGAGAATTTTTCAATATATTTTACAGCAAAGTGCTTTATTTTATTTTTTGCTTTATATCAATAAAAATATTGCTAATGCGCTATATTTATTTATCACTGAGGGCCTTTTCGACTAAATAAAAATAGTATATTTCATTACAAGTGCGGAAAGCCTGTCATTGCAAAGAGTTTCGACAAATGTCTACCCGAGCCGAGGCGCAGCCGAAAGTGAGGGCTGACAGTCGGAACAAGTTGCAATGACGGTTCCGCACGTGTACTGGGGCCTTAGTCAAGATGCCTTAACAGTAGTGTATGTAGAAAGTCGAAAACTTAATTTGTATGGAAATGACAGTTCGTGTCGAAAAGTTTTCATACAAATTTAGTTTTTGACGTTCTACATACACTACTGTTAAGGCATCTTGACTAAGGCCCCTGAACAACTATTTTTAATACAGTTGCGAAAAAATTATGCAATTTAATAAAATAATAAAAAAACAATAAACTCAACTCACTAATCATTTATTTCTTATACAAATTATTGTTCACATATACATTGGTACAGTTTTTTATACTAACTGGAGAAGTTTTAGGTTGCATATTAATTTACTGTTTGAGACAAACTATTATTTATTTCGTATGATTTTTCATGTATATTTAATATATAATATAACAAACAACTAAACGCGCAAAGAACATTATTGGAAAATGGCGCCAACCGTAAAAGAATATAAGCAGATTTTTTTTTTCTTCACCCATTCTGGGTAGGCAAAGGGAACTATGCCCATACAGCCAAGTCTTCAGTACAATTTTTTATTGATATGAAATGAAATCTAACCTAACTCATTGAATCAAATCATTAAATCTTATATTGAAACAAAGCAGTAGCTTCTTTTTAGAAATATTTGCATGAATCATAAAAATTTCTATGATTTTTTTTTTGTAAAAACTTCGTGGTTGGTTTTTTCTTTTAAATAGACATTATTTTGACAGTTGGGAAAGAAAACGCACTAGTTCGGAAAAGGTAAAAAAAAAGCACGAGTGTGTAATAGCACACATCCCGAACGCTATACGTCCCTGCAATACGCCACTTTTTGAGCAACTGTATTAAAAAAATATTTTTATGTTTTGAATTTTATGTAATTCAACAATTATTATAAAAGGGTGTGAAGCTTTACAATAACAACATTGTTATGTGCTCTTTCGTTTGTATGTATAAATAGCTGTTTACCTACTTCGTTCGAGTGGTAGAAGAAACGCGTTGTAAGTATGTGGTCAAGCGATAGTTCGGGCTTAGTGTCGATTTTAATCTTACGGGAAGCTACATCGAAAATGAGTATCTAAATATACATACAAACTACTGTAATTACTGTTTATTGATAGCTGCATTAAAATTACATTTCGTTTAAAGGAATAAATCGTAGAGGGGAAGAGACTCTTGTACATAAGGATAAATAATTTTGGGACTCTAAAAAGATAGTACAAATGCTGTAAAAATATAATTGCTTCACTGTCAGTAAATGAAACTACTGATTGACAGCTGGCCTGGAAGTGTTTTTGTGGTGTCGTGCGGAAGTCTTAAAGATATTCGGATCAATGTGATTAAGGCCAGTTTCGTTGTTCACTGCTACTAAACTGTTTTCACACTCCGGCTTTTCTAAGAGATGAGGCGCAAGAAGCAGGAATAATTGCTGTAACAAAATATAACATATATAATTTGAACTAGAAAAGAATAGCAAGTATGATCCTTTCTACTATAATATCTGGAGCAGTCATATGACATTCAATTATACTTTTGGGGTATTCTTTGGTTGCTTAGATAGATTTATCACAATAAAAAAATGTATAGAAAATTTGTTTGAAAGCGCTTATGAAAAGCACTGTCAAAAATTGTCTCTGTTATAGGTAATCTAAATTTATTTCTCTACTTGTTTTACTGAGCAAAATAACTATTTACCTTACTACTAAAACTCCGAAAAAATATATAAAAAATTTGGGTACCTCCGCCCAAGGTATCAGCGGTAAATTAGCGAACAATGCTTGCCAGCCAGGCAAACCTAAGTGCACCAGGGACATCCGGAAATAGTGAGTAAAAGAGTCTGCCAACCAACCCCAAGCACCATCTCGCGTCACGAGCCACACTGACCAACTTCCACCCGTGTATATAAGACATACCTGTGGTCATTGTTACCTTAAGCAATTAATTGTCTTTGGCCAGAAAAAAAAAGATTCTATATACAACATGGATATGGAGAAATAGATAGAAAAAGTTATGACTCAATTTATACGCCAAAGATCGATGGCCTGTTGGACTTAATATGCCCATTTATTTTATTACTAAGACTCAGCGCCCTGTGATTAATTAGATTGTAGTGCAAAGCCTTCCTAGATATTATCATTTAGCACGTTCAACTACACATTCTCTCCTAATACTTATTATCATATATTTAAAGCAATACTTCTGGGATAGTCACCTTAAATTATCTCACCTTACCAATATTGCGGCACAAATCCAGCTCAAAAACTTTACTTTTTGTGTTAAGTATTGGACGAGGTCCCGACGTTTGTCTTGTAAGAGAGAAGTCCAAGAGATCCTTTAAAGCCGGTGTCAAGTATAATTCATTCAGTGAGTTTATCCGTATAGATCCAACTGGCAGTATTTCGTCGGCTGTATATGAAATATGATAATACATAAGCAATGGTGAGGTGTGATTGTAAGGTATATACATATCTTAAACATGAATATATCACTATACAAATAGATATAAAAGAAGTACTAGTCTTAAAATATAATGATTGTATCCATATACACAAAAACCTTATTTAACTAATCAAGATTTATGATTAAGAGCTGGAGTTCAAAAAACATTTCAAAATTGTATATTTATTTCGTGTGATGTCCTATATCCTTGTTCTTAATTCCTAAAAGGCAAAATAGCGATAGGGGTCTGTTTGTTATCTTCTATAAAAAATATTATTCATATATATTTATCAATAAAGCAATCTAATTACCAGAATATTTGTAGTGCCAGGTAAGTTGAAATCCATCTGTTGAGTTATAAAAATTTCGGAGATCATCGGGCAAAACTGCTGAATGTTTTTGCTCCCAATTGGATATAATTATGCGATCGCATGGTGTCCTCCTTTCAACAGCAACGTTAGATATACGGGGGTCAGATTCTGAAATATTAAATTGTGGTAAGTACGGATTTGCGTATATGAAGCCGAGTTAGATTAGAACGGAAACTTATGAATTATGGTAAATTTTTTTTACGTAGGTACGATTAAATTAATAATATACATACTAATTACCTATGTTTAACAATATAAGCCCATGTAACAATAAAAAAAATTGTGGGATGATATTTAGTACATAGAATTTATTCTATGTACGTATATAGGTAGGTATAGGAAATAAAGCGGACGTTACAAAAACACAATTTCTTAATAGAATTCATTTCTTCATTCTGATCTTTCCTATTATTTAATACCATATAATATTTGGTAATTACTTAATAATTATTATTCAAGGAAAAAGCAATATACAAAAATCAATCGTATTTTATTTCTGTGTACTGTGTACCAATTAATATGTAGTTATAATTATGCATAGTCGACATCACAGGAGACCGAAGACCTGGCACCTACCGTACAAATGTACATTAGTCTGCAATTCAAGTTATTCGGACTTATTACTAAAGGGACTCCTTATGATATATTTTAGTTTATGTTAAGTTTAGTTATTTATTTCAATGTATATTATTTTATTATTAGTATAATTATTAATAACCGTGACATTTATTGTTAAATAATGTGAACATTGCCACCTGTCAGTTTTCAACAACTTTTAATATTAATTATTAATCACGTGACTTAACCTCTGCGGGTTACGCCGTTTCGTGTTCGACAAATAATACAAATAAATTTAGGAAGTATTAATAATTAATATACAAATGACTGAAATAGTTATTTACGATAATGACGACTATATATAATTCAAATGCTGGTATTTGTTATGTAAAACAAGAGTTTATTATACAAAGACCTAATAAGACTGAAGATACGAAAACTGAATGCCAAAATGCTTCAGGTAAAAGAAAATTTGATAATAATGAAGTGGATTGTGATATCAAAAAGATTAAAAACGATGAAATAAATAGTACAAATAGTCATAAAGACAAAGTTAAGAAACGAGGTCAAAATAAAGCAAGGCCAAAAACCTTTCAGGATGAAAAAGAAAATAAACCTTGTCCAAGTATTATAAATATATCAAGCGACGAAGAGGCGAAACCATGTCAATATCAAAATTGTAAATACATACACAGTTACCTTGATTATTTAAAATTAAAAAAAGAGGATATAGGTAGTGAATGTCACATTTTTAATCTCAGAGGAAGATGTCCTAGAGGAATTGCTTGTCGCTTTGGCTCAAGCCACATTACAGTAGATGGATACAACATAGTAAATAAGGAAAAAGAAAAATTATGGTTAGAGGATACAAGAAACACAATGCAAACAACTTTACAAATACAACTGCAAAAAAAGAAATATGACTTCTCTACAGCAGAAAAATTAGTTAAATCATTAGACATACGTAAAGGTAAAAAAATTGAATATGACACCGAAAAACAGAATGCCTCTGACTTCACTGAAAATAAATGCACTGGGGTGGTAACTGATGAAGATGTCATTAAAACTTTACCAAGAGAAAAGAAAACTATTGATTGGGAGAATAAATTATATTTAAGTCCCTTAACTACTGTAGGAAATCTACCATTTAGAAGAATTTGTAAATTTTATGGAGCTGACATAACTTGTGGTGAAATGGCACTCTGTGAATCACTTTTAAAGGGTGCTAAGCAAGAATGGGCTTTAGTTAAAAGACATGAATCTGAAGACTTATTTGGTGCTCAAATTTGTGGTAATAATCCTTTTGCCATAACAAAAGTAGCACAACTTCTACAAGAGAATGCCGAATTAGACTTTATTGATCTAAATTTGGGTTGCCCTATTGATTTGATATATAAAAAAGGAGGTGGAAGTGGAATGATGCACAGATTGCCAGCATTAGAAACATCTGTTAGAGGTGCATCAACCATTTTAAATATTCCTTTCACAGTAAAAATGAGGACTGGTGTGTATCAGGATAAAAAAATTGCCCATACTATTATGCCCAAAGTCAAAGAATGGGGAGCTTCTTTGATTACATTACATGGTAGGTCTAAAGAGGCTCGGTATAGTAAATTAGCAGATTGGGAATATATAGAAACTTGTGCAAAAACAGTCCATCCTCTCCCAGTATATGGTAATGGTGATATATTATGTCATGAAGACTACATCTTTAGACGTGAATTAGCCCCGTCACTCCAAGGTGTAATGATTGGGAGAGGTGCACTTATTAAACCATGGATATTTTCTGAAATAAAAGAACAAAGATTATGGGATATAAGTGCTAATGAAAGGTTTGATATTATAAAAAAATTCACAAATTATGGATTGGAACATTGGGGCTCGGACACTCAAGGTGTTGAAAATACTAGACGATTTTTATTAGAGTGGTTATCATTTCTGTACAGATATGTACCTGTTGGTATTTTAGAAAGACCTCCACAAAAGATAAACGAGAGGCCCCCAAGTTACTTTGGGCGCAATGACCTAGAGACCATGATGGCCTCAGGTAATTGTTCAGACTGGATAAAAATAAGTGAAATGCTATTAGGTCCTGTTCCAGATGGTTTTATATTTTTACCAAAGCATAGAGCTAATTCATATTAATTACTAATAATAAATTTTATTAAAACTACATACCAAGAAGTTTTGTTACACCTAAAGTTATGTTTTCATAAAAGGAGTCTTCGGAAACCAAATCCACACAAAAACTCATTTCAAACTAGGCTTGTAAATAATTTGGAATAATAAATAGTGCCACAAAATAAACATCTTGGTTACCATAGTAACTCTACAGAGTAGCACAATGCTATCTTAATTTCAAATACAACTAGTTTGGTTTTTATCCAGTTACTACTAGTACCTACATCAATTGTTTATAGGAATAAAAGACAAAGTTAAATGAAAGTTTTACTTCAGTACTTACAAATACGTGTACCTTATACATAATGCTTACCACAAAAAACCATCAATTATTTTAAGTGATGGCATTATAATTACTAAAGAGATAGCCATTTTATCAAATACCTATGAATCTGGGGTCCATCAAATCAATAGACAAATTGATAAGACATTTAGTATTAAAAAATTACATATTTAATGAAAAATTAAATGCTGTCTTGGCTGATATCTGAAAAAAATAATATTTCCAAAGCTCAAGTACACTTAACACAAAAATCCAAAAAATCTATACAGAATATTGGTACTAAATATGTAACACACTGTTGTGTTGCAAAACATTTTTTAGTCAAAAGTTTTGTTTAGATGTTCCATTTAATTTCGAGGCACTGTATTAGTTAATATTAGGTCAAGCTATATGTCATTATGGATATTTTACTTAAATCTAAATATTTATTAATCAGAGTTGTAAACCAATATATGTAATCTATATAATATTAGTTATTGCATAATGCTTGTTGATATAATGCATTATTTTGAACATGTAAATTTACATATTATGTAAGTAAAATACATATTAACTTAATATAAGTGCTGTTTCTAATTAAAATTTTCCCAGTGTTACAATACATACTACATGTTCACTAACTGACACAACTATGAATCTTTTGAAATATGGTATGAAATACAGTACATCAACCATTTACACATGGAATGAAGTTATTTGCACTTCTGTAGTATATATCCAGTTCTTGATTTAACGCCTTCTCCGACGCCGGGAATCTCCATTGAAGCCATTCTCTGTAATAAAAATAAATAATATCAGAAACCAGCACCATTGAGTTAAGACAATAAGTAAATAAATTAGCTTCATAAAGGGTGTAATTTGTTGGTGTAACCCAATAAGTATCATTTTGAAAATGTTTACCTTTTCCAAACCAAATTTACTCAAGTGCTTCCTGTTAGCACTTGAGTAAATTTGGTTATATATACACTATAGGCTGTAGCTGTGTACATTCCTAGAGAACGCTGTATCATTATACTATTTAAAGCCTGTGTACATATAAGTGTCCTTATTAGTGTAAATGTTAAAGAAATTTTAGAAACTGGTTAGAGGTGAGATTTCATTGGTTTGAATGTAACAAACCTCAATCCTATTCACCGTCGGTAGCGGTTACCCTGGCGGTCATTATGGTACCCCACGGAGCCATTTGCCTGCACACCGTTCTGGTCCAATCCACCCCCGCAAGGTCTGCCGGGTCCGAAATTTTGTTGCCCATGGTACTCCATATTGCCGTCGGTATTGCTGTTATTAGGATAACCATATTCACCACTATCTTGGTTTCTTTTGTTTTTAGATCCGTAAGATCCGAAAACGGTAAAGTTAGCGCCTTGTGGTCCAACGCCGTCGCCTTTCTGAGGCAGCATGCGCGGCAAGAGGCTCCCGTGGGGTACGGCGAGACCGCCAGAGCCCAAACCGCCAAGGCCGGGCGCGCCCAAGCCGATATCACTGCTCGAGTTTTCTGAATTGAAACCGTCGCGGTCTCGTCCTCTTCCACGCCTGCGTCGGTCGTGAGAGCCCCGCGATCTAGCATCGGGCTCGTCACAGCCCAGGCCCCCACCGGAGCCTAAGCCGCCGTAGTTCGGCCCATCACCCGAGCCTAACCCGCCTCCGTAGTCCGAAGCTCTGTTAGAGCCGAGTCCCCCGCTGTGGTATTGGCTCGAACTCTCGAGTCCAGGCCGGTCTCTTTTTCTGGAATCTGAGTCTACGCCACCATGACCCAAACCACTTTGCCCGTAACTTTGGCCTTCGGGAGGAGGAGGGGGAGGCGGAGGAGGAGCGCCCCAAGAGGAGACTTGGAAGGGGGCACCCATCATCATGTTGCCGTACTGGTCGGGGAAGTATGTGGGTACAACGTAATTCTGACCGTTCATAGGCGGCATGGGCATACACATGTTCATTTGAGGATTCATTGTCAGCAATGAAGGAATTTCGTTAGGTGCTTGTTGAACATTATTTGTATTATCACTTGCTACATTGTGATTATTTCTACTTCTCGGCTCATTGCGAGGAGTCGAGACCTCTCGTGAATTAGATTTATCTACAGTAGGAAGCAGTTGGGGGCCGACGGGCGTTGGCAGCAGTGGTTTGGGAGTTGGCAACAACCCTTGGGATGGTGTCTGATTCGCTCGTTGAGCATCCTTGTGTGGACTACACTTGCCTGATCGAGAACGGGATCTTGAACGGGAACGGGAGCGTGAGCGGCTTCGCGACGATTTCGAAGACCGACTTCTGGAGGATCTGGATGAACTGTGGCGGCGGCGTCGGCGATCGCGGGACCGTGAGCGGGAGCGGCGGCGGCGATCACGAGATCGAGTTCGAGAACGAGAACGCCGTCCTCGACGATATCTGCCTCCTCGACCGCGGTGCCCTATAATTTAGATTGCAATTATATAATTCTTTATAATAAAATAAAATCATAGTGTGTAACTTACTTCCGAATGGGAACAAATTCATTGTTATTAAAAGTTAATAATTTTGGAGCAAGTTTGTATTGTATGTATTATTTTCACATATGTATTTATTATTTAAAAATAAACGGTCTTTTTCATACATGCAAAAATAATCTTTTTATAGACACTCGTTTCGTTCGAGTCGCGTTGCGCGCACGCAGATAAGTTGCAAATAGTGCGTGCGGAAGTGCGCTCTGTATCTTATGGGATGGCCGTATGCTTCACTCTTTATATATATATTTTGGAAGTTCTAATAATAATTTTTATAAATGGTGGTATTTTCTTCAACCCCAAAAAGCTTAACACGTTAAACGCCAATAGAAAAAAATAAAAATCGTAAAAAAACTTTTGCTGTAATTTGTTTATTATGATAATACAGTCAAAACCGGTTATAACGACATTGAAGGGACCGTATAGTTGCCGACGTTATATCCGATAGTCGTTATAAGCAATTCATTACACAAGTACAGTACTATGTATGTACATAGTTATCGATTAGAATAGGTAGGTATGGGTTATAATATGGTATGTTAATATTATAATATGTAACAGTCAAAAAAGAAAAAAAATATTTATTACGAAATAATTAGGTACAAAAGTAATCAGTCAGTCTGTTTTTTTAGCCCAGTCTCAAATATTTTTGCATTTTAGTTTCATACTCCTCAAGGTATAGTATCACCAGTATCAAACTGTTCGTTAAAGGCAACAAATTTTTGCAAAATCGTTACAGCTTAAGAGCCTCGGAAATCGTTGTTGGCTGAAACTCGTTCGTTGGGAGAAAGTGCGTAGGTAATAATATGCTAACTATTATTCAATCTATAAATAAAATTTAAAATCGTTTGTATTGTTTTGTTTTACTGAGACAAGAAGCGGTTGGTCGTTATATCCATAATATCGATAAATTTCGTCGTTGTAAGCGATATGTCGCTGTATCCGATGTTGTTATAAGCGGTTTCTTTACTGAATAGTTTACTAGGGATTCGGACGGGACCATACAATCTGGTTGTAATAACCGATAGGTCGTTGTAAACGATGTCGTTATAAACGGTTTTGATTATATGTATAGAAAATGAGTTTTATTAAATTCTGCCCATGGGTTCCATAGTTACAGCCAAATATTAACTGAGGTCACGGTCCCGCCCATAGAAAAGACATTTTCCTTACCCTCCCGTGCCCCCACCCGCCGGCCACCGCTATTCACTTCGACAGTTAGTACGCTCGCGCTTGCGACGATTGCCTCTGCTTTGCTCTTTCTATTAGTTTCCTACTAAATTTGTTTTCGCTATTGTGAACCCTGTATGCATGTTTTGTTATTGTTTTTCTTTCTGACATCTTTTCTCATCAACTTTTACTGTATTATTTGACAAAATTAAGGCTAAATATTAATATTTCTAAGGGTTGGGTTGTTGTAAGGCGTGCACTTGTGGATTTTCGAATTTTCTACACTTTGCAATTTCCTAGTTTTTCTAAAGATAAATTTTATTTTTCATAATATTGGTACACAACCAAACCCATACTTCTGCTAATTTTTGTTTAAAAAATAAAGATGAATTGAGTTAAATTCAACATTTTGGAACGAAGTTTTATTTTGCTTCTTTTTTAAAATCTTTAGATTTTTCAAAGTACTATCTAGGTACATTTGTCCCAATCAAGTATTGTTCTACGGCGCAGTGCCGGTCACATAGTACTTTAAAATCAACAGTGGGTATGGCAGACGGCGAGAAAAAACGGTTTGAATATGTCTTTAGCTTGAGGCCACTGGTGACCCCCATGGCGCTATGATAGAGGAATGATGAGGTCACCGGTGACCCCCATGGCGTTCAACGTGTTAAGCATATAATTTTTGCTAATAGTATATATTTAAATAGTAGTATTATTATATTTCAGTATCCACTTAAAATATGAATGATGCAGAAATCTACTCACGTCGGCCACCTCCACTGCCTCGTTCTGCTAATTCCTGAAGTTTAGGATTTACAACTTGTTTTGCTTCCTTTAAAACTGAAACTAAGTCTGCAGCCTTGGCAGCATTAGAAGGGGTGAAAAATGTATAAGCCGTTCCAGTTTTGTTTGTCCGCCCAGTCCTTCCAATTCGGTGAACATAATCCTCAGAATTACTAGGATAATCAAAATTTATTACAAATTTGACATCATCCACATCTGTAACATAACACACATACACATATTAGTTAATAAAAAAATTGCAAACATTATTAATATTTACAAATACCACAGCCAAGAATTAAGTTAATCTAGCAAGCAAACTAACCTAAACCTCTTGCTGCAACATCTGTAGCTACAAGAATAGGAGCTTTGCCACTTCGGAAGTCTGAAACATAAGAATTTTTATTATTTATGAAATACACATGCAATTAGACTAGCTTGAATGAACTGTTTAAATTGTATATATATGGTCTGTCTGAGTAAATACATAGTATACATAATCATGTTTGAAAGTGTTTACAAAATACATGAACCCAAATGGAGTTTTGTTATATTTATTATACAATATGATTTTTTTTAAGTATATTAAAGTACCCTGAAACTATAATCGAACATTCTTCATAAACTATTGTCCTTTCCATTTACAGGGCTCCTTCATTTTATATTTAAATGCTTGATATATAATACATACATAGTTTATAAACAAATACAGGTCAGCAAAGGGATATGTCATCACAGTGTATCTTAATGAACTTACTAATATTAAACTATCCAAACACAAAATGGATAAAACAAGCAAGTGACAGTAAAGAGGGCGTCCAGTGCGCTTGAAGCGCAAATGGACGGAACGGCGAGCGGTGAGGCCTCGGCTCGCTAAGCGCCACGCCAGGCGACGCCGCACCTCCGAGCTGCGGCTCAGTGAGGCCGCGGTGGAGCCAGTGCTTAGCCTGAGCGTGGGCTTAGCCCGTCTCTAGCGACGGACGCGCCTTCGCCCGCGAGCCGCCGCCCCCGCCGCTGCCTCGGCGCCGGCGCCAGCCTGCACATGCAGACATGCTCTCAGACTCACATCACTTGCTAAACGCGCCCGCTCGCGCCGCGCCCTCGACCGACACTGGCTCGGGTAGTATTACTACTGTAGTTTATTCACAACATACCCCAATCTTCAAACTTGTGAATTGCCTCCCAAGCATATATAAAACAGTCACACAAGTTTGAAGACAACCATTTCCTCACAAAACGAGTAATTTTTGTATAAATTTAATAAAAAAAGGGAATTTACAGGTAAACTCAGTAAACTTTGTATATTAAGAAACCACTCAAAAGAATTTGCCATGTCTTAACATAAGATAAGTTGAGAATCAAATATTAAAACTAACATAATTAGTCCACATCTCATGGTGAAACATTGAACATTTTAAACTATGATACTACTGATTTTTAAAGCATTAATTTCCCCCAGTCTTTTTATGAAATACTGTTTACTGAATTTCATAAAAATTATTGTATAATTACTGCAAACTGAAAACCTTTTAAAATACAAATTATATCTTCTTCATTTAATTTCATAAAAACAATATAATAAAATATTGAATCAATTAAAATGTCTAAACACTTACCTTGTAATACCCAATCTCTTTCATTTTGAGATTTATCTCCATGAATACACACAGCTGGCCACCTGAAATATAATAATATTTTTCTTGTATAATGAAACCTAAATTATGAAGATGTAAAATAATTAAATTTATTTAATAAGAAAAACAAACCCATCTCTTTTCATTTTTCTTGTTATATCGTCAACTCTCCGTTTTGTCTCTATAAAAATAATAGTCTTGTTTTCTTTCTCAGCCATTATTTCTTTTAGTAGGGTACTAAGTTTTGTCTCCTTTTCATATTCCATGCAAACATCTATTATTTGTAGAATGTTGTGGTTAGCAGCTAGTTGAAGAGACCCAACATTAATTTGCAAGTAGTCCTTGAGAAATTCGGAAGCAAGTGATTGTACTTCACGAGGCCAAGTAGCAGACCACATCAGGGTTTGCCTATCTGGTCTAATTTGTTCAATAATTTTTCTTATTTGGGGTTCAAATCCCATATCCAACATTCTATCGGCTTCATCTAGTACTAAGTATGTACACCTTTTCAAATTCGTTCTTCCACTTTCTAAGAAATCCAAAAGTCTACCTGGTGTAGCTATAACTATTTCAACTCCTGCATCTAAATCTCTAGCTTGAGGTCCTTTTGGTGCTCCACCAAATAAACAGGTATTATGGATTTTTGATGTATTGGCAAATTTGTCACTAACTTCTTGTATCTGTTGAGCCAACTCTCTTGTTGGGGCTAGCACAAGTGCTATGGGTCCATCCCCTCTACTTGATTTGGGCTGATTATTTATGTGAACAATTGCTGGTAATATATATGATAGAGTTTTACCAGATCCAGTAGATGCAATGCCCACCATGTCACAACCACTTAAAGCAATAGGCCATCCTTGAGCTTGAATAGGAGTGGGTTTCGAAAATCCCATTTTGTCTATTTCATCCATCACATAGTTGGGAAATCCTGCTTCATCAAATGTCATAGTAGGTTTAGGTATATTTTTGCCTTTAAGCGTTATTTCATTTTCACTCCGCCATTGTTCAACCTCAGAGTCTGATCTCTTCTCAACATCGGGATGGGGAACATAAAAGTCCTTTTTAAATGGTTTCAGCCTATTGAGATCCCATTTTGGTTTTCGCAGATTAGCGCCAGGATTATTACGACGACCTCCGCCGCCATAACCACCGCCGCCGCCACCGCCGCCGCCAGAACCCAAACCAAACCGAGGACTACGACTACGGCTTCTGCTTCTACTTCTGCTGACTGCGACGTCGATCACGACTTCGATCCCTTCAATATTAATAGTAAATAGAAATTGTAAACTTAAAAAATGCAAAAAGTAACAAATTACTATGTTAAGTTTAACGAAAACTCACCTTCCACGGCCCATTTTTCATAAACTTATAATTTCACTTGTGTAATAATGAATAAAAAGCAAAATCTAAATAGTCACTCGTTAGAAAATATCATTTAAATTTTAAACATGGTATTGACTATTGTATTCGGTTACAGAAACGAAGACGCCGCATGTAACTAATAAGTTACTAAAAGAAAATGGCGGATAACAAGGCCATAGAGTATATACATTATACATATATATAGTAAATAGTGGGACCAAAGTGTTTGTATTTTTGTTAGATTGTTTTCGCTGCTGTGGCGTATGGACTGTGGCCTGAGACAAAGATACTTTGTGCTAGGCGTGACCCGCCTAACAAATTTGAATCGGAAAGAAATTTTGAAAAAAGGACACTTGCTGTCAGTCCAGTATATTTAGAAAAATTGTACTGTTACTAAAAAACCACTTGTGACAAAATATTAAAACCGAACACGGCGACAGGGACAAAAAAAATATTTTACTTATCCACACTTACAAAATGTGCCAAGAGCCATCACACTACAGCTTTTTATACACATAAGTACCTAGACTACTAGATTTAAGAATTAAAGCAAAGAAATCGTATCAAAAGAAAAGTGGATAGCTGGCTATTTGGTACAAAACGTTATATTATTACTTATATATTATATTTAAAACCTCACTCGTGTGCTCTATCATGGGGTTGGATTAACTTTTACTTCAGAGTTTACTGTATTTTAATAAGAATTATTAATTTTATATACTAACAGAAAATAATACAAACAATAAAATAATATAACAACAAATGTCAACTCATAATACTCCTTCGTCAATATTTATAAAGTAAATACTATTAATCATGTTATACAATCCCCGTTTTCTCAAATAAACTTTCCATCTAGTGTTTCTCTTACTTCAACGAGACTGGTTAAAAAATTTACTCTCTGTCACGGGTCACCTCTCTTTTATATTTGTAAGTATGTATACAATAAAGATTAACCTTAGTCTTTCGACAAAGTTATTTATCAACGGTATTAACCACAATTATTCTGGTCACAAGCAGTGTGGCAGGAGAAGTATGCTTTATCCTGGTCACACATTACATTAAAAAAAATCTACATTGCCATAATTTTGCAATTTATATAAGATTTATAAGAGCATGTGTATTCTTTCATCTAAAGGTGGGAACTGACCAAAGTTACGAGGTGTAATGTACATTCGCATCGAGCGTGTTACGCTCGAGCTGTTACGCTGTGTTTTAAAATCGGCGTAACTTCTCGTCAAAACCTCCTGTGCTCCGCTTTCGCGCCAGTCACGAGACTGGCCGACAGCGAGGACGCGTTTACGGTATCTTTGATTCTACTTAATTATTGTTTCATCCAAATTAATACTAGAAGAAAAAACGTTACTAGACATCAAACTAATTTAAAAACAGAGGCTGGTAGTTTGTCATTGATAGCAATATTTAAAAACCAAAATACGATTACTGGACATGTTATACAAAACTTTGTACGCATGTCTCAAATAGACTTTGACCAACTCGTGAATTTAATCTGGACCAAAGGGACTGGTTAAAAATTACACAATTTATATAAAATCTCTTTATAATTATGAGCATGTCGCGACAGTGCAACGATTAATCTTAGTCTCGAACCGCGTAATTGTCAACGGTATTCGCCGAAAAACCGACAGCCGGGTCAGAAGCAGTGTAGGCAGGAGCAACGAGCGGCTGTTGATCGCTGGTCACAATTACATTAAAAAGATCTACTATTGCTCAAATCTGCTTTGCAATTTATATAAGATTTACAAGAGCAAGTGTATTCTTTCATCTTACATTTACATACTATCTTGCGTTACAGTTCCTGAAACTTTTTCCCACCACGTTGTCATAAGTTATCTGTAAAAAACTAAATATAATCTGTATTGGAAAACATAAAGAAATTGGACTCCGTCTCCATTTTCTGTTGTTGTGACATTTTGGTAATTTTCATTCCTTACCGTCGTATCCGTGCTTTGAGCTTTCTTAGAGATTTATAAGATAGTTAGATAGTTTGAACTAAATAAAATGGCTAATGAAAATAAAGATTAATATTTCTTTACAAATATAAGCGTGTAATCTTTATTAGTGATGATCAGCACGATTGGCAACTTATGAAACCAATGTGTAGCGAAATACCCTAGAATTACAATGGGTTGAAAAAGTAACTGTGTGCGGCGATTACCTGTTCACTACATATATTCATAATATTGTTTACTTTCCAACAAACTAACACACCTATAAATTGTTTAAGATGGAGTTAGATGTTTCGCCAGTTGAAAGTATGGATTTGGAGTATTCGGAAAATTCGTCTGATAATAAGTATTTGACTTGCAATAATAATGAGCAATATAGTGTTATTCGCATTCCACAAGACAGTGAAAAGCCCAGTAAACATTCCTCTAAAAAGCAGTCTAAACGAAGAAAGAAAAGTTCCAATCACTCTAGACCTTTACCTAGAATTATAGTGAAACCTTTACCCCCACCTCCACCCACTGAAAATCGAGAATGGACAGCAGCATCATTTGTAGAATCAAACTCTTCGAATAAGCCATCAACTATGCGAGAAGTATTGGCGAGTATACCAGGTTTTAGCCTTAAACCTAGAAAAAGAAGTAGTAAAAAACTATCAACAGCTGCTCAGTTACAGCAGACTAGAGAAGGGTTTATAGATTTAGAAACTCCAGACTCTATACTTGTAAATACCAACATTAGAGCATTATTAAATAAACACACATTTTCTCTGCTACCCCCTCTGTATCAAACTAAACTTGGACAATTGCTTCCTAGTGTAGATAGAATAAGTTCTTCAGGTCGTTTAAGTTCATCTAGTCTTAATAATGAATTTTTTGCTCGTGCCTGCTTGGAATGGCAAGAAAGTTTGTCTGGAGGCGAGTTTACTCCAGAAAATCAACAAAAAATTAAGACTGAAGCAGAAAGGGAAAAAACTAAAATTGATCCATGGAAAATAAAACATTTTGAACCATTTTGGGGTGAAAAGTTTAGGAAAGAAAAATCTACAGTTAATATGAATTCAGAGAGACCATCTTTGAAAACCACAATAAAACTAAGACCTACTGCTTCAATCACCAGTAGTAGTACAGTACCTAAAGTAAAAAAAAGTAAATCTAGCAATAGTAAGAGAATGCGTTCTGTTGGAGCTGTTACACGGTCATCTGCTAAGGCAGAGGAAAATGAAGATGAATGCAATATGCCTATTAATAATAAACTTGTAGCTCCAGTACCTGACTTGCTGCCACTTAAATCTACTAAAAGTCATACTCAAAGTTATGAGGAATGCCAAATTGATTTTAATTTCTCAGATTCATCAGTAGCAAGAACTGAGGATACTGTTTCAACAACTCCAGTTGACCCACTCCTTATACCTGATAGTGATAGTGTTTCTGAAATGAAGCAAGATTTAGATATGACTGTCGTAAAAATAGAGGAAACATCTAAGGACTTTGAAGAAGAAAAATGTGGTGATTCCATTGTGTCCAACAGCAACAAAAGGTTAAGTAGTAATGATGATGAATATCAATTCTCTAAAAGGTTGAAATTTGAAGATGATTTTAAAACAGCCCAAAAACAGAGTGATAATACTAATACTTTTCCAAATGATTTTCTTAAAGGGGATAACAGTTTTAGTAATGAATATGCTAACTTAACATTTTCAAATAAATTAAAGATTAATATTAAAGTCACAGATGCTCCTTTTCTTTCAAATCCCTTGCCAAGTACAGATAACACTGGTACGGATACGGATATAGACATTAATGAGAATGGTGAAGTAATTTGTACTAGTGATGACAATGTTTATGCTGATCAAGAAACTGGGGACACCAATAGTGAAGATAGTAAAGCTACAATATCTGCTTATGACTTTGATGAACAAAGTGTATCCTCTATGTCTAGTATAAAAATTGAGGCTCACTTGGACACTATAGTAAGTGAGCAAAACGAAGAAAAAGTCAATTTTAATACAGATACAGAGCACGAGAATAGTGAAAGGATTGAAAAAGACAATTTGAAGGAGTCTAGTGAAAATAATGAAGATGTTTGTGTACCTGAAATTAATGAAACAACAACAACAGGGCATGATTATAATCCATCTTTGGATACAGACACTAATTGTTCCTCAGAAGGAAAAGATATGGTGGAGAAGGAATTATATAACATAAAGCTAATAAAAGATATTGAGAATAAGAGTTCTAAAGATGAACACCTAGAAATATCTTGTGTAAATGTGGATAGAACAGATGGAAAATCTCTAGAAAAATGCAAAGATGTGCAAGATGCTCCAAACTATTATGATGAACATTTTAAGGATGCAGAGTCATTCATAATGGAGACTGGAGGGCTACCTATTATTGCTTCTCGTAAGTTATTTATCAGGTTATATATGTAAATCATTTCTTAAAATTTAAATTTAATGCTATGTATAATTTACAGAAAATGAAAATGCCAAGTATAGTCAGTCTAATTTTATGGAACTGACTTCTTATATGAATGAATCAAGTGAGTGTAATTTTTTATTGTAATTGTTTTATACATTTATATAAAATTTTGTTTTTGCTAAATAATTCAATTCAATCTTTTATAAATATGTGTAGGTATGATATTATATCATCAAAATTAGGGTGGGTTTAAAATGTCATGTAAGACTAGTTAAGTTGGTAATAATTGTGGTGACTACAAATTTTTTTTTTTAGATGTAACAGCAGTGGTAACAATGCCAATTACACAAACAACATCTTTACCAATGATGGAAGTTACAAACACATCTGTGAGTTATTTTTTTATATTTTGTAAATGATATTGAAATTTTAGGAAAAACATCTTAATTGGTATTGGTATGAGTTTTTATATTTAATGTTTTTAAGTGTGAAGATGTTTATAAATGACATATATATATATATTTTATTCTAGATGGTATCATATCCGGACGACTTACACGACCCGGCAAAACCTAAGAGTTCTGCTATAATATGGAAGTCGGAAAATGAGTGGGTGAATAATGAAAATATTATAACACTGCATAATTTCTCTACTATCAACAACGACAGTGCTAAGTATGTGAGTGAGGATTCTAAGACTAGCATTGAAGATGTTCATATAAATGACGAGAATTGTATGTACAAAGAGGAAAGAGACGCAAATTTCAACATGGAATCGTCAAACTCATCAGAAAGCTGCCAGTCAATGAAGGAGGTGGCTTTAAAGGATAGTGAATCGGCTCCTAGTGTAGTGTCGAGTACGACGGTGGCTAATCAATCCGTCAATTCAACTACTGTCACTCATTCCGTGAGATCTGGCAAGAAAACGAAGTTAGGAAAAGAATCTAACAGGTGAGTTTTATACATTTTTTGGGCGAGCATATGCTAAAGTGAGTAGAAATTAAATTTTTGCAAGGTTAAAACTTATTTATTTGTATTAATTCATCTTTGCATTAAAATGTATTTTCTATAATGTATAAATATGTTTATTATAGATCTGTTATATTTTTATTTTATTGATTAAATGTGTAAAGGCCAAGTCAGTACTATAGAATATTTCATTAAGAAATAATGTTGATTTTAGAAGCCGTAGTTCTAATAAAGTTCCACCGGGTGCTGTGAATCTAGAACGGAGTTACCAAATCTGCCAAGCCGTGATTCAGAATAGCCCAAACCGAGATGCTCTAAGGAGTCAGCTCAGGCCTCCACCGGCGCTCCTTACAAGGCCTAATCGACAGCCTAGGCCTCCGCCCCCGGTTCTAGTGAGACAGGTCTCTAATGCTGTCATACAGCATAATGAGGTATAATTACAAAAATTTACATTTATTTTAGATGTTTTCTGATTCATATCAAATGTAAATATATGAACTTGCACGCCGTTTTTAAGTGTCAATCAAATGAACACAAACGATTTTTTTAAAGACATAAAGTAAAGTGATATCTTAGAAAGAGTTTTTTTAAGGTTGGTTTCATTTTATTATAAATTCTATTAAAAAAGTGCCTGCGCAACTTTGTTCATGTAACAGGTTGTTGGTAACAGGAACACACAGGGTGTTGTGGTAACAGGAATTAGTTTGAAATTTATATAAGCATGTAAACGGTTGAAAGCCAATTTGTTTTATGTACTTAAAACCCACAATTTTAGTTTTGTTATCTTAGTGTATGGTTCCCGGGTCATGGGGGTGCTTTAAATAATAGAGGATTTTAGTTTGACTCTATATAGAATATAAGCGAAATAATGAAATGTTAATTGCTATGTAACGAATGAATGCTATGTAATAGTTGAAGAGAGTGCCTACGTCTGGCTATACTTTTGGGGCGTTACTCCGACGATGCATGAAATCGCCACGCTTATAAAAGTAAGAAAGCCTGAATGAGCAAAATGTACAGCCTTGGCTCGTATAGTTACATAAACAGCATATTATCATTGGTTGTAACTAAGTCGTGTTCGGCATCCTATTGGTCATATAAACTATATATAGATTGTTTCCACTATTATAAACTCCTTTTTTTAACTATGTATATAATAAAATAAAATACATAACGATTTGTGTATACAGTTCAATATTTGACAAGCCATGTGTAGTTGTAGCATAGTTTTCTATTAACAAATTTGCATTCTCTAGTGACAAATATTTGTTTAATAAAACTAAATCCTTCACATACATAAATTACCTTAACTTGCAGATAAATGAGAATCGACCTAACAATATGGGCCAGTACATTCTTGTTCAAAGGACACCAAACGTTGCACCTCGAGCATCGAGCGCTCCTCCCACTAATCAAAATAGCAATATTGTGAGTATATCTTAAGTTAATATACGTGGATAAGTACTAAGCGACGATTTGAATAACCAGTTCTACACTGTCACAAACTCAATTTTTATTTATTTATTTATAGCCTTATAATAAATCCCCTGAAGCGTCGAAGTCACTCGGCTTTGGTTGGTTTAGCTTGTCTTCCATACAATGATACACTCTACATAGCATTACACCCACCTTCAATAACGATAACAATTACATATTACATGTTACAATGCCGAATTTAGTTAAAACTGCGGAGCTGTGTACGTTGTTTTGTCGCTCTATTGTCCTAGCGAGAAATAAACTCGACTGTCATACGTACCGAACTTTCCAAGAAATCCGTTCTTCTCCTTTACGAATTGCGCATGCTTGCATGTGCTTTATCGATATCGCGAAATATGATGGTAGGGGAGCCCAAGAGGGGATTTCGGGATTTACTAAAGCGCGGCAGATTAATATATAGGGGGATACCTTGTACCCGGTTAAGTACCTCCACAAAATATGAGGCCCATATATAAGGCCGCCCGTGAAGGAGACAGGATCAGATTAGTAAATAAAAATTGACCATCAGAAATTCCCGAGCGCGTCAGATTAAGGTAGGGTGAGTTAATTACATCCTAAAAAGTGTATATTCCACTAATCTGACAATTTGAGAGTGACGGAAAAAAAGGGGAGGGCAACAAAGTTGTAAAAAAAAACGTCATCTCGACATTCTCGAGCGTAGCTAATTTTTATTTTATTTTGAAGGAAATAATTCAAGAATAATGAAAAATATATAATCTGACGATTTCCGCAAGCCGAAATAACAAAAATTCGTCGATAAAGTTAAATGCGTGCAGCTGCATGATGCCTACATTTCCTTAAACCGATCGGAATCTACTAAACGGCGTTCTAAATATTTCCCTAAAAATTACATTTCCTGTGAATTTGAACCGATTCGGACCGATAGATTTTGAGAAATTTTGAAAAATCTTAAAAAAATAAGAAATATTTTTTTTTAAGTGGTTTCTTTATCGATCAACTTCAAAAACTAATCCGCCTTTGAGCTTGAAAAACCACGTCGATCGCCACCAAGCTGGTCAAAAGCGGTTGATTAGTTCGAGAGATATCGTGAACGAAAGAAACCCGAAGTGTTTTTTTTCGGGATTACTCTGAAATTTGTGGTTCGATCAATTACAATTGCAAAATTACTTATGATGATGATAACACTGCGTCGAATGCCGCCAATCGCGTGAAAATTGCTTGATCCATTCAAAAGTTATTGCGGTTTGAAAATTCCAAAAATAGTGTTCTATGAAACTTCTATCAGACTTTCGAGCTGGGAGAGCTCAAATGCATAGAAATGTTATTTCTTTGAACTCAGCGAGCTCAAAATATCAATTTTAAGCGCCCAGGAATGGAATTAGGGGGAAGTTGCAGGGATGGCCCTTTAGGTGAACCGTTTTTCTAAATTTTTTTTGTCAGATCAGGCGAATCCCTCTAGATAATCGTCAGATTATGAGACAGTACGTTTAGAACATAAAGATGAACCACATATATCTTAATCTGACGCGCTTGAGTATTTCAAAATTGCGATTTTTTTTTTGCAAATTATGAAAATGCCCGTGGGTTTGCGTCCCATCGAAATCGTCAGATTAGTGAATGAGAGCTTTTTTTTGGTGCACTTAACACTCCCTTAGAAAATCTGACGCGCTCGATAATTTTTATTTTTTTTTCATTTTCAACCCTTAAATACAACCACCCGCATCATGCAAACGATCAGATTAACATACGTACATTATTAAAAATACGTAGGGCATTGATGCTATCAATATCTGACGCGCTCGAGGATGTCCATGCAACAGTTTCTTTTTACATATTTAACTATCTATAGGCGCTTCCCCCACCGATGAAAAGGTATATATCATATAACATTTTTTTCTTCTTATTATCTAAGCTTTGCATCCCAATAGGTCTCTACGACGCCATAGTAAATCCCCATTTAGCATCGTGGGCTCCCCTACCATGAATTAAACAAACCAACAAAAAAATACAACCTTACTACTGGTACAGTACAAAAATAACAGACAACGCAATAGCGTTCAAATACGATTTGTTTTTATGTCATTATTAACTGCTTTTTAACTTTATTTTTCTTTCCATTTAACGGCTTGAGAAAGCGTTCAAGTATTACGTAAAGAAACGAAATGCATTTTCGAGGATTTCCACAAAAAATTATTACGTTTATGTACTATTTTTGAGAGCTTTGCTTACTATTGCTAACAAGAGGTGGGGAGGGATACAATTCAGAAAATATGTTTACGTAATACTTCAACGGCCCCTTGAGTAAAATAAGTTAACTCGAAATTATAAAGGAAAAGAAACTAATTTTAAATTATATTATTACAGAATGTTACTCGATGTAGAAGCGTAGGCGCAGAAGATTCGTGTGTATGCAACCTACGGGCTATGATCCTATGTAAGAAGTGTGGTGCCTTCTGTCATGACGACTGTATTGGATCGGCAGAGCTCTGCCTAACATGTCTGATACGTTGACCACAATATAAGGGTTATTCTTACCTTGGTTTCCATAGCAACAATGTCAAAATTTGTTTTTGGTGACAGACGATATCGATATATATGTTTTTTGGCGATATCTTTCGCTTAAACATTTCGATAGTTTCCAGCGAGCCCTTACTATTTATTACCAATATTCAATGAAAATATTATATAATTCAAAATATTAAAAAAAAACAGACATTATTCTGTTTAACAGATTTTATCAAACCATTTTTATTTAAAGTGTTGGCAGAAAGATGTCGCTTTTGACAATTTATTCAGGTTTTATAAGTTCAAAAATTATATGATTCGTAACGCTATTCGTAACTGCGACGTATCGTAGATTGATCTAAGAACAAATGCGTTTTATGAATCAACAATTCGTTACAATTACGACTAGAATTCTTCATATTGAATCTGCTCGAGTTTTATTAATTTCGACTTTTTGCAGGAGTTTGGATTTGTTAAAAAACGTGGACTATAGTTAGCCGTGTTTGTTACCATGGTAACGATATAACCCGTAAAAATCGTGACTATGGTCTCTTTAGTCCAAGTTTTATAATTAATTGCTTGATATATAAATTACTGTATTTATGAGCTATTTTCCAAAAACCTTCATTAAACATGTGTACTTGGATATTCGAAAAATCTGCTTTTTTGATGACTTTTTGCGTATGTCTGTCCAGGGAGTGCTCTCTAAATTTGTGTTGACGAGTGCGTATTTCTATCGTTATAGATATCTGCTTTATTTTTATACTTATAGTCTGTGGAAGAGAACCGGCGTGACGGTTATGTGAACTAATAAAATCTTAATTACGCATCATTTTATTTTTATTCACAAAAAGTTACATTGTATTTATTATTTAAGTGTTGCCAACATAACGAAAAAGGTAATTATGCGCTGGTACCTCAACGATGACGGTTCTCTTTCCGTATAGACTACCCGCCCTAAGGAGAGCCTTATGCCATACATAAATAGTTATGATTAAGTAACATTGGTCTGTATTGCAAAGCCAAATGAAAAAGTGGTTGTATGAATGGTGGTGCTATGAATGACCGAATAAATAATCTTTTTCGAGTATAAAAGAATTTGTCAAAACATTAAATCCAATTAATGGATTAATAAAAAAAAATAAGACACGAGGTTTCTTTTATTAAAGGAACGAGTTCTGTCTGTGAGACAGATTAATTATATTTATCGTTTAGTATAGCTGTGCCGTGATTTGAATGCAATAGAGATTTTGGGCTATAGAATGTTGAGTGCGACTTGAAAATATATATTTATACATTTGGTATACCTATCCGACTTGTGGATATACCACAATACAATATGAATGTACTGAATGTTTATACAATGTGCACAACTGTTTTTGTAGTAATAATACTTTATAGAATATCAGAAGGGATATATTTAGATAGTATAGTTCTGATATTGAATTATGCACCTAATATAAGATACATTTAGGTCACAGTTTAAGTCTTTTGCCATTATTTAGTTAAGAATAATTATTTCTAGCTTTGTTTCGTTAAGTCAGGTTGGAGACGGTGGCGTGGCGTACGCGAGTGCACGTTATTACAGATAAAACTATCAGGGGCGGGACTTGAAGTAATTATCGATTGGTGTATCACGTGACAGTATGGTAATGTCATTATTTAAATTTTGCGAGGGTTTTGTTTTGTGCAGTGTTAACTGCATATCGAATACAGACAAAATAATTAAAAATTACACATATTATCAGCCGTAAGAAACTCGGATAATACATGGAGTACGTCACACCCCCGTACCTTTAATATAATTATGATTACATTGATTCACTTATTCTTGAAATTATAACTGAAAAATGCTGCAAAAAGATGCTGTCTTGCTCTATTACAAGCTGTGTGAAAATAATATAATTTCAATTCAAATTGTATCTGCGCTAATAACTATGCCTAAATTTAGTGATATAATAGATTTGTTTAGGATTTTTCTATTTCGAATAATATAAGTATGTACAGATATTTATTGTCTTGAGAAGGCTGATGAGTGTAACATCGGATTTAATTATAAGTGATCATGTAGAGTTAATCGGTTTGTTTACTAAAAATTTAATTAATTTTTGCCGTGACCAGGTTCCATATTTTGTATATTTGTACTTTATCCTTTATAAACACTAGAGAAATTTGCTCACTACATATAAAATAGCGTAATTAAATATAAATACAAAGGACTATTTTGACATGGATATAGCCTGGTTTTATATTTTAAATACCCCACTGCACGACGAATTTATTTCTGTTTTGTAGTTTCTTTATCAGATAGCGCCAACTTCATGATTGTGTGCGGCATAACAAAACAAAAAATACTGTTGCAGGCAGCCAAAATTAAGTTAGTCGTGAAAATTGGTGCTTTCTGAAGTAATAATTAAATGCACAATTATTTAAGATGTAAATTAAATACTTTTGAATACATTGAGTATTTCAATAAATATGATTTACTTGTATATAAGGTCTAAGCATTTACTGTTATAGACAAATTTTTGTGTTTAAAACAGAAACAAATGGGCATGTGCTATGTCTCAAGCCTCTTAAAATTCATAATATTATTTATAGTATACTCTTCATTATCAAGTTTACTTTTATATTGCTTTGTGTAGGTCTTTGTGAGCACTTATGTTTGGGAAAGACTGAATCTGCAAAAATATAAGCTACATTTGGTGCAACCATTCAACGTTTTCATTCATAATTCAATGTACAAAAATCACAAGTGTTATTTATTGGTAATTAATTTTAAGCTAAACTCTTTCTTATTAAAAATTATGTTCTTTACAATAATTGCGTTTTATTAATACAAATATAGATATTCTAATGAGATATATAGAAATATTTTGATTAAAATGTTGATTTATTTATATATACTGTTAAAACAAGTAGCGGAACAATTTTTCTTGTTTATTGCTAAACTAAAATTAGATTTGTTTTGACGCAAATTAGAAGTGTTAACTAGAATTAATAAGAAACATGCAATTTGTATTTTTTTAATAAAAAAAAATTATAAATCAGTAAGTACATCTCCGTCTTAGAAAATTTCTACGTCGAAAACGACTTTGTACTTAACTGAAACATTAAAATTTAGAAGACTATTTACTACTTAAAAGGTATCTAGGTCTAATAATTTAGTAACTAAAGTGATCAAATAATACTACGTTATGTAAAGATTAGAGTATTGTTATCTACAAAATTTAAGCGATACGTCATATAATTTCGCTGTGGTCGAAAGAGAAAAATTTATTTACAAGCTAATGTCGATATTTTGCTAAATGTAACCGCACATTTTCAGGAACACAATATTTTTAAAGTTAGGGTTAGTTTTAACTGAATGTATTATTTCATTATAACAATTAAACCTCGCTCGACTGTTGGCGCAAACCACGCTGAATTCGATGTGAGGCCAGTGCGTATTAATATATGGATACGATTCCGTCTAATACTTTAGATATGTTAAACCACTAGCGATAAGGATAAGTCCATAACTGGATACTAAATTTATTGTTTTCTAAAACTTGCCATATTTTAATATGTGCTGAAGACATTTTGGCCCGCGCAAAATTGATTCTAAGAGTAATCTACGATCTGGCTCCTTTTTTTTATGGCTTGGCACGGTTTGATGTGGGACTTGTTTGACCGCACGGGAAGCGTCCGAATCCACCCCAAAAACCCCACAACTCAGAAAACGTGTTATTTTAAAATACGACTTGAAAAATAAAATAATTTCTGCCGCATGCCTACCGGTTCTTCAAACGATATAAGAATATTTCTTTGATGGACCTTTTTTATCACCAATTAGTTATTCGTCCACAATGCACATTTTAAATTTTTTTTAATAAAAAAAATACAAATTGAATTTTTTTATTAATTGTAGTAATTAACAAATTAACAAGGTAAAAACTAGCGTACAAGTTAATTTAAATCTAATTTTAGTTTAAGCAATAGAAAGGAGAAAAATCTTGTTCCGCTAATTGTTTTGAGCAGTATATTTTGGTTGGACATTAGTTAATTGAAAATACTAATTTGTTTTGACGCATTAGAAAGGAGTTAAAGAAAAGAAGTAACAGCAAGTATGTAGAATTAAATTAAATAAGTACATCTCCGTTTAGAAAATTTCTACGTCGAAACGACTTTGTACTTAACGAAACATTAAAATTTAGAAAGACTATTTACTACTTAAAAGGTACTACTAAAATTTAGTAACTAAAGGATCAAATAATACTACGTATGTAATTATATTTTATCAAAAATTAAGCGATGTCATATAATTTCGCTGTATTTATTTACAGCTAATGTCGATATTTTGCTAAATGTAAACATTGTCAGGAACAATATTTTTAAAGTTAGGGTTAGTTTTAACTGAATGTATTATTTCATTATAAAATTAAACCTCGCTCATAGTAATTATTTTTAGCCTAACAGCTGATTCGATGTACATATTAATATATGGATGATTAATACTTTAGATATTAGTGGATAACTCATAACTGGATACTAAATTTATCGTTTTCTAAAACTTGCCATATTTTAATATTGTGAATTTTAAAATTGATTCTAGAGTAATCTACGTGTTTTTTTTCTTTATGGCTCTGGCACGGTTTGTGTGGTGTTTCCGCACGGGATCGAAACGTGTTATTTTAAAATACGACTTGAAAAATAAAATAATTTCTGCCGCATGCCTACCGGTTCTGAATTTGTTAAGGTTTGTGGAAAGCGAGTTATTAATTATATAAAAGAACTCCGTAGAAATAAAGTACGTTTTACTACATAAATTTCTAAACGAAAACTTTTATTATTTTCTACATTTTCTAGAACTTGTTGAAAATTGTTTGACAGAACAGTTTGACATTTCATATTTGAGTTTTACTTTGACAGTAGCGGTTAAACGATTGATGTGAAAGGCGAGTGTTTTGTATACTCTCGCCTCGTACTTATTTATTACCAAACAAATTTCAGAACATTAAATAAAGTTTTTCTTTATTATGTAGAAAATTCAATCCGTACAAGTGAACCAAAAATGTCGACAGTACTTTTGGCCGTTATTGCAGTGATATTATGTATACTTTTTCGAATCTTGAACGTGAATAGTCAACCACACAAGCCTCTCATTTATGGACGTGATAAAAATTTCATAGAAAATATTCTCTTCATAGCTCCATTTTTGAGTGAACCGTAAGTTTTATCTTATATAAATTGCAGGTATTTATATTTTAGACAAAAATAGTTGTTATTATAATTTTCATGTCACAAGATATTTTTTTTGTAACTACTATTAAAACTACCTCATTGATATATGATATGCGATTGATATTAATAAACCTTAACAAGTTCTATAATTATATGGCACTTAGAAAAAAAAACAAGTTCTGTGGTAGTTCCTATGTATTTTTTATTATTATTTGAACTTTCTTAATTCAACCTTAGTGAATTATTGTAATGTTATTTTCTTCTAAATATTACTTATTGCACTTATTGCTTTTAGATGCTAATATTGCTATTTGTAATTTATAACTTTGAATAATTTACATTTTGAACAGTAATTTTGTCTCCGGCATTCAGTTATTAACATATATTCCTATTCCAGATATATACCAACAAGATTATGGGGATTCAGTGGACATGTCCAGACAATTTTACACAGTCTTATTGGAAGAGTCCGTTGCCCTTGGCCAATCGGTGCAAGAATAATGTTAGTTCTACCTGACCGCTCCACTCTAACCTATGACTTGTATGAACCTGTTGGTGCGGAACATGAAGGTATCATTTAACCATTTAACTAAGAGATTTTTTAAATCCTTTTATTATTTATTTATTAATGCACAGTTTCCTATAAGTACAAATAAATTATTATTCAAATGCTCTCCACATAAAGTCTTTTACAAACAACTAAATACCTCAATTAAAATTCTTGTAATTTTATTGAATATTTATTGAAAAAGGTTCATCTACACAATATAATAAAGTAGTTGCAAGTATACAAGAATTTCTTGAAGTTTTGATACTTCATAAATTATAAAACTTGAAGCTTTACTTTTCATTTACCATAAATTACAGGGGCTTAAATTATTTCTCACCACATATATTTAACTCTGACTCATAGTTTTTTATATGTTATAAAGTACTAAACAGAATGGATACATGCACTATGATTATTTTTATTTACATCAAATTTTAAAAACCTCTGCTTGGCAAGGTTCAGTCCCTTTGCCTTTGCAGTTAACAGCTTGTTAGAAATGGTGTATAACCGATGTCATGAAGTGCTTATTGCGTATTATTAGTACATTGAGAATATCAATAATATATATTTTATAAACATAATCATCTACACTTTAATAAAAAAATCTATTGATATTTATTACAACATACAATATTTTATGGTTGTTAACAAAATACAAGTGTTTTATCGTAACATTGAAACTTCAGCATCGCTTTTAACCGTGATAAGAGTTGAAGGTGAATACTGAATTAGAAAAGATAACATAAATTTTATTCCTTAGACGACGTAACGGTAGCCATATGTCCCGGTATCGGCAACACGTCGGAGAGTGTGTACATTCGTACATATGTACACTACTCTCAGCGTCACGGGTACAGATGTGCTGTACTGAATCACATTGGTGCCCTCAACAGCGTTCCTGTTACTGGAGCAAGGATCTTCTCGTACGGTGAGTAATAATCTAAACTTATTTATCCGTTTGTGTAAAGAAGAAAACTGTAAGAAAGACGTATTACACTATAAAAATCGGTGACGGCTGTCAAGTACAGGCTGATCGCCCACTTACCAAAGCTATATAAATGAGGGGCTAAGAAACATTATAAATATAACACACACAAATATGTCTATCCCGTAGGTGGTTAGCGAGACTTTATGCTTATATTAAGTACTCACGAATTATTTCAAAAAGCATGTGATTCATTCAATTGTTTATTGTAATTAGCTGTTTCATTTCTATATATATTTGCACTCATTTTGTTTATGGACTGTTTCCAAGTAAGTTCACTGAAATCGAATGTGATCAATAGCGGAGGCTGAATGGTTATAAAAAATCCCAATAGCGCCACAACCTACGTCTAGGCCTCAGATATCTTCATCTGTTTCGTGAACATTTGTTTTTATAGTAGGCGAATAGCCTTTGGTGACGTTGACTTTTATTTGGTCTCTAAGGCTTGCCCCACGATGCTTTCGCACATAGACATAGTCCATTGTTGCACGGTCGAGGTTCGAATCTACGACCTCAGGGATGTTAGTCGCACGCTGAGGCCATTAGGCCCACAGTGCTCACGAATGGTTATAAACTACAGATTTTAAAATAATTTAACGCTAAAACTGAGTTGTGTTCATGCCTCAGTATAAAGTCAAAACATAGAATTCTTTTAATGACGCTTTTTATAAACCTGTAATTAATTATTAGATGAGGTATGTAATTCTCATTTTTGAAGCCAATTCTACGTTCACGTTGAAGGCATGGTACCAAATTGAAATTATATGATTGAATTTGAACTCAATCGGCTGTACGATTACCTTGTTGAAAATGATGTCATGCGCTTGTTCACAAGAATTATACCGGCATGAGTCAACTCGAGATTAATGATCTAAGATTTTTTTGTATGTAAATAGGTATCGATCTTTATGCAATTTTTATTTGCAGCTCAATGTCAGGGCCATTAAATTAATACACTTTTCGTCACTGCTGTTTCATCATCGAATAGGTTCGAATTTCAATATTCACACACAAATTATTGAACTTACATTTTTTTGTTTAATATGTGAATTGAATTTTAGTGTGTGCTTTGTTGAAAAAAAAGTTTATTATTGATAAAATTAACGAACGCAAAAATAATTGTTTCCAAAGAAAAACTAAAAAGCCTTAATTACATATATGTATGTATAAATTTATCTTAATGGCCTGAATGCTCACATCTAGATAACCTTCTTGTAAAATGTTCGTTCTCAATACACTTATTAAATTAGAAACTATACCCGTCACACTAAGGTAGCAAATTAATTTATATTCGGTTATTATTATGTTGTATCACTTTGTATATTTATAACAATTTTACAATTGGTTATTTTTAATTTAACTTCGAGTGCCTTACATGTTACTGATAGATAGGCAACAGTTTAGTTTCTTTTAATGTGTACTAGCGTAAATAAAAAAGAATATCAAGTCTATTGTTCTGTGTCTAAAGCTTCTAAAAGTTCAGTCAATTTTAATTATCTAGACACCCGCGATTTGTATGCCAGTCTACTTTTTCTATAACCGAAAACACAAAGAACACTCCGATCCTTCAAAAGAATATTTCAAATTAACTCAAAAGGCTCAAAAGTTTAATTGTTTATTTTTATTTATAGTATTGATACCAAACAAGAATTATAATATACTAACTTACATACTACTACTTAAACTACTGACAAATTGTATTACTACTTAAAAAATAAAAACATCTTACATTCGGCTGTCAAACCCAAACCTGTGGCATATATAATATCCAGTTCTGGTGCAGAACTTCGGAAACGGTTAAGTAGCGAAATCATATGCGGAATTACTGCCTGCTGGTGGGGGACAGTTCGTGACCTCCAATGAGTCAGCAGAGCATGCCTACATCTGTAACATACGGTTTACGGTTGAAGCAGGCCCATGAATCTCTTCTTGTCTCTGGCCGCGTTTCAGTAGCCTGGACACATTTTATGGCATGTTTTTTTTTAAATTTAGAAGAAATGTAGAAAATGTCACACTCGTTAGTTGAACAACCCCAAATTCATTACGTAATTGTCGAGTTTTATTGTATAGAAATCTATTGATTTGCTACTGCAGTACAGTAGCGTAATTTAATTAATAAAGTATACAAAAAGGTACCACTACTAATAAATACACTCTAAATAACTACTTTAGCTGATATTAACTAGAATAACTGAATTACCTAAGTTAGTAACATTTTTTTATCTTACTAGACAGATTTACATGTAATTTGCATAAATTATGCTCAGTCTGCAGTCTATTATATGTAATCTGTATCTTATATAAATTTTTGTGTATTGTTTCGTAATCATTAGTTTTTCTGAAAGGCAAGTAGGTGATAATCCTTCTGCGTTTGACACATGTCAACTTTTTGGGTCTAAGGCATGCCGATGATAGCACACAGAAATAGGTCTACCTACGGTGGTGTGCGAGACTTCATACTTATACTAATTACTCACGAATGATTTTAAATGGCATGTGATTCATTTGTATACATGTTTGCATTCATTATTTTTATAGACTGTTTCCAAGTAATATGTGTTAGGGGGGGTGGTCCCGTTGTTTGGGGGGGAAAAAAAAAACCCCAAAAAGGAAGTTTTTTTTTTTTTTCCCCCCCCCCCCCCCCCGAAAAAAAAAAAAAACACAAAAAAAAAAGGGGAAGGGGGGGGGGGGGGGGGGGCGCCCCCCCCTCCCCCCCCCCCCCCCCCCGGGCCCGCCCCCCCCCCCCCGGGGGGGGGGCCCCCGGGCAAACGCCCAAAAACAAAAAAAAAAAAAAAAGAGAAAAAGAAGAAAAAAAAAACAGGGAAAAAAGAAAAAAAAAAAAAAAAAAAAAAAAAAAATAAATAATAAAAGCTAACATATGTTTACTGAAACAGAATGTGATCTAAAGCGGTGGACGAATTAAAAAAAGCCAGTGGCGCTACAACCTCTTACATATGTGCTTCAGATTTCTGTACCTGTTTCGTTATCATTTGTTTTTATAATAAGCAGGCGATCAGTCTTCTATAATCTTAAGCGCACATATACATAAAGTCCATTGGTGTCAAAGCCGGTACGAACTAGGAGTTTCAAAGCCGCTTGGACGACACTCCTCCAATACAAAAAAGTTATCAATGGTTCTTTTATTACGCAAATGTTATCACACCTACGTTAATTGATAAAAAGTATCTATCCTGTCAATTTAACCTAAAATAAAAGGCCATTTAGATTGACCCTGGCAATGATCATTATTGTTCACGTTTTTACACACGCGCCACTTTACTGCGCTTCTCTCAAGTCAATTTTAAATTAATGGTACAATCAGTTTGATGACATATTAGGTACTTGATGACGTATCTATTTGACCAATAAATGTATAAGATAAGAAATCAATTGTATGTATATTTTATTATGTTTGGTATTACAGAACGTCAATGCCCTAAAAGAAATTCATACGTAATGTAAGGCTTGAAAGATCTCTTTTTAAAGAACTTTTTAATTCAACGTGTATGTTTCCTAGCTAATTCTTAACCCGCAGTTATATACAAGTTCAACTTTGTTTGTCCGAATACAGACCATCTAAGCTGTCTAATAAGTTGATATTCTGAAACGTCACAATGACAAAATCTAATTGCTAAATCTGAATCTTACCCAAAGATAACTCTAACCTGTCGTATAGAAATGATTTGTCGTTAAGCACGCCACTCTCAGAACTATCGGTCGTTTCCATTCCACTTGATTGTGCCCCAATGTTACTGTGTTAATTCTTATGGAATGGATCATGGAGCGTATCAGGCGTTCATGTAAATATTACAAACTTGTCAAGTTTAAAAATAGTAGAATTTTAAGGAGGTTAGGTAATCCTAAACAATAAGTTTTAATATTTGTGACTTAACATTTATTTATGTTAAAAGTGAAGAATAATTGAATATTTTATAATAATCTGATGAAGTTATCAAACAACTTATACTCAAACAAATTAAATGCAGTAGGATATTATAAAATGTATTTAGAAAATTTTGGACTACAAATCTTCTTTCTTTTAATTAAAATTTGTTGAAGTTTCTTTAATAATATAAAAAATTATAAAAAAGTCGAATTTTATGCTTACAAACAAATTCTTTTAATTTAACATTTAATGCTTATTTGTTGGCTTAATGTCATCTAAAAACTTGAAGAACATTTCTCATCCATTCTTCATATGCGCCCTAAGTGTCTTTTTTATTTTCTTCATGTTCCAAAAATCTTGCTTTGATACAATTTTTTCCCAGTAAAGATGCTATCGACGCCTTACTTGTTCTCTAGAATTAAATTAAATTTTTAACAATATTTACATTAAAATTATCTCACATAATCAACCTACTTAGTGAACATCCGCTATCAGATCCCGCTGTACTATCATTATTTTCTGCTTCTTTCAACGACAGACCAGTAGAAGATGCAACTGCAACTGGATTGCACCATGCTTTTTTGCCAAAAATTTCATCCATAATCTACCAAAAGTATATTATAAAAATTAATAATTATAAAAAATATATTTCATGAATAAGAAAATTGTTTATTGGTTTTATAAAATATTCAAGTAAATGTAAGATTTATGAAAATATTGAGTAATTTGTACTAACATCGTAAAACTGCCATGTCTTTCTATTATTTCCTGACTTATTGTTATGATCCTTAGTAGATTTATATGTTTTTTTAGGCTTCGTATTTTAGAATGACACCTGCGGTCCCGTCACATCGTATCCTTTTTTCTTCATATCTTGGGATATTTTATTCCATACTTGTTTTTGAGAAATTTTTCCACTGTTCAGAGTTCCTTCCATAGACCTATATAATTCCAATAATAGTGAGTTCACCGCAGGGTGAGTTCCACCTGTATACTGAAGTTTCTCCTGTGCAAAAAAAAAATAAATATAATTAATTTCTCGCATAATATATATGAAATAAAATGATAATAGAATTTCAGATGTTCATTAAACCTTCAAATTCTGGAGTTTCAGAGTTGAGATCGGTTGGATTATCACTATCAAGTCGAACGTTCTCCAAATAAAACTCTCTGAAGTCTCTTCATCGTATAATTCACTAGATTCTTGATCAACTTCAACAGATGCGGAAGCTTCAGAATTTTGATTAATAATTTTTCTTAACAGCTCAGTTGCAAAAAATACATCTACAAATAAAATAAATTTACCAAATATATATATTATTAATGATAATAAATATCGTTTACTTATTGAGTTAGGTTATGCTATCCATTATTCAGGAAAAATGTATAAATATTTGTTGAATATAAACTAAAATCATAAACGATAGCTTCTACTACAATTTCTCTTTCAGAATCATATAATGTTATTTTTCTTGTCGCCATCTTTAAGCTTTGAATATCATATTTCAAAAACAATGTCAAAAATTGGGCCCAATTCGCCCAATTATTCTCAACGTTACAACGACCCACCTCTTTAGATGGGTCGTTGTGAGCGTTGCGTGAGCATTAGTCATGACGTCATGAGTGACGTTTTCGCCGTGACCACAACGACCGCGGTCGGTATGTGGAATGGCTAAAGGAGCATTTTGATCGTCGTGAGCGCTTAGTGGAACGCACCATAACCTGTCGTATAGAAATGATTTGTCCTTAAGCGTGCGACTCTCAAAACTATCGGTCGTTTGATCACTGACTGTGCCCCATTGTATTTTTTATTTCTTATCAACACCGAAACATCAGCCAGTGTATCAGACATAGAAAGCTTGTCTGTAAAAATATGAAGGAAACTAAAATGTGTCTCTACTGACTAATCGATGCCCCTTTGGATTAACATAATATTATGGCACTGCGCATAATATGAATATAAAAACTATATAATTAATAGAACTATATCTCAAACAAATTAAATATACGTTATGTAAAAGAAGAACATTCATCAACAATCTTCTTTGCCATTATTACATTTATAATTAAGACAACGGATTGAACTTTCTTGTAATTAAACAAAGTCGGATGTTATGCTTCGTATTCCGGTGATATACCTAATACTTTCACTTGGCTTCATGTCAGCAATAAATGAATATGAACGTATTTCTGCATGTATTGCAATATATGTGACCTAATTAATTTAAGCAAATAGAATTTGCACATTGCAAAAATGTGCTTTAATAACAGATTTTGTCACGCAGTGAAACGGTATCAGAAGCAAATATGCCCTGAGAAATTAAGAAAACTATTAACAAGATTTTCATGCTACGTGCTGAGCAGTGTTGGCCAGCGTGCGACTTTCCCTGAGGTCGTAGGTTCGATGTACCGGGATGTAACACACGTTCGTATGTTGAAGGGAAACATTGTGGGGAAATCGTCATGCCTTAGACTCAAAAAGTCGTCGTGTGTCATACACAGAAGGCTGATACTACTTGCCTATTAGAAAAACAAATAATCGTGAAATAGAAATATGAATCCTTGGTTGTAGCGCCATTGGGTAGGAAGGTGGGGACCCTTCGGTACGGTTTTCACATTTTATTTTTTTATTTTTTTATTTTTCCATGAATCAATCACCTGATAGCTTAAATTTATAGTCTAACTATCTGAGATTCATATAAAAAAATGACAAATGATTTCATCTGATGGTTCAACCATAATTATGATTTAAACTAAATCTGGAAAACGTACGAATCTGCCCCATCAACGGGGCACCTTCGTACAGTGTTGAGGGTACCTTCGTACGCTGTGGGGTAGTTCCGTACGTGCGATTAAAACGACACATATAAATCAAAATTCATTTATTAGCAATGAAATTAAATACAAAAATAAAGATTTAATTTCTATTAAAAACAAAAATAAAACAAAAACTTTTCTTATAGTGAACAAAAATTACATAGCTTTTCTTATGTAAAACTAAATTTAATTAGTTAGGTATCTTAAGTTTAGAATCACATTTCTTAATCTTTGGTGCGGATTAGCACTTCTTATTTTCCGGTGTGGCAGTATAAATTCGTGGTTTTCCTGGCCGTCGACGTCATTTTGTTTGTTTGATTACCTACTTCGAAATGCCTCTGGTGTCAAACTGACTTCGAAGGAACTACAATTTGATGGATTGGTAAATAATTATTCAAAGCATCTGGTTCACAAGCATCAAAATCAACCTTAATAAAGATAATAAGAAATAGGTATTAATATATATTTACATCGAGGATAGTAAATATAGCAACACAGGACAAAGTTAATGCAAAAATTAGCAATTAGCACACTAACACAATCGTACCTAAGTAGGTAAGTACCAGAGGGTTTAGTCAAGATGCTTTAACAGTAGGGTATGTAGAAAGTCGAAAACTTAATTTGTATGAAAATGACAGTTCGCGTCGACAAATTTTCATACAAATTTAGTTGTACAATTCGTTCAAATGTGCCCCATCTAGTGCTGTCCGAATGTACCCCACTAACTGAATAACAACGAAAATATAAAAACATATTTTAATATTAATAGGAAAACGTCTTAAATTAAGTATTGGAGACGTATCTTAAGTATATTTTGCTAGTTACTGATAGAATACTCTACACGAAAACTTATTTTATCTACGGTAACAAGAGACAAAAACATTGATCAAAAAATTACTAACCGAGCGCGAAAACACGTCCATGCCTGTAACTTCACTCTCATCGGTGCGAATTTCTCGAAACTTCGTTGATGTAAAGATGGTACCTCGACTCATGCACACATAAAAAAGCAAGACTGTATATTGTTTCGTTCAAGTTTTATTTTGACTGTATGAATGTGCCCCGCGTACGAAGGGTAACGATCTTCCCCTATATGTATATTGTATCAGTCTTGCTATGTCCATCATCGCCAATGACCGATTTGGGTGAAGTAACATACACATAATATCGTTTGATTTGCGCGCGTACTACTTAAAGAAAACTTGTATATCGAACAACTTGTATAGACGTGAATTTATTATGTAATTTAGATGACTGGACGAGTGCTTTCCACTTAATATACTCTATGGCCTTACTAACTTTATAATACATTTACTTTCAATTGAAATCTATGCCATTTTTAGTCTACTGTTCCGATGATTGTTTCACATTTCAAACTTAATCACACTACACAAATTTGAGGCAAATCGCACAAGTCAAACATGTCTCTGCGTTATCAACAAGGCCAAAGACTTGTAATTAATCAATATCTCAAACATTGTTTAAGGTCACACGGATGACTTCAGTTACATGATTGAGAATCTCATGGAGAAATATCCCAACACAAAGCTGATTCTAGTAGGATTCAGCCTTGGCGGCAATCTGATTACGAAGTACTTGGGCGAGGACAGGAAAAGGCCAAAAAATATAATTGGCGGGATCTCTATTTGCCAGGGATATAATGCTATCGAGTAAGTATATGATAATCGACCGTGTATTCGATGGATTTAATACGAGGCTAAGTATGTGAAGTTCTTGTCTTGAACCGGTGACACACAAATACACAAATGAACTTATTTATTCCGTAAACAACACTTTATCTGTTAAGATATCTTTAAAACAAACTATAGTTACTTTTGTATTAAAGTGAAGTGTATGAGTGATCCTTGGAGTTATTTTCCAAGGTGGTTTTATCTTAACTCCCGGTTGATGGAAGTCCTAATAAGTAAGAATAACAATCGTGATGGTTTGTTTTCACGAAGTGTTGGCCTAGAGGCTTCAGCGTGCGACTCTCTGCCCTGAGGTCGTAGGTTCGATCCCCGGCTATGCTCCAATGGACTTTCTTTCTATGAACGCATTTTCCATTCGCTCGAAGGGTGAAGGAAAACATCGCCTTAGACCCAAAAAGTCGACGGCGTGTATCAGGCACGCTACTTGCCTTAACATAGGTTTTATGATCATTATGACAAATGATCATGAAACAGATTCAGAAATCTGAGGCCGTTTGTAGCGCCACTGATTTTTTGTTTAGACAAAACAATAAATTATTATTATTGCTATTTTAAAGAAAATGCTTCGGGCACGTCGTGAGAGATAAGTTATAGGATTGTAATATAAGGACAATACAATAAGCTGTTTTAAACCTGGCCATTTTTAAACCTTGACTTCATATTTGTGTCAGTAAATCTGTGTTAATTCTCAAGGTTGTTGCATATTAAAGGCAGGTAAAATATAATTATTGTGCCAACTGGTAAATAAATAGTTATGGTTTCTCCCTTATAACTCGGGTACTAAAAGTAACGTTTGACACTTGCCGGAACAGATAAAAAATCTTACATTTTGCATGTAATAAAGTAAATAAACGACCATGTCATTTTTCATTGTAATGCACTCTTAAAAAAGTACTTTCTAGAATTTCTTGGTAATAAACGCTCGCTTTCCAATAACAATTAAAACAGATAAAAGTGCATATTTAATGCAAATCTAGAAAAACCCAAAGTAAATACATGTATTGAACTCGTAAAATATTCTTTTCGCCTTTTATCTTTAAACAAAATACTTTCGTAATTGTTTCACAATATCTCTATTGATATAAAACTGTAATTTGAGCCGACTTTATGTATATAGAAAATGTTATATCATACTATCTCGTTTACCTTGAATATTTATGCACCTACGATGTACAGGGAATTTATAAAAGTCTCCACTTGATTTCGGAGGCTTATTTGTTTTCGTTATTCAAAAAGTCCACTACATTTTGATATAACAGTCAAAATCTGTTATAACGACATCGAAGGGAATACTCATATTTGGTCGTAAAAACCTGCACCTTCTGGAGTTCTATTAAATTATTCATGCATTACTTTTGATATAAACCTTCAACTACTAAAATAACGAACGATATGTTTCCAACCAACAAGTCCCACACCAATCAATAAGGTCATACAATGATTCAATGCTTTAGAATTTTCGAGGAGTATTGATATATTGGCATATTAAAGTTCTATATTTTCATTTAGCTATTTTTATTAGAAAACTATGAAATTCAACTGTTTTTGCGTGTACTAACTGAATATCATCTATGGACAGAGAGAAACGTTTCTAAAGAGCCTCTAATATATTATATTAATGTCGTTTCCTTACTTTTAATGTCCAATCAAGTCAAGTCCAAAGGACAGTCCTTTACATATATTCTAGTAATATCAACACTGCCAGTGTTTACTAACATTTCAACTTTAAAGTCTACTTTTCTCTGTAACAAAACTAAAGTAAACAAAACAATCCTGGTAGACGCAATATATCTTGTTACAAACATCCGTGAGTGGACGGGAGTCAAGTCAGTGGGATAATTGTTTAGATATGCGATGAACAAGAAGAGGTTTCGGAGATTGACTACCGACCTTCAGTAACTGGAGAGGCACCGCAAGAAAGAGAGCCTCGTGGAGGCGAGAAGTTAATAGCCTTGACATTCACGTTGTCTTAGTCATAATAAAAATGTATTAATTAATTTATGATCTTGAAAATTTCTCAAATACCTTTATATAAACGTCAGTTATAATTTTATTTTGCACTATACTCGTCTCACTAGATAAGCACTATCGGCACGCACTTTGAGACTTGTGATAACCATTTGCAGTAATTTTTAATTGAGAAAAGACCTATAAAATTCGTGTCACGCTTTTGGAATTGTATAAATTTTGTTTTATATTAAAGAATAGTTTTGTATGATGTGGCTGGAACAGGAGCCAGCTAGTAGTTTAGCATGAATGAGAACGTTTTAGAATTGTCTAGAATAGTTGGTTATATATTTGGATTTCTAACATTATCAATGTTAAGATACCATATCTACACATCGTCATTTATAACAAGATATTTTAACTAGTTTTAATGTTATCATTTATCTACTGTCGACAATTCGCATGTTCGCGTCGTTTTAATATTCTTTATAAATAAGTAGTCTGCACTTTTAAATGATTACAGTCAAGGACACTAACTCTAGATTAAACGCATTGACTAAATCGTTGGGATATATAAATCTTATCAATTATTAAAAGGCCGGCAGCGCGCTTGGGAGCGTTCTGGAAGTGCGAGTGTCCATGGGCGGCGGTATCACTTAACATCAGGTGAGCCTCCTGCCCGTTTGCTTCCTGTAACATAAAAAAAAAGAAATATAAGCAATGGTCTAACGGACATGTCGCATGGTATCATTCAGTTGGAATATGGTAATATTAATATGAATAAATATAAATTGTATTACCGTTGTAATGATATTTAACTAGATTTTTATAGTAATCTATAATCTATTATAAATTGGCAAAAATCGATGAGTTCGCCATAATGTGTTTGCAATAAAATAAAGGAGTTACGGAAATTCAATTTCAAACATTGTTTTTATTAGTGCATTGTTTAAATTCACTACCAACTTCTGTATGAATAAAATATTGCTACGATTTTAGAACTTCCTGATGTAAAGATAATTACATTAAAATAAATTAACGGATTTACAATAATAACGGGTCAATAACGGGCAAGTAAGGTTACTTGGTATATTCAATTACTCTCAATTATATTGTGTACAAGTGTACTTGACATGATAACTTAGATTAACATACATAACTTAGATTAACATACCTAACTTAGATTAACATACATAACTTATATATTTTACGCCCTTATTCATAAAAACTAACTTATATATATAAATAACTATTTGACTTATGTTTTTTGCAAATCTTGCGCTTATATCTCTATTTCTGTATGCAACAAAGTTATAGTAAATAAATAAAATAAAATACACCTTTGTGTCTTTCCGTCATATTGTGTTTACGCTGTGATGGAAAGAGACTGTAGTTAATACGGTGCGATTACACTTATTTATTGTTTATTCATTAGGGGGTACGAGTTTAAAGCACATTATATGTACCATCATCTCGAAATTCAGCTTAGCCTTTATAAGACCAAAATAATAACGCAAAGAACTGTATATTTTCAGTTATAGATAATTATTTTAAATTAAAAAGATAGGAACAATAACGTTCTAATTAACCTAACGTACATTGTTATAGGTTAATCGCAAACTGTTGTCTTTGGTCACGAGTGCTATTCATTTAATTAAAACTTCTAGTTATTTTGTCGAAGTTAATATGTAATAAATTCGTGCTAATACCCGTTAAAGAAACTTTCTTAAACCGCCACATTGAAAGTTAAGTCTAGCTTCGTATACTTTGAATAGAAAGATGTATATTTTGAGCATTTTTAATACATCTTTAAACTCAGCTTATAACTAAGATAACATTAAGGGTATTGGGGTTGCGACGCTGGAGTAACAAAAATCTAACTTGACTTATTGAAGAGTTCGTTAAACAAAGTGAAACTTATGTTATTGGTCAGTATCGTAAACGAGAATGTTAAATTACAATTTTTGAGTGTGGTAAAAACTAAAGGGCTCATATTGGCTTTAAGTGTGCGATGATTGCTTACATTGTGTTTCTAATTATTAACTAAAATATATATATGTAACTTAACTAATGTTAGGTTACATAACTCGAGTATCGCACATTTTAAAGAAATGCAGTTTACTGTTTATTTCGTAAACCCGAGACCATGAAGGCTGTGTGCTCCGAAACAATTTGTTATTTTCTGATTTTTAGTCATTAAAACTGTAGATTAGGTACATTACGGTGTACATTTTTATTCACTGTGCAAACTTTTTGAAAATTATCAGTAATTTCTAACATGAAACTTATTGAACATAGTATAACTATCTTTCTCTTGTTTCATTGTATCTTTAAATCTTTTCCAGCACAATGGTGTACCTTCTCCAATGGCAGAACTTCCGTCGTTTTTACCTCTACATCATGACAGACAACTATAGAAACATTATAACCCGACATAAGCGAATGCTGCTCAACCAGGACTTGAAGATTAAGTATAATTTGGACGAGAAGATGATTGTTTCGGCTGGTACATTACCGGATCTAGATGAGGCATATTCTAGGTAAGATCACCTTAGCAGTTATAAAATCAAGATAATAGCGCAAAACTGTATATTTTTAGTTGAGAACTAATGTCTATGTCTATTTCTGACAAATTGTGTTTACGCTGTGATAAAAAGAGTTACGTACTTTAGTCAAAACAGTCCGATTAGACTGATTTATTTTTTATGTATTACTAAGAGTTTAAAGCACATTATATGTACCAACGTCAGTAAATTCACCGAAGCCTACGCTATAACCTGTCATGTCAATGCTCTTTTAATTAGTGTTGCCCAAAATCGGTCTTGGTCTTGCAGTCTTGGTCTTGTTCTTGCATTTTCGCAAGACCAAGACCAATACCAAGACCGCCTTATTGTAGCAATACCAAGACCAAGACTGAAGCCTGCAAGACTTGAGCAAGACAATACTAAAGCCTGCAAGACTCTTGCGTCTTGCAGTTAAGACAAACTGAGATTTGGGCGTTATTAAGTAGGTATTTGGTTTCAATCCCGATTTTGAGAGACGTTCCCCAGTATTAAAACCGTTGGTATCGTCATAACACTAAACGTGCCGCTCGTCTGAAAGAACACTGAAAGGTATTGTATTGATTAGGTAGGGAAGTACTTATTATATTTCAACAATTTATTAAGTAGGTAGCGTGTTAATACTCACAAATCTGTTACCATCATCCCATGTGATAAAATTTACCCAGAATAACTTTCTAGCAAAGATCATACCTTGTTGGTATCAACTAACCTATAATAATATATTATGCTTGTTTATGTCTAATGTGCAGATCTAACGTTAGTACTCGTAGGTTGGTATGTGCTTAAAATTATAGCCAACTAAATTATATAAACATTATGTAGGTACCTACTTATGTTTCAAAGTTTATATTATTCTTCTATTTAGCAAAATTTAAAACTAACTGCGAGTCGAGTAGGTCTAGTAACAGTTTCTACGGCAGCCAATATTATGGTACAGACGCCAGCACATCAAGCTACTACAATCTGTCAAATTTCTTTAACAGATTTTCAACTTTATCGCTAAAGAATTAAGGTTCAAGGTTGATTGGGAAAATGTGACGTTCTGCGAATAAACTGTTGGTCGGTCGATGTATTATATACCTACTTATTTGATAATTCACCGACAAAGAGGCCGCGGTTTGCAACGAGTGTATCACAGCATTTGACACTGTTTGAGCGCCGCATTCGCCGACAAAGAGTCCGGACAGAGGCCCACAAAATTGTTACCTATTTTGGTAGGGTTGGTACAGGAGGATAAAATTAAATGACCTTGAAGATGTCTCAGCAGTAGGTAGGTATAAATTGAATGCTCTGAGTTTCTTGTATTTAAATACAATCTCACACCTGCTCGAATTCGAACACTTCAGCGTTTAAAGCTGTCGGGCGAGATGATAATTAATAACTAAGTAGGTATTGCATCTATTGAATTGCGAATATTTTGATTTCGAAATAATCATTGTTAATATCGGTAAATAATAGATAGTGAGTGATATACCTAGGTACTAAAATGTAAGCAGCATAATTTAAAAGTGTTTATGCCATGTCAGTGCTTTCCATTCCATTTAAAAAAAAAAGCTCTCAAGTAAGATGTAGAGTTTACCATTCAATTACACACAACAAATTATTGAAAAATATATTTAGACGGAGTACTTAGGAAATTAGTAGAAAAAATATTCTATCGTGGATACCTAGTTATTAAAAAGTTGATAAACGTTGTGTTTACTTAATTTTATTTTTCTGTGCTAATGCCAACATTGACAACCCTACCAAAATAGGTAAAAATTTAGTCCGCTCCTAGACTTTGTGTCCCCACCGTCGCTTTCATGTCAAAGGTCGCCGCCACTGCCCATGTCCCAAAGAATAAAATAAGTTTCCGGGTGCTCAGAACGGACACAAATAGATTATGTTGTCCTCGCAAGGAAGATTGTAGTCGTAAAGATAGGTAGATATTATAAAAATTGTTGTAAGTAATAAAAATATAGTTTATATTATTATTACCTATTATACATTTTTTTTTTTAAAGAACATTGCACTGCAAGATTGGAAGTGGCAGATTTTAACAAACTTGAAACGTGGAAAAGCTCCAAATATGAGCGACGTCATATTGCTTTACGCATTTTGTTTTAAAATCACACACTTCCAAAAATCGAGATTTGCAGTGTCGATTTATCAACTTCTATTGTACCTACTCTAGTAGCGACTATTGTCTTCAGCGATGATTTTCTAAATAAATAAAAATAATCGTCGTTATTTTTCTAAGGAATACAATTTTGTTGAAGTAGGTACCTACATCGTTTCTCACTTACACATACTTTAACGACTGTACCTACGTAGCAAAGCGCGCCAGTCACGAGTAACGACAAATTGCCTAAAAAATGTACCTACGCACACTGTAATGAAATCTTCTAATCTCAACACACACGCACTTCCTTATTTTGGCCGCATAGGTAGCATAGGATAGCCCGCGAAACTCAATTTTTTTTTTGCAATTTGCAGGCTAGTGCTAGATTGTTGATTAAAATATTATTCGCGCTGTAAGACGTATGTAGTTACAGAGTCAACTACATACGTCTTACAGCGCGAATCATAATCTAAAATCTAAACTAACGTGTTCAATAAATAGCAATAGGCTAATAGGTATTTGCAAGTCTTGCGAGACTCTTGCTGCAAGATCAAGACTGAGAGCGCAATACCAAGACCAAGATCAAGACCAGGTGTATTGACGCGAGACCAATACCAAGACTGGCCTAAGTCTCGTCTTGGTCTTGCATTTGGGCAACACTACTTTTAATACGTCGTAGTAACGATATGATTTAAATATTATTTATAAACAGTGATAGTTCATGCTGTTTTCGCGACTTTTATCAGGTGATCAACGACAATTTTGACTGCCGAAATATCCTTGTACTTAGAGATTTATAACTCTGATTACGATATTTTGTACAAAAATGTTAGTATTTTGCCGTGGTCAAATGCGACATGTTTATTAAGGAAATAAATTATTTATATAAAGTTATTTCTATATGTTGTATAAGCTATATTTTATGTCCATAAAAATGCGTACTCAAGGTTCAAGACTTCCTTGAGTCACATGACACAATTTGACCATATTAAGTTGCCCGTTAAAAAATTCTAAGTCATGGAAATATTTCATCTCCCGTTTAAGAGTTACTAAAGAACGCTGCTTTATTTTTTTATTGTGCGTAATGTACATTTTATTTAACTTATTAATTACGGCATTAAGGTTAAACATCGTGAGGAAACTGGCGTATCTTGACTCAAAAATCGGCATGTCGTGTCCGACACAGAAGGCCTCACTCGTCTGTAAAAGAAAATGATAAAAGGAAAAGCTGCATCCACATAGGGTTGTAGAGCCACTGGTTTGTTATCGCCATCAAATATCTTCATTCATACAATGAATTTAAAATTGCAGGAGAGTCCACGGCTTTAAATCCGTGACGGAGTTGTACAAATGGAGCTCGTCAGCGTTCTACCTTGAGCGGGTTAAGACGCCCATGATATTCATAAACGCGCGCGATGATCCTATAGTGCCTGAAGCACTGCTGCCCAACGTCAGGGAATTTGTTAGTGAGTATCATTAACCTGACAATTTATCTATTTTATCATAGTGACGTGTGTTTTTTCTGTAATATGCTAAAAAATAGAAAAGTAATTACTTAATAGATATTACAGAAATAGTGTTTATTCAGTTTAGTCATACTTCGATCTCTCATTTAATAGTATTAATACATAATATCGTTGGCTAACACGCGAATATCGTAATAACTTTCGATTATTTTTTTCACATCTTTGTACGCATCCGTAATAGAGCAGTGTTGTCCTAACAACTTTCATACCTTAGGTAGTAAGTTCGAACTTCGAGTGTGCACCAATGGACTTTCTGTCTACGTGCAGTGTGCACATTTAACACTAGCTTGTAAGGTGAAAGAAAACATTGTGAGGAAACCGGAATGTCTTAGACACAAAAAGTCGAAGGCGTGGTAGGCCGAGCACCGCCTATTAGCAAAAATAAATAATCACGAAAAACATAGAAATCTGAAACATTTGAACTTTCATTTTAATAGAAATTTAATAATATATTTTCCTGGTTTTGCATTTAAGAGAAGTTTCATCACAAAAAAATCGATCAGTGATCATTAAATGCCGTGTAAGATAAGATTTATCAATGATAATTTTTGATAATATATTTCAGGTTCGTACGATAAGAAAATGTTCTTGGAATTAGCGCATGGAGGTCACCTAGGTTTCTATGAAGGAGGTTTACTCTATGCCAATCCCGTGACGTGGCTAGACCGGGCTGTAGTGGGTCTCGTGGGAGGTCTTTTAATGGCACACAACAAATGCTCACCCAAAGAACACATTGAAACTGACTGTTCGATATCAGACGAAGAACCTGATCTCATTAAATCAGCTACAATATTATATAGAGACCCGTTAGACAAACAACACAAATATAATACATTCCCGTCGTAATTCCGCATTTAATGTTAACGTTCCATTTTACATATTATGTACGATTGTTTTGAAGTTTGTGTTGAAACGTGAAATGGAACGCAATTTTACGAATTTCAAATGAGATTATGGTTTTCTGTTTGAATGGATGTGTTGCTTTAGGTGTATTATTGACTAAGGCCCAGAGCAGATTTAACCCCTAAGGCCGGGTCGTATACCCAAAATAAGCGGTGCTACAAATCGTAAATTTTTGATTCTATACGACTGATGTTTTGAATATAGATCCCGGCCTAAAATGGCCTCTAAGAGCCTAATATGCAAACATGGGTTGAACAATGTTGTCAACTCTGGCAGGCCTAGATGCTTTAATGTATTTCCAATTTTAGTGTTTTAACTCAAATTGTTTATGTATCAATATTGTTTAAATCGTATTAAATTGCATTTATTGTATGTTTGACGCAACGGAATTTTTAATTGCAGTTAATTAAGAAAGATACAGTCCATTTATTCTGAATTAATATAAAGTGTACAAGGCTCTTAGCGTGAAGAAAAATCACGTTTTTATCACATACACTTGTCTCATTTATGAACTTAGATACTGTATTAATGTGATAGATTTCATAAAAATTTAAAAGTTTTAAATAATAATAATCCAAAAAATCATCACACAGCGAACATGCAAGACTACAGATTCAAAATAAAATAAATTTTGTGATTTGTTATCTTCATCAAATATAATTTGAACCTTTTTTCTTATGTTTTGTAATTAGTTCGTACTTATGTATATAAGGTATATTTTTGGATACAGTACCTACCTTAATAATAATGCATTTTGGAATTACAAAAATATTGAGTTTTTTGTTTTCATTATAATCTAATGTATATTTTATTGTTAACATAACAAATTAAACATAAGCTTAAAAAAATGTTTTAAATTTTACAACTACACAAGATGAGAGAGAGGACATGTGAACGGTCTCTCTCTCTCTCGCCATTTAATTAATTATTAGATCTATAATTTTACATCACCTCACTTTTCTCACTTCATCTTCACATTGGTTCTTCATGGTTAAAAACTACGCCATACTTCTAAACAAATTCAGAATAAATGGACTGTAGTGTTATTTAAAGTTATTTTTTAACAAAATAATTTGTTCAGTTGAAAAGTAAGTTAGATGTCTACTGAATCACACAAAATAAGAGTAAACGAAAAAAATACTTTAATAACGATACGAACGATTATTGTATTCCAAATTTAAAATTTATATACTGACTTTGAAAATTGAAGTTAGCTGCTATTTGCAAACTACAAGTTAATACAATGAAATTAAATTTAGAATACAACATTTTGTACTATTTCTATTAATAATTAAATTCTAACATGATTTTAACACAGAGCATTGTAAACAATGCTGTATTGTTTGTTATCAACTTAATTTATTATTATATCCAAATATTACTTACTGCCTTTTGTCTGTTACACGGATTAGAAATCCGATTTGACATATTTAGCAGCTAATGCCTTAATATGTGTTTTTATATGTGGTAGTGTTATGAAGCACAATAACAGGTTATAAAGTGTCTTAAAACTTGTTTAAATTATTGTATGAAGCTGTTAGCTGAGCTAAGGATTATAATTAATTATTTAATATATATTGCGTGTTCAGATGCCTTCTATTGATTGGCTTTACAGTGCATTGAATTAACGAAACTTTCGGAAAAGTTCCGTTGGTATTCCATTCGGGTCTGATTAATATGGTAGCAAACCAATTTTTCGAGGGTATTTTCAAAATTCAATGATTTTTAAAATTTATCTTATGGTGTAGAAAATAGTTATTGTATTTTAATATTTTTTTACATTTACACGCCAATGGACCACCGTTATGTCCGATGTTGCTCCGTGGCCATGAATGGTTGCTTTTAAAACACACGCAATAAACTTTTATAGTATCGAGTTATACAAACTCAATGTTAATCGTGAATGCGTATATTAGGTCAGTGTTAGTTGTGAGTACAAATTGCTTTTTGGATTATTATTAATGAATGAAGACTAGAATGTACAAGCGCCATAGATTCTTAGTTAATTGGCCTTAACTTAGCACAGGAAGGCTGATGAGCCAATGTTTTTTACAAGATTTTAGATAATCTTCAAAATACAATATTTTTAAGAACTTCGATAGTAAATTGAATCTCTGTTTATCTTTTTACGTACATAGTATCACAAAGAGCGCGTTACCAACGTGACATTAATACCTGCGGGGCTGTGTCTTTGTTTAGTATGTTTAAAATTATTTGCCTTTTGTAACGATGCACTGTTCAAGGACGTTTAACTTATTCAAATAAATGTAATAAAGTATATGTTTGGCTTCTTATTTGACAATAATGTATTGAGCGACGAAAGGACATAAACAAAACAAGCCAGGTTTGATAAATAAGTATATTTCTAGGTCATTAAATATAAAATTTTAAGAGACGGGTGAAGTTACGCTGCCTTACAATTAATAAATTACATCTAGATACTTAAATTATTTTGTAATTGGAATAAAATGACGCTTTAACTTAGTGCTAATACAGACACATACATATAGAGATTCAAACACAATAACAGATAATGAGCAAAAATGAGATTCTATAAATTTCTATAAACTAAAAACATACAAAGTATAAAAAAAATCAATAGACAATTAACATATAAGCGAAGAAACGTTATGTATATTCCAAATACAAATATCACAACATTTTTCTTAAATCGTATTTCTCTTTACACATATTAAACTTAGCAAATACACATCAATATTTAAGTATTTAGCGTCATAGTAATATACTTGTTATTATTATAAATTACAATAAATATTTCAGTGCCAGACCACATAATACTTTAAAAACCATAAAAATATGAAGGAGAGCAATATAATTTTATAATTTAATAAAGTTTTATTCAAATTTCTTATAATAAAAAATGTCACGAGATTATAAAATATGGCCACTGGGAGTGATTGAAGACTTAAACATATTTCAATTTTCGATAGATCATATTACATTATAAAAAAACGAGTTGTATTAAACTTACGGACAAATTAATCTCACTGTTTATAAGTATTTCGTATTAATCCAATGTGAATGAAAATAATATTCTATCAGTTATAACATTCTACCTAGAAATATGGAACTGGTACTTTACAGTCTTTCTTTACAAATGTGTCAATCTGAGTATTTTATAATAAATTAAAGCTTTTATATTTTACAAAATATTTAGTGTACTTATGAAATAAATCATTTAAATGCAATTAAATCGTAACTTACATTATCATATAGTCAGCATATGGATGACGGATCACCTTCCATAGTGCATGCTATGTTATCTAATTTATGAGCTAAGTGCATTTTATTTTCTAAACCTAACACAATTGGTTCTCTATATTTACTGACATAAATGTACAGCTCTTTCAAAGCAGAAAGTGTGTCGAATTCATTAAGCTGTTCCACGGAAAGCTGCTGCATCGAAGTACTCAGCTCTTGGTCAGTAACTTGAGGTAATTGAGACACGGCTTGATAAAAATGAATAACCATGTCTCTATATGTCGGTAAGTCTTTTGCAAATAACAATTTATTGGATGGAGAATCTTTACAAAGCCGGTGTTCCGATAATGAACACGCGTCCATAAACGTTTGGGCGATTACAGAAAGTGATGAATCCACCGTTGCGGTTTTATTGATATCAAATATGAAATCTGGATTTTTAATTAGATTTACCCAAAATCTTAGAGGTAAGCTGTTTGATTTCCAAGCATGTACTACTTCCGGATTTATAATACCGTGTGAACGAGCTGCATCATCAAATAGATCAAACAACCATTTAACAGCTGGAGGTAGAACTTCATTCACAGTTAATATCGTGCCAAAGAAATCATCTACAAATTTGTGCACCGTGCCCTTTGTTGACAGCAATCGAGTTAGAAAAATTTCAGGAATAGCTTTATGACTATGTTCCGATGACTTATTGACGATATGTTGATATTCGATAGGCTTGACTAGGTGATAATAATGAACATTTTGATCTGATATATCGCTCTTATAAACACGTATATGTGAGTTTGTACAGTAAATTCCAGTGCAATTTTTGCATGGTATCTTATATGGCGTATTAAAACTATCATTTTGACGAGGTATTAGGGACATAACAGCAGATTCTTTTAACGCCATAATGGGCTAAAGTGTTCAATTTACGCCAGCCATTTAATGTTTTAGTAGTTACGTCTTCATCTTGGAGAGTGACATGACCACCTCTGCCATGTCTCCACTCTAGATCAACTTCATGGACGGAGGGACGTAAACTAAATGGCGTATTTTTAAATAAAGCGTCTAATATTTTACCTTTGACTTGTGAAATGCTATCGCAATCCAATACTTTACACTGCACTTTGTCATCAAAATCATCTTGTATAATGTGCAATGTTACGATTTGATAATCAATCTGTTCTTTCAGCAGTTTTTCTTCTGATAAAGAATATCGTGCTTCATTAGTAATGGCATCTACTACTCCCTTTTCTATTTGATGTTTTATAGCCTTAAATAACAAGAAAAGAGATGATCCTGCGTAATCTTTAAGATAGTAATACATACATAATGCCATCCAATTAGTTAGCATTTTTTCGACGACACTTTCTGTTCTACGTAACATTAACTGAGGATGTTTATTACACACCGATTTGTCGATGAGTCGCAATAAAAGAGATTTCAATATATCTGTGGCATATTCCATTTTTCCCATTAGAATTATCATTAGTAAAGAAGCGACGTTAACTTTATCTCGTATGTTAAATGACTTCTGAGATTCTAACGTGTCAATAAATGACAACAAAAAACATTTGTTGTTCAACAGTTGTTCAAATTGAAACATAGCTGCGTCGTAGTTAGTTCTTGGTGTATTAATATACTGACGCTTGACATTTAGAATTGGATGATCGGACACTCCGGGGAAAAATACTTTCATGACATAATTAACATGATCAAGTGTTGGTATACCAGAATGTTCTAGATCGGCTGCTAAATCTGACATATCGGTTTGAAGCTCAGCAAAGGCTAATTTGCACTCTAATCGAACATTACTTTCAAGAGTATCCATTTGTATTTGAATGCGTTTATATTCTCTTTCTGCTTTAGTGCTACGTCTTCTGTACATCACAAGGACAATCATAAATATTAAAACCAAAAAGAATGTGCCAGCTGCAATTGCAGCAATAGCTTCTGGAGGAAAATTATAATTTCTTAGTAGCTCATAATGAAGATACCCTATAGGGAATCTTAAATTTCTACCAATTTTAACAACAACTAAAGGCAAGTTTAATTCATTAGTTTGAAATCCATTCTCATCAGTACTTGCAGGTTGTACTTCTGGCGGAGTACATAGTAGTTGCTGCATTGTTAAACTTGTAACATTACATGGCTGAGTACCTATAGTTACAACAACATCAGACTCATCACTAGCTTTTATTAAACTGTCTCCTTCTATAACTAACGGGTCATGGTGGTCTTTGTAAGATTTAATTCTATTTGGAAATTGATAAATATGAGGATCATCTACATAAACCATGTGAGTCCTTGGTGGGTTAAAATATTTTTCTAAATCATGCATTGTTTGTACATTATCCATTACAAATCCAATTTTCATAGCAATTTGAGGAGTATTGGTTTGAGATTTTGTGGCTTGTAAGATTTCATTATATTTTTCATTAATAGCTGGACTTGGACATTCCATTTGGTTGGAATTCAGAACGACACAGGAAGTAGAATTAACTGGTATATCTTCATTTGAATAATATAACTTTATTAAAGGCTTTTGTATTGTGTGTAAATTAGTGCCATGAACTGTTATCATTCTCCCTCCAGATACAAAGCTTTTTAATGGTTTAATCTCCATAATCGTTGGGTCAATTGTATAGTTAAAAAGGTCTCCTTTTAGTGTTCGATTTGCATTATCAATAGAAACTGTAATGGTATGTATTATGAGAGGATTGTTTACTTTAGGAGTTACACATATTAGCCTACTGTTTGAAGTTTGGGTCTTGTTGACAGCACAAGGAAGTTCATCAAGATATGCCAAGACTTTGGATCCAATATTGAGATGTTGTCCTCCAATTGCCAACTGAGTACCACCAGCAACAGGGCCTAATGTAGGATAAACGCCTTGTAGTTTTATATTTTTGTAACTAAAAAATACTGATGATTCTGTGTAGCCTGAGTCATTTTCAACAATGACTGGTACAACAGCAGAAGAATTAGATGGCCCAGTTTTGCATGTTATACTCACAGATACTTCAAAATCTACTATTTCACAAAGAACTTCTCCAATGCGAACTTTTCCTGTTACTTCTTCTACATGCAAACCAAGGTTGCTGCCTTCAATGGTGAGGATAGTTCCACCTTCAATTGGTCCACTTAATGGTTTGATCATATCAATTCTAGGTTTGGGACATTCAGCTACTGGATTTTCAAGACACGAGTCACTATATGAACAAGAATTTCCGCACCAAGTGCATTGATAAACTGTGTTTCGTGTAATACAAAGAGAGCAATCAGCATGATCTCGGTGTGATCCTAGTATTTCACATTTATATAAAGTAATTGTTATAGTATCAATATAATGCTTATGATTCCAAAAAACTTTGACACTGACATTATATTCACCAACATCCTCTTCATAGGAATACATAGTTTTATCACAAACAATAAAATGATTTGATTCAACTCTTGCTGGTAAAATCATGTTAGCCAATTCAATACTAACAATACACTGAAATCCTGTGTGTCCAGGTTGTAAATGTGGCAGGTTTTCAACTTCAAGTTCCAATTCTTTTGGTACATTATTTGGTAATAAAATTGATTTTTTGTATTGTCTGATTCGGGGACAGTGCCCAATACCATGATTAAGTAACTTTGTTGGATTATTTTCCCCTGATATGATTGTTCTTTGGCAAACTGAAATATCATGTGTGCACTTATTGTCATAGATACACCAATTGCATGCCCACTCACTCATGATACAGGTTTGGCATGTTGTATGTGTGGAACAATCATAGAAAGCAAAATTACGAGAAACAAAATCTTTATTTGTTTCAGATGAATGAACTAATAATGGAACATAAACATGATCTTGATTAGGTGAGATTTTAGGTCTATGTTTTAAATCTGGTGTTGGACATGCAAGACCACTAGAAGTAACAGCTGCATCAATTGCAGGTGCATTTCCAAAAACACATTTATACTTAGCACCAAATGGCAATTCAGGTAAAGTTCTTATGACTAATTGAACAGTAGTCACTTCATTTACTGATATTCTATCTGGTAAAATTTGTTCGAAGTCAATGCATTGCTGACCAGTATACTGAGAAAGCCATCTAGGAGCACTTTGTGTACCTTTTTGACACATATTTTGTATGGTACAACGTTTTTCTAATGAACACCAGCCACAATGAGGGTCATTGGATCCCAAACATGAAGAGCAATTGCTATAATCTGCACATTTTTCTGTAGATATTTGAATTATGGAATTTTTGGCTATCACATAAAGTGATTTTTGATATGAGGATAAAGTAGTATCAGGAAGTATTCTTTGACCAGGTAAAAGAACTTCGCTTGTATATTGTAAAGCCTTTTCAGCATCAATTAATACTCTTTTTATACTACCCTTGCTAGTCCCAAGGAAAGCTACTGTATGTAATCCAGTAACAGACATAGTAACAGATGTAATTAAAGTGTCATTCCACTGTAGGACAGACATTGTCTTAATGGGATATAGACCACTTATTTTTAATCCCACTTCACAAAAGTTAAGAATATTACCAACTGAACCAACACTAGGACATTTACCATCTGATATCATACCAGATATGTAACCCATGTTACGGGCCTTAGTACTACCATTAAAACACATATGAACATTTTCATTAAACTTAATTTCTATTTCCTGCATGGAAAATACACAGATTGCAGATTTTGACATGGGCTCATTACTAATACCTTTTGATGGACTAAAAGTTGCTACAAGAATATAATCACCTGGTTCTATACCTAACTGATTTGCTAGATTAATACCAGCTTTAGCAATTTTTGCATCTTGTACTAGGTTATAATTGACAATTTCACTCTTACCTTCACTTGTAACTTCTCTCACATGACACTCTAAAGTAACCTCAGTATAGCTATTATAGTTGTCATCATTAACACAAGTCCTAGCTAATCTTGACACATATCCAAGTTCTTCATTACCCGCAAGATGTGAATGCTTCTGGATGATGAGAAAGTAGGCATAATCACTAGCATTGAATCCATAAACATATTGTACCAAAAAGTTGTCTCTATATTTAACATCTATTTGTATTGAACTCTGTTTAGAAAATGTAGACTGTGCCAGCTGTAGAGACATTAAATTTCTGCTTGAAATAGCAGGAACATCGTGCCTATATTCACCATTATTTGTAAAAGTTGTTCCAACATAAAGGGCATTAGAACGTTCCCAGGAATTATATCTTTCAGGTCCTATAAATGCATAAGTAGATGCATCAGCGTCATTTGCTGCAACACTTTCAGCAATAAAGTCAGGCTCTGCGGACAAATCACCCAGCTTGTACAATGAGCATGAACCTTGCGCCACACTACCACATGCTATAACTATCCTTGACTCTTGATCAATCACTAATATTTTATTTACATTGTCGATCCATGTTGTTTGGATATCGGAAGAAGAGCATCCACTGGCATGGCACGTCGGGTTATCTAGTTTGGGTCCAGTCCGAATTACGTGTAAAGGCTTCAAATCTGGACTTAGCTGGTGAAGCCAATTTATAGAGGCAGCGTAAACTTGGCCACTGACTTTGTCTACAACTAAGTGATTGAAATAGAATGTTTCATTGGAGTGCATAGGATATTGAGATATGAAATCAAATCCATAAACCACTGTGCACTGAAGCCAAAATATTATAAGTATTCCTGTCATGATAGCTACCATAATCACATTGTTATATATGCTCACATTAATTTTTAAATTGTTTTCACAACCGCTTCTTTCTTTTTCATTTTCAACCCATTTTACAATAATATCAAGCAAATAGCAATACAATATCGATGCCGATGACAGAATAAACAGCAGAGTATAAACCATAAGTAATAGAGTACCGACTACAGATACCTCTGAAAAAGTAAATTTTTTTGAATCTCTGTTCAGTGTCTATACTTCCCGATTCCTGTATGTTTTGTACATATCTATCATAATATATACATATTTACGATTTGATATCGACAGTCGATATTCTAACAGCTTGTCCATATACATATTTATATCTTTGAATAAATATCCATACGGAATAGAGAAATAAAGGGGCTCAACTGCCATTTAAGTAGTTAGTTTACTGCCAATAATTTCACCGTATTATATTAATCTGTAACACAGATCATATTAACGAAAAAAACTGTGTGCGTTAGGTCGACAGCGTCGCAGGCGAAATCACCACCACAGTATACAAAATGGTGGCAAAACGAAAAGCGGCAACAACCACAACTTTACGTTAGAATATTTTATTAATTTTTGTAAAAATTTTCTCAATTTGTTTTTGTCAGTTGAATCAAGATACATAGATTTTATTATAAATAATTATATTTGTAAGGGCAAGAAGTGATCGTCCATGTGTTCAATGCTGGTGTACAAACTTAAAACTTGTGCTAGAATAAGTGTTATTAAAATTCAATTAAAATATGTTTTGTAATCTCTATCATGAAACCTGCTTTGGGTCATGTTATTATCTTTTCTTGTGTATCTCGCTGCCATTAAATCGTTGAAATGATGGCTACTATGGCTGCCGGCGGACCTGGGGATCCGCACACCCAGATGAACACTTACCGATCCTATGTGACCATGCTTGCGGATCCCGGTGCTAAGGATGAAATTAAACTCAAAGCTGCGCAGGAGCTAAGTGAGAATTTTGAGGTAAAAATCTTCTATAGTCTTTCAACAAACAGCTTTCACAAATTCTTTAAAATACGAAGAAGTATAAGTTATGAAAAATAATTGTAAATACATAACTTCAATCCGGTAAAAAATTGTTTTATTAACGAAGAAGTATGTTTAAAGCTATTGTGATAAATAACAGAAATGTAAAAAAAAACTATTATTATTAAATACTACTGTGGGTAGTTCTTGTATAATACCTGGGAGGTTATTCCATTATATTAGCTAAATTTTAATACATAGTTAAATAAAATTAATTAATTTAATTCAAAATTTCAGCATAAATATGTTTTAATCAAAACTTATAAAAAGTCAAAGAATTAATTATTACTGAATTACTTTAGAACATATATCTTAGTGATTTCAATCCTTAAGTTAGTTATTCATAATAACAAACATAGATGAACTAATAAATATAAATATATACACATATGTATAACATTGATATTTACACATTTTTCAGGTAATTCTAAGTTCACCACAGTACCCTCAATTTTTGGAGCATTCTCTTAAAATTTTTCTTAAAATATTGCAAGAAGGGGAACCACACTTTATTGCCGAGTACAATATACAACAAGTTAGAAAACTAATATTGGAGATGATACATAGGCTGCCAATCAGTGAGACACTTAGGCCATATGTTAAAAGTATATTAATATTGATGTTGAAGCTAATGGAAATAGAGAATGAAGAGAATGTTTTAGTATGTCTAAAAATTTTTATGGAACTGCATAAACAATACAGACCTGCATATTCTACTGATGTTGATGTAAGTTTTATTTTAATTTATTTTGTACAATATATATATACAATGTTTAAGAAGATTATTGAACCTTTATCCTTTTATTTTTGGTGAGACAGGAAAAGTCACATAAGTTTGGCTAACTTTTAATACCTTCTTACCACAGCACAAAATAATAGTGCACACTATTTTACATTCCCAATGGTATAGGTATATGTCTTGTACAATATCATTTATTGGGATCCTGTTTAACTTTAACAGGTTAGTCAAGAAAGTACCCGTAAGAGAGAGAAAATGTGTTTATTAATATAACATCTAAGCACTTGTCTATGAATGAGACTATAATTGTCATTGTTTTAAAATAAAATAAAAAACATGTCACAGGTTTCTAGTGGAATTGTTTTAAAATGGTTCAGTAATTCAAACTCACAAAGTTTACTGCTTTACCATGTAATGAGCTAACTGTATTTTTTTCAGATTCATAAGTTCCTACAGTGGGTTAAAGCGATATACTCTGATTTACCTAACCACTTGCCAAAAATATTTGAACCACGACCATCAATTCGAGTAAAGGATCTCTCGGAAGTGAATATAGATCAGCTTCTACTTGAAACATATACTACAACACCCATACATACTGAAAAGAAACTTCTAGATGGAAGTGTTGTCACAGTAAGGAATAAAATTTTGCTATTCATAAACTAATTGCTGATTATTAATTAACTGAGCTTAACTGTATTCAAAAGTATTATTTAAGTATTCAATACTAAACTGCAGAAAAATTCTTATAAATATATTTTTCTTTCAGTACAATCTAATTCCAAAATCTGTGATTTCTCTTAAAGTAATTCAAGAACTTCCAATCATAGTAGTTCTCATGTATCAACTTTATAAGCAGAATGTACACCAAGAAGTCAGTAATTTCATACCCCTTATTATGGACACTATTACGCTACAACCTTCTGCTACACTCCGGTATGTTTTTTTTACGATAAAGACTTCTTTAGGGGTCTGTTATAATTAATTTAATAGTATAATATTATGTAGCTGACAGAATTGTTTAAGAATATTAACTTATATATTATTTTCAGCCAATCTGCCACATTCAATAAAGAGGTTTTTGTTGATTTTATGGGAGCTCAAATAAAAACGTTGGCGTTTTTGGCCTACATTATTAGGATTTATCAGGATACAATAGCTAATCATGCAACCATGATGGTAAAGGGCATTATTGGGTTGCTAACATTATGTCCTCCAGAGGTAGCCCACTTAAGGAAAGAATTGGTCATTGCTACTCGCCATATATTAGCTACGGATTTAAGGCTGAGTATGTATTCCTTGCTTCTAGCTAAATAAGTTAAGAACACATTTACACAAACAGTAGAGACTACTGTTATGTATTTCATGAAATTGTGTATTAATAATTAATAATTTATGTTTATTTCTAGAATTTGTACCCTACATGGAGCGATTATTTGATGAAGATGTGTTACTTGGAGGTGGTTGGACGGTTCATGAGTCATTGCGACCTTTGGCCTATTCCACTTTAGCAGACTTGGTCCATCATGTGCGACAGCATTTGCCTCTCTCAGATCTAGCAATTGCAGCTCATTTGTTTTCAAAAAATGTACATGATGAATCTTTACCAACTAGGTGAGCATTTGTTATATCTTTTTACACAGTCCATAGTCATTTTCGATTATATATCACTGACTTGCGCAGTTATGTATAGCAGCAATCTTTTATATATAATATACAATATATTTTTCTATAACTTCGGATATTCGGAGTTTTTCATAATAACTTTTTTTTTTCAGTATACAAACTATGTCTTGTAAGCTACTCCTTAATTTGGTAGACTGCATTCGCCAAAGGTCAGAAAGTGAGAACGCGGCAGGAACACAGCCGCAAGGAAGGCAGCTGCTTATGCGAATTTTGGAAGTATTTGTGCTTAAGTTTAAAACAATGTCTAAGCTACAACTACCGGCACTTATGGCTAAGTAGTAAGTTATGTTAAAAATAAACAAACACAGTGTTTCCCAACCTTTTTTGTCCCATGCCCCACCTAGCCTTTCTAAAATTCTTATTGGGGGACTTCTATGTAAATTACGCGATATTGCTTTTTTTTTAATTTTATTGTAAAAACTTAAATGATTCGTTTTATGAAGATATTGCTGAGAAGTTGTTAATGAAATACAGTAAGTAAACTTTCAAAACATATAATGGAAAACTGAAAGTCAAAATCCAAAGAATTCCATAAGTTTTTAAATAGCCCTCTATAACAATAAATTTGCCCCCTATGGAACATGGGCCCCACCTTGGGAATCGCTGATCCATTATGTGTACTAATTATTTCTTTTACGAATTTTTACAGAATATTTGTGCAGAGTTATATAACATATTATATAGACAATAACTTGTACCATAGCATACATATGCTTGAGTATATATAAACTAATATTGATTTTTCAGTAAACAAGCTTGTCCAACTCCAGCTCCAACTCCTACAAATGGAAGTCCACCCACAAACCCAAATACACCAACAGCCACAGTACCTACAACAGTTGAAGTCAAGGTGGAAGAAGAGAAACCAACCACAGACTTTCTTGACAGCTTGAACAAAGTAGAAGAAAAATCTAAGATTGGCTTTCCAACGTCGCAAATGAGCAATTTGAATGTTGGGGACTACAGAACCTTGGTCAAGACATTAGTGTGTGGTGTTAAAACGATAACTTGGGGTTGTGCCTCTTGTAAGGTATGTTCCAAAAAGAGTGGTTTGATTTATCATTGAGGTTTTTTTAAACGCAATTGTTTTCTTAAGGTATGCTTGTATGGTTTAAATGCATTTATGATCGCGCTATAGAACTTTTCAATTCTTTATTTGGACCGCCAATTTATGATAAACATGTTATAAGAACAAATACAGTCAAAACGACGACATCGTTTAGGTCGATTCGATTTTGGTCAATATAACATATTGGTTATATTGACCAAAATCAAAGGTCTCTGCTGAATTCTATTGTATAAGGTACTTAATAACAAAGTCATCGGCTGTTACGACTTTCGGTTTTTACGACCAAATATGAATAGTCCCTTCGGTGTCGTTATAACAGATTTTGACTGTAGTACTGATAAATAAAAAAAACTTTAGAGGTGTCAAGGGACACCCGGATGGAAAGAAATTCCTTTCGATTAATTTATATGTTAATTGGTATCATAACAGTATGATAGATTTTCTCGACACCAATCTTACGACGAAAAACAAAAGCCAACATCACGAGGTGTTCCCAGGCGGTCACCCATCCAAGTACTGACCTCTCCCGACGTTGCTTAACTTCGGTGATCGGACGAGAACCGGTGTATTACAATAGCAAATAGCAAAAAAAAGTGTCGTGACAACTTTTCGTAAGAATTTTTTCCGTCTAGCCCCCTTTCACAACGCGCGATAAGGAACTTTGTTCCAATATCAAAATGATGACATCCCTATAATGTGTGGATACGACAATTTAAATATACAATTAATAAAAATAAAAAATATTGTATTCCTAATTTCAATTTTTATGAGTAATTTCAAACGATCTGATTGTGTATTTGAATTTGTATTTCATTAAACACATTATAGGGGATCAGCTTTGTGTGTCTATCAGAAGGTTTTTTGTTTTAAATTCAAAACCATCTGGCATAAGAGAACCAAGTGATATAAAACCTAGCAAGATCTTTATAGTGCTGTTAAATAGAAAATTATGTAACACGATTTATATTTATAATACTTCTTACATAGACATCGACAACCGCCGAAGGCACATCGACAACGACCGTAGCAGGGCAGAAGCAGCACGTGTCGGCCCGCGAGACACTGGTGTACATCCGCCTTGTGGTATGGGGCTTGCAGTCCTTGGACATTTATACGTTATCTGCGCCTCGTCAACCAGTCCATACGCCTTCTCAGCCCCATGTTCGCTCGAAGGAGGAAAAGGAGGTGCTCGAACATTTCAGCGGAGTGGTAAGAATTATTCTTTAAAATAAAAAAAATGGTTTATAGAAAAGTCACAGAATAAAATAAAATAATTTGTCATTAAAGAGAGATAATATTTTAATTATTATTCTTTTCAGTTCTCCATGATGAACCCTCAAACATTTCAAGAAATATTCACAGCAACCATATCTCATATGGTGGAAAGAATAAATAAAAACACCACGCTTCAAATTATTGCCAACACGTTTTTGTCAAATCCCGCGACGTCGCCCATATTTGCCACTGTACTTGTTGAATATCTCTTAAAGAGAATGGAGGAAATGGGATCTAACGTAGAAAGATCTAATTTATACTTAAGATTATTTAAGTTAGTTTTTGGCTCCGTAAGTTTATTCCCGACGGAAAATGAACAGATGTTAAGGCCTCATTTACACAGCATAGTTAACAAAGCTATGGATTACGCAATGACCGCAAAAGAACCATACAATTATTTCTTACTTCTAAGAGCATTATTTAGATCTATCGGCGGTGGCAGCCACGACTTGCTTTATCAAGAATTTCTGCCATTACTACCGAATTTACTAGAAGGCCTTAATAGGCTGCAAAGTGGTCTTCACAAACAGCACATGAAAGATTTATTCGTGGAGTTGTGTTTGACGGTGCCAGTTAGATTGAGTAGTCTCTTACCGTATTTGCCGATGCTGATGGACCCATTGGTTTCGGCTCTAAATGGATCTCACACTCTAATATCGCAAGGACTCAGAACGTTAGAGCTGTGCGTTGATAATTTGCAGCCTGACTTCTTGTATGAGCATATCCAACCCGTTAGAGCAGATCTAATGCAAGCTCTTTGGAGAACCCTACAGAATAGCGAAGTTGCTAGAATAGCTTTTAGAGTACTTGGAAAATTTGGTGGTGGTAACAGAAAGATGATGATAGAACCGCAGAGACTGGAATACAGAGAAACCGACGCTCCTCCACCAGCCGTTATGGCTTACTTCCAAGATCAAGCTAAACCGATTGATTTTGAAGTAGATAAAGTAATAGAAACTGCATTTTCTGCTTTGAAATCGAGTACTACGGACCCGTTTTATCGTCGCCAGTGTTGGGAAGTTCTTCGCTGTTATTTGGCGGCTTCCCTGAATTTAGAGGACGACAGACCTACACTCCAAAAGTTGTTCAATCATCCTAGCTTTCTCGAAGGAAAAATACCAGCCCAGAGTGGCCCGTACTACAAATGTTCAAATTCGATCGTTAGAAACACGCACAAAACGGCGCTCACTGGGATGTTTGTCGCCGCCGCCATTAAGGAGTTGCGACAGCACGTTCTACCCACAATGGTTTCTCTTGTGCGTCATTATACTTTAGTCGCCATAGCCCAAGAAGCGGGGCCTTTTGCGGGTTCAGGGGGACCAAAAGAGGGTCTCGATGCCTTGGTTTTAGTTGACGCCATCGCAGTTGTAATGGGTCACGAAGAGAAGGAACTGTGCAAACCTGGACATTTGGCTCTAGTGCTAATGATAGAAACAGCAGCGACAGTTCTGGGAAGCAAAGAACGAGCCTGCAAATTGCCTTTGATGGAGTACCTCGCTGAGAGAATGTCGTCGCTTTGCTACGAACGTGCCTGGTACGCTAAGCTCGGAGGCTGCATAGCGGTCAAGTTTATGTTTGAGAAAATGGCGCCGGAATGGGTATACAAGCACGTGTTTACCTTTTTAAAGGCGGTTTTGTTTGTTATGATGGATTTGACCGGGGAAGTTTCGTCGGGTGCATTGGATATGGCTACAGTGAATTTGGAGCGATTAGTTCGCGTTTGTGTGACCGGTCCGGGAGGACAAGCCATTGAACTTGATGGAGAAGTAGCGGCCGCTAGGACTCGAGCGCTGCACGATGTTCTGCAAGAACTCGTCTTGCAGGTTACCAGCCCTCATCTACTCGTTCGGCAGCAGGTAACTATTATAATCTAAGACTATTTAATAACAATTGAATAGATTTGACTGATGGTTTATTGCTTTTAGGCAATGAAATCCCTGGAACTTATAGCTGAACTACAGAATAAGTCCGTAACTGATGTAATGGACCCACACCGGGAAGTGTTGTCGGATATAATTCCGCCTAAGAAGCACTTACTGAGACATCAACCCGCTAATGCACAAATGGGTCTAATGGACGGGACCACCTTCTGCACAACTCTTAAACCGAGACTGTTTACAATAGGTATAATTAATTATTTTTATATGTATGTATATTTTATAAATGTATTTTTCATAGTTAAAACAAGGTGGCAACTTATTCTTATTAAGGGTTTATTATTATTGTATAGTGGTTGTGTATTATATATGTAATACAAAAACGTACGTAAACACGAGGACGTATACGTGCTGATAACGCACGCAACTACATATGATACGTATACTTCCAGATCTGAACGTTAACGAACACAAAGTGTTCTTCCGCGAACTGCTCTCCCTCTGCGAGGCAGAAGACGCGATGCTTGGAAAGTTGCCCTGTTACAAAGGGGTCAATCTTATCCCTCTACGTATTTCGGCTTTACGGGCTTTAGCGGCGTGTCATTATATACAGGAGAAACATTGTAGGGAGAAGATATTCCAAGTGTTGTATAAGTCACTGGAGAAGAATGATACAGAGCTGCAACAGGTGAATTTAGCTTGTTCATTACTAGTTCGTAGTTAGTGTAATTTATCTATAGTTATTTTAGTTTTTGCACTGTCAATTAATTATATAATTTATCGTAGCATTAACAAAGATCTATAATATCAATAGTCTCTTAATATTGATTTTTGGTTTTTCATTTTATCTATAAAAATTATCCAACTAGCGGATCCGACATATATTGTTCTTTAAATATTACTTAAATACACAAAAAATCTACTAATTGTAAATCAAAACCACTCTCGAATTCACTTGAACATAAACAAAAAATTTCATCAAAATCGGTCCAGCCGTTAGCAATTTAGGAGGAATTTAATTACAAAAACGCGCAAAGAAGATTTTTTATATATAAAGATACTAATAATATTTATATTAATAAAATTTGTTTCAGGCGGGCTTTGAGTGTATGCAAAAATTCTTAGCCGGTTTCCAAATTGATATGGACATGGTTCATCCTGTCATGAGACCCTTGCTACTTACGCTGGGAGACCACAGGAACTTAAGCGTCAACGGCGCTAAGAGGCTCTCATACCTGACACAGCTCTTCCCTTCCACCTTCAGTGAGAAGCTCTGTGAACAACTCCTGCAATTATTAAAGAAATTGCTGGATTATTCGATTCAGACTAATAGAGGTCAGTAACTTTTCAGAAAATTGAATTAAAAAAAAATATATATACCGTCGGAGAAACATCGTCACTCCATCGATATAGACATCGCCATTACTGAGCGTCATGTGGGTAAAGTGCGAGCACAAGACACGAATAATTATCGTATAATATTTAATTTAGATTGAATATCTTAACATAACACTTTATCTTAAATTATAACGAGCAGCGGGTTCAAGGCACCGATATTACGTTTAATCACAATCTACCCAACCACAAATCACATAGACCCAACTCAGTCGAACGTCTCATCGCCACAATACTCCACTGTTTACTCAATGAGTACTACCCTGCATTGCCTGAACGCACTGTCCAAAGTCTAGATAGCGCCTCGACCCCACACGAGGCATTTGCTTTGCTCTGATTGGTCGTAACAAAATTTGTACTTTTACTCGTGAAGTAATAATTCTAAACATACAAATAACATTGAAACAATGAAATAATAATAATACAAAATATAATCGAAATAAATTATGATTCTTAAAAGTAATAGAAGGAATCTCAATTATTAACCAAAGCAACAATAAAAATCAACGGTCAATTTCCTAATCAGAACATTTCCTGATATTCCTTTTATACATGTATATAAAATATTGATGTTTATTTAAATTTGATCTGTTTTAGGTGGGAACTTTTTACAAAGCGTATCAAAGAACATGGAAAATGAACAGAAAATAATAATATTGATTGGTATTTTCCATCAAATACCGGCCGCTTCGCCGCGCTTTATTGACGTGCTCTGTCGGCTCATATTCCACACGGAGAAGTCTCTTATGATAGAGGCAGGCTCACCTTTCCGTGATCCATTAGTAAAGTTCCTACTGAGGTGAGTCACATTCAACATATACTTGATAATATATCTAACATTTCACTTAAATCAAATTATTTAAAAATAAAAAAATATTTATTTTTTGTTTAATCTGAGTACATTAAACAATTTTCAAGATTTCTTGTCTAAAGAATAGTAAATTTTTTAATTGTATAAATCCTGTATTGGATTAAGATGTCAAAACAATAATAATCCAGTGGCGATACCACTCTTAATGGATCTTCGCCTCCTTCGTCTCAAATTGCAGCCATTTCTTTGATCATTATTCTTTTATTAGACGTAGGTGATCAGTCTTCTGTGTCTGACACATGTCTTCGATTTTAGGGTCGTGTTAGTTGTGCACATAGAAAGAAATATTATATAAGTGATTAGAATCGCACGCTAAAGCCACTAGGCCAACACTGCTCATAAACAAAGAATCATATAACGATTAGAAGTGAATTAAATGGTGGTGTTTTGTTCATTCATAGCACTTTATTACAATTTATTTACAGATACCCGAAGGAAACACTCGACCTCATTATGAGCGATAACAATATAAAAGACCAGCAATGGAGTCGCTTCCTAGTATTCCTCGTAAAACACGAAGAAGCCGGCCAAGCATTCCGCGAAGCTCTACAAACCACGAAAAAAGCCAGACTATTGCAATTACTGGCTGCTAACAGTGGAACCAATTTATCCCAACCAGATAAAATTGAGATGCAATTTCAAGCGATACGAGTTATATCCTTGCTTATCAAATTTGATGACCAGTGGCTGTCCACTCAGCATGACTTGATTGAGTTATTAAAGCGAATATGGTGCACTGACCAATATCAGGTAAGTTATTTTTATTATTTATTCAAACTTTGCACACAATAAAATATTAACAATAAACTTTAAAAAAACATGGTGCAACGGGCCTTATTGATACTAAGGGATCTATTCCAGTTAACTCTAATTATAAAAAAAAAGGTTGTGAAGAATTGTCTAGTTTATAAAACAAAAATAATATTAATGATAATACAAAAAAATCAATGAATATATTAATTAAGAGGATATTATGGGTTATTTATGTAGAATAAAATAAATGAGTAAAGGATATTTATAAAAATAATAACATAAGTAGTCTACAATTATAAAAATATCTGAAATAAAACTTCACTAAATCTTAACATTAACTTGAATAAATATGTAATAAATTAAATAATGTACCTTTTTATGTGGTAATTTTCACCACATCAATATTACTATTACCATATACATTGAAAGCCTTTACAAATATACACAAATTCAATATTTACAAGAACGATTTAGACCCCAGAACGTCAAATTCAAATAAGGCAAGGTCGTTAGACGACACTACTGTAAAGTTCGTGTCTCAGATTAATCCTGCTCTAGAAGTCCCATATTCTTTTTACGGCGGATTATTGCAAATTTCCGTAGTTTTCATTCATGTTTTAAGCCAAGTGAAGTATTTTGAATCAAATCAAGGTTAATTTTAGTTGTGTATCTTACAATATTGTATAGAATGCGAAACAGTATTTTGCCCACAGATTCTGGAATTAAGTTTATTCAGTTTTTCCTATATTATTATAGATATATATTTTAAAAAGTTTTTATAATTGTGTTATGTTTGTAAAATATTTTTTACTTATTTTTTTGTTATAGGAAACGCATAAGAAAGTGGAGAATGTTGAGTGTAGCCATTGGAAGGAACCGAAGCTAATCGTGAAGATTTTGTTGCACTACTTCTGTCATCATCCTTCCAACATTGACCTGCTCTTCCAGTTATTGCGAGCCTTATGTGATAGATTTATACCGGATTTCCAAGTACGTACTTCATTTTTAGTATGTTGTATGTATGTTTGTTTGTCCACAAATTTCTCGGTAATTCAAAGTCGGATTGAGATGACAGGTATTTGCCGGTTTAATTTTTCTAAAATACTTTTTACAAGTTTAATAAGGTTTCTTCTTAAAAATAACTTTGCTTATACAAATACTCGTGAAGAGGCGAGTTCTTCTCTGTCTGTTCTGCGCTTTTGATTTAAGAATTCGTGGAAATATAAATTTAGATTGATTTCATAAGTCTTAGGTTCGATCCCCAGCTGTGCACCAATGTACTTTATATGTGCTCATTTAACACTTGCTAATTCGGTGAAGAAAGACATCGCGAGGAAACCGGCATCCCTTTGACCCAAAAGAAGGCCTGTGTCAGGCTCAGAAGGCTGATCTCCTATTTGGTTTTTAGAAAAAACAATGACCACGAAACATATACAGAAATCTGAGGCCCAGATCTAAACGGTTGTAGCGCCACTAGTTTTTTTATATACGTACTGTTATACCCCTAAATTGTAAGCCTTAATGCTAATACAATATTAAAGACAGTCATGTCATCGTAAAGCTAAAACAGTCATGTCATCATAAAGTATGGGATATAGTCTCCATCCGTTTGGTAGCAGTCAGTCTGCTTTGAGATCTTATCCAGAACGGTTATTTTAATCAATCTTAATTACGAGTTTTAAATCTTTGTATTAATCATTTCAAATAAATATAGCTAATTAAAATAAGTTTTTTTTAAAAACTTAAACCCAAGAACTCGTATAACATTTTGGTGGCAGCGGTGGGATCCGGATATTCCAAGTGCCGTTCCGCAGACTCGCGCCGGATCTCGCGTAATCCAAATCGTAGTCCGTTACCATACTACGAATCCAGTGAATCTTGTGAATAGTGAAATAATATTCAGTGCAAATAAGTCCTGTGAAATAAATCATACCCCGTAATACACTGTGGTGGTCCCAGAGAGGATCTGTGCTCTATAAATAGAAGATCAACATCCTGCCTATCTTCGAGTTGCAACCACTCACCTTCGACGTGACACAACGTGTCCTCAACCTGTCCTGGACACGTCATTAACATACCCTGAGAAAAGAAACATCTACCTGTGAAAGAATCAAATTAAGAGATATAATTACTCGCTACATATCACGCATCGGAATGTTCCCAGCCGTCGCCGTCGTGTTCTTATCAGCCGCTCACATAGTATATACACAGTAAGTCTTTGGTCATTGTTTTGTTTAATTTTAGAGTTCCGTTGGTCATTTTGTAAAACCCTTCTTGATATTTTAAAGTGTATATCGTTAGTAAAATATTTGTAGTTATATCGGCTGAGAATCCTTTATCTTAACCAACAAAGGATTTATTTTTCTTGTTGTTGAATCTATTATGCTAGGACCACCCAAGGTTGAAGAGACCTCTCCTGAAAAATCGGACGAATCTGTAGAACCAAAAGGTCAACCTAAATCATCCCGGCAACCATCTCCATCCTCTAGAAGTACTAGATCTAAATCCAAAACTACTGAGATGGATATCAATGCCCTTCTTAAATTTATTAAGCCTTACGATGGCAGTAGAGAAAATCTTAACGCTTTTATTATTAAATGCACTAACGCTATGGACCTGGCGTCAGATGTTCAAAAACCAATGCTTTTTAAGTACATTATTAATTCCTTAGAGGGAAAGGCTGCTACTACATGTGCAATAAAAGAATTTAATGACTGGTCCCAATTGAAAGAATTCTTAAAAACCCAGTTTAGTGAACATAAACACTACACACATTTACTAACTGAGTTACAGGAAAGTAAACAAGGTGTAAACGAACCGGTAAGTCAATTTTCATTACGTGTCGAAACGTCTTTATTTAATTTGTTAACAGAAATCTCTTTAGGTAATTACCCACAAAAGGAGATACCAGGTCGTATTGCCTCTACGGAGGACCTGGCCCTCCATCACTTCCTCATGGGCCTATTACCTAGACTTTCAAACTTAGTTAGAGCTCGAAATCCTAAAAGTTTAAATAGCGCAGTAAACTTAGCGATGTCTGAAGAAAAGATCCAGAATAGCCAATTCGCTAAACGCAATACCAGTCAAAGTCAGCCTCACCCTAATAATAACTCTAGGTCCCAAAATAACCAAAATTCATCCGGTGGAAAACCTAATTATAACTCTCCAAATAAGTCTTACCCAAGGTTTTCCTCAAATTATCCTAATAATTCCCAATCGTCCAAACAACCAGCGTTATTTTGTAAGTATTGTAAAGCTACGGGCCACGAAATTAAGGATTGTGAGCTCCGTATAGCTAACAATAATCGCCGCAATCAGAAGCCTGGTAATGGCAATTATTCCTATCCCAATCGAGTGTCCCACGTAGTTGAACACATCGATGAACCTGACGATGAATATCCTATCGAACCGGAGTCTTTAAACGAATAAACGTCTCGACTCGGTGTTGCACGAGACGAGCCTTTAAAGTCAACACTTCTAATTCTCAATGTCCTAACGACCCTATCCTGGGTAACCAACCCCAACAATCGCGTCGTTCTAATTCTCAACGTCCTAACGACCCTATCCTGGGTAACCAACCCCAACAATCGCGTCGTTCTAATCCACAAATTCCTAACGACCCTATCCTGGGTAACCAACCCCAACAATCGCGTCGTTCTAATCCACAAATTCCTAACGACCCTATCCTGGGTAACCAACCCCAACAATCGCGTCGTTCTAACTCTCAATGTCCTAACGACCCTATCCTGGGTAACCAATCCCAACAATCGCGTCGTTCAAATCTCTCCGTTCAAAATCTTCCACCTCCTAATGAAGAGGTATATGAAGTCAACATTGATACGACAAAAAAGTTACTTCCACATATACTAGTAGAATCACAAATTTCAGATATCCCGTTATCTTTGTTGGTGGACTCCGGCTCTGCCATATGTTTATTAAAAGAATCCAGTATCCATATTAACCAAAAACTTAATAAAGAATTAATTAAAATTAAAGGCATAGACCCTGGAGATGAACCGACGCAAACTGAAGGTCATTTCCAATTAAAATTAAAAATATCTAAAACAAAGTCCATTCCTTTTAAATTCCATGTTGTCAAGAATATTAACCTACCCTATGATGGCATTTTAGGTACAGATTTCCTAACTAATTTCGGCTGCAAGATCGATTATACCAATGATATATTGAAAATCGGCAATGAAAGCGTAAAACTTCATTTTTCCAAACCTTTTTATATTATTCCTCCCCGTTCTGAAAGTGTCATCGAATGTTCAGTCCAAGAAACTAAACTTAAAGAAGGAATTATTACAGATCAGCATCTATCCAATAACCTTTTTATATCCAATTGTATTGTTAGGGTTAAAGACAATAATAGAATAAATCTTACCATAGCTAATACTTCGGAAAACTCTGCGCATGTCAAACCAAATTTAAACTTAAATATAGAACCTTTATGTCAAATGTCCTATTCCATAAATACAATGAACCAGAGGACTCTTGATCGAACAGAAGAGGTAATAGAATCTCTAAGAACTGATCATCTCAACCAAGAGGAGAGATCTGCTCTCATAGAACTCTGCTCTCAGTATTCAGATATTTTTCACCTTCCAGATGATCAATTAACCCATACATCAGCCCTAGAACATCATATCAAAACTACTAGTAATGTCCCTGTACACACTAAATCCTATAGATTCCCTGAGTGTCATAAAAAAGAAGTCGAAACTCAAATAAGTAAAATGATAGATGACAAAATTATCGAACACTCCTCATCTCCCTGGAGTTCTCCAATATGGATAGTCCCCAAGAAGCTAGACTCTCAAGGCCAGCGCAGCTGGCGTATCGTGATAGATTATAGGAAATTAAATGATATCACAATCGGAGAAACTTATCCAATTCCGCAAATATCGGAAATACTCGACCAATTGGGTAAGAGTAACTATTTTACTACTCTGGATCTAGCTTCTGGTTTCCATCAAATCCGTATTTCTCCTGAGGACGCATCCAAAACCGCATTTTCAGTCCCTCAAGGACACTTTCAATTCAATCGGATGCCGTTTGGGTTAAAAAATGCCCCCTCAACCTTCCAAAAACTTATGAACACTTGTCTTACAGGCCTCCAAGGTTCTAGGTGTTTTGTTTATCTCGACGATATCGTCGTCTACTCCTATGATTTAACCTCTCACATCCATAACCTTAAATCGGTATTCCAAAGAATTCGTAATTTCCATTTAAAAGTACAACCTGCAAAATGTGAATTCCTTAGAAAAGAAGTTACATACCTAGGACATATCATCAGTCAAAATGGCGTTCAACCTAATCCAGCCAAAGTCAAAGCCGTCACAGACTTCCCTACGCCTAAATCCTCTAAAGATATTAAATCATTCCTAGGACTCGTCTCATACTATAGACGGTTCATACAAAACTTCTCCAAATTAGCCAAACCCTTGACTAATTTACTTAAGAAGGATGTACCCTTTTTATGGGAACATGCTCAACAACTGTCGTTTGAAACTTTAAAAAACCAACTTGTTTCCGCTCCTATACTAGCATATCCTGATTTCTCCCAACCATTCATCCTTACCTGTGACGCCTCGAACTATGCGATATCCGCCATTTTATCTCAAGGTCAAATAGGCCAAGACCGACCTATAGCCTTCGCATCTCGCACAATGAATAAGGCCGAATGTAATTACAGTGTGACGGAAAAAGAATGTCTCGCTATATTATTCGGCACTAAAACATTTCGTCCTTACTTATATGGTAACCGGTTCACAGTTGTAACGGACCATAAGCCTCTTCAGTGGCTTTTCAACTGTAAGGATCCGGGATCTAGACTAATCCGTTGGAGACTCAAACTGGAAGAGTTTGAGTATGACATAAAATACAAAAAAGGCAAAATTAATTCCAATGCCGATGCCCTTTCTCGATACCCGGTCAATCCAGTTCAACCGGAACCTAATCCTGAAGGAGGAGGAGAACCAGTAGATAAAGACCTTATGGATCTTTTAATATCTCCGCCCTCATTCCATCCGGAAGAGTTACTTTCACCTAACTTTAATCCAACCACCCTAGATGGTGATGATTTACTCCCATTACCTGAATTAGAACCTAATTCTACATCCTCGGCACTACCCAATCAAATGACCGGTTCACCCGTTCAAATCCCTGAGGTTACACCCCAGTTGCCTCAAGAACAACCAACTGGTCAAAACATCTATGATGATCCGATGCCTTCTACAAGTGCAAACCCAGATTTACCCGTCGATGACTATCCTACGTTCCTGAAATCTATAGCTAATAAAGATAAAAATTTTAATGTCAATATTGAAGAATTTAATGAGAGTTTAATTAAGACAAACTCCAAAGTAATCCTAGTTCCCACTTCCATTGATCTAGACGAATCTAATCCTTATGTGTTAGATATTTTAACTGACCCCGAAATCTTAGAAAAGGCTCAGAATTCCGAAAAAGAACTTTTCTCTTTTCAAAAGATTGAATTTAATAATAAAATGTATTATTTCATATTTACTAAAGTCCATCACTTTGACGAAGCATCATATCCCGAGATATTCCAAACTCTAAAGAATATTAGAAATGAATTAGTGATTTTCGGCAATACAGACGAAATTGCCATATCAGATATGAAAAACCCGTTTGAAAAACATTCATTCATTAAAATTTACAACATACTATGTTATCTTTTTCATAACGCTCAAATAAAAATCAAAATATATCATAATAATATCATATACCCAGCTCCTGTTGAAATCAAAAAGATCCTTTTCGATAATCACGACATCCCTATCGCTGGTCACTTAGGTTCGGTGAGAATGTACGACAGAATTAAACAATCGTACTATTGGAAAGGGATGCGTAGTGATATAGAATCTTATGTAAAGCAATGCAAGTCCTGCCAAGAGAATAAAGCACTTAGGAAACTAAACCGTGCTCCCATGCGAATAACGAGTACTTCAAGTGAACCATGCCAACGAATATCTATGGATATTGTCGGCCCTCTCCCGGAAACGGGTCCTGCTAAGCTTAGGTTCATTTTAACTTTTCAAGATGACCTTACCAAATTTTCGAGTGCTTACCCTATCCGTAGTACTACCGCCGAAGAGACAAGTGAATGTCTACTCCATTATATTTCCATCTTTGGCATACCCAAATCAATATTAACCGATCAGGGCACAAACTTTACATCTGATCTTTTTAAGAAAACTTGCGAATTTCTTAAAATCAAAAATCTGTGGGCCTCTCCCTATCACCCACAGACCCAAGGTGCCCTTGAACGGAGTCACTCCACTCTAAAAGAGTACCTCAAATCCTATATCAATAAGGAACAATCAAATTGGCCTCGTTACGTATATACAGCAATGCTTGCATATAACACATCGGTGCACTCGACAACACATTTCACACCCTACGAATTAATATTTGGTAATAAACCGTTTATCCCAAATTCCATTTTCAATGAATCCCTAGGGGCTACTTACCCCGATTACGTCAGAATGCTCCAAAATCGCCTTAAACATTCAAGGGAAAAAGCACTGGATTTCATAAAGAAATCCAAAGAATCTTCAAAGTCATATTATGACTTACATACCCGTACCATAAAATATAAAGCCGGAGAATACGTGTATCTCAAAAATCATTTAAGATTACGCAAAGCCTCTCTCCATTATGGAAAGGACCCTATAAAATAATCAAAGTAAATAATAACAATACACTCACCTTACTTATTAATAGGCGCCATATTACCCATCACTTTGATCAGGTAAAACCCGCGACTAAAATAGATAACCTGTAAAATTAAATCGTAATAAATTTTAATACTTACTCATAAGACATCTCTAAAATAAAAAAAAATAAAAAAATATTTAACATTTAACAGAGTATAGTTTAGTGAAGCTTAGCATATTTGCAGAATTCCAACCGGAGGTCAATTGCAACAGGACTACGCTCAAGCAATCAACGCTAGCGCAGGAATATATTTTGATTACTTAGGTACTTTGAAAATCAATAGTGCCGTTTTAAAGATTATAGTACCCATAGATATTTCACATTTTAACCCACACATAGAAAACATAAAACATGTCCTTAAAATTACTGAACACTTCTGTAATCAAACCCCAACCATTCAGTTGAATACAGATTGTTATAGTATGTTTCAACCTTTAGTTGTCCGCTATCATGATTTAGATAGGGGTTTCCAAGCAATTTCTCATTTATTAAACAATAGAATAAAACGTAGTTCTTGGTTTGGGGGCGTTGGCATAGCCCTTAAACACATTATTGGTACTTTAGATGAAGACGATGCGGTAAAATATGATCAAGCTATAGATAGTGTCCAAAATGATATTAAACAATTATCCCATTTAATGAAAGAAAATATTTTAGTCACCACATCCGTTTTATCATATTATAATGAAAGCCTGAACAAGATAAGAAATAATGAAATCATATTAAATAACGCTATTAATAATCTCTCGTTGAACCTTAAAAATATTTCAGAGCTCACGAATGAATTGCATATGTGGACACATATAAATAAAATCTTTGACAGCTTAGAATCATCAATACTTACATTGTCCTTCCAGTTAGAAGACATAACAAACGCAATTTTATTCAGTAGTCAAAACATACTACACCCGGCCATGATAACACCTCAGCAGTTATACCAAGAATTAGCCGACAACTACAGATATTTGCCTAACGGTCTAGAATTACCTGTTTCATTAGATATAAGTTCAGTTTATATAATTTTAAAATTATGCAAAATAATTTGTTACTATATTAATAATAAAATAATATTTCTATTGCAAGTTCCATTAGTGAAAAATGACCAATATATGTTGTTCCATAACATTGCTCTACCTACTCCATATAATTCTAAACATCCGAATTCATTTAGTTTAATTATACCAAGTAGTAAACACATTGCAATGACCAAAGATAAGACTCATTACTGCAGCATAGACAACCTTGAACTCTGTACAACTACACAACCCGGAGAGTTCATTTGTGACATACCCGACATATATTCCATAGACGCAAAACCCAGTTGTGAAAGTGAATTTTTGTCCAAAATCATCAGCGAAGTTCCTAAACAGTGTGATACAAAGTTTATATTTGGTAGTCTTGATATCTGGAAACCGATACAGAATAATAGGTGGCTTTATGTTCAAACCAAACCTAACAAAGTGTCTATAGATTGTATAAATTATATGCATGAAATTAATATTATAGGAACTGGTATACTTACCATTCCCGACCGTTGTACTGCGTTCTGTAAAAGTACTACATTGACACCTAAATATAATGTGTTAAATATTACGTCACCAATTAATAGCATTCCAGAATTTAATGTAATCAATGACCCTTGTTGTAACTATGCTAAGTTTAATGTTGTAATAGATAATGTGTCTCCTATTAATCTTCAAAATATAGATCTTGATGAGATAAATTCGGGAAGTAAACTTTTAACAAATTCCTTTTTACATAGTTTAAATAATATTGAAAACAAACCTCACATTATCAAATATGGGACACACTACTCTACTTTAGTAATAATTATTTCATTTATTGTAACCTTATATCTATTATTTTTAAGTTTTAAACTTTTAAAATACTTAATGTTACTTTATAAGAATAAAATAACCGTAATAGATAAACTCCCCACAGAACATGACTTGAAACATACAGAAATAGAAATAAAAGATTTTGCTCCTACAAGGACACAAATATAATCAAAACTTATTTACCCTATAAGTTTTGTCTAAAAGGGGGAGATGTTATACCCCTAAATTGTAAGCCTTAATGCTAATACAATATTAAAGACAGTCATGTCATCGTAAAGCTAAAACAGTCATGTCATCATAAAGTATGGGATATAGTCTCCATCCGTTTGGTAGCAGTCAGTCTGCTTTGAGATCTTATCCAGAACGGTTATTTTAATCAATCTTAATTACGAGTTTTAAATCTTTGTATTAATCATTTCAAATAAATATAGCTAATTAAAATAAGTTTTTTTTAAAAACTTAAACCCAAGAACTCGTATATACGTACCACAGCCTACAGTTTGCAGTTTAATTAAACCTAAAAAAAAATATAATAGTTAAAATTCTGTGTTAGTAGGTGTACAAACTTTTAGCTTTATTTGTTTATACATAAAGTGAAAATTTATCTTTATAGTTCCTCCGAGATTTCCTGGAGAACACAGTTGCTCAAAACTACACAGTTGAATGGAAGCGATCAGCTTTCTTCCGATTCGTTGAGCACTTCGCGAGCGACGCGATGTCCCAAGAGCTTAAAGCAAAAGTTCTGCAAATGATATTGATTCCGTGTTTCGCTGTTAGTTTTGAGAAAGGCCAGAAGATTGTGGGAGGCCCACCCGCGCCATACCAGGATAATCCGGATAACGTGGTATCGGTGTTTATCAATAATGTAAGTGTGAAAACTTTGAGTTTATACCAAATCTTAAAAGGCCGGCAACGCACTCGCGAAACTAGAAATGTGAGCGTATTATGTGGCAGTCCTATAAATAAATAAAATTTATTTCTAAAATTAGGAAGTTTTACAATAGTTATGTTTTTAGCGAAATTTATTTGACGTTGAACACAAATTGGACACAATTTCTCCATCCACCGAAGCGTCGACATTCATTCCAATAATTTTATACTTTATAGAAAATTAACTAATTAATTAATTACTCATTTCTTTAAATTAAATAAAATAAAATTCAAATAAGGCATGATAATTGGTTTACAATCTTACAAGTGTTAGGTTCAAAGTGCGACATTAGGAACCTGTTATTTTGTTACACTATATTGTTGATTGTATATTTATTTGTTTTTTATATAATAATAAATGTTTTATTTAAAAAAGAAGTGTCACTTTATTTTTCATAGTGTTGAATATCCATATATCATAAGCCATATTTACTTTTTCAGGTGATTGATCCAGAAAATCCATTCGCATGTTCAGACGCAGTGCGTATTTCGTTACTCCAATTTGCATGTTTGTTGCTCGAACAAGCGTCGGCGCACATTCACGACGCGAATAATAAGAAACAAGGCAACAAACTGCGAAGGCTAATGACATTCGCTTGGCCATGTTTATTGGGCAAAAACTACGTCGATCCTGCGACTAGGTGAGATTTAAAAAAAAAAATGTACTGTTTTGATAACATCTCTGGTGTCCAAAGTTTTTTTTTATATAAGGGGGGGCAAACGGGCAGGAAGGAGGCCCTGATGTTAAGTGATACCGCCACCCATGGGCACTTACTTTATCAGAAGGCTTGAAAGTGCATTGCTAGCCTCTTAAGAATTGGTACGCTCTTGAAGGACCTTAAGAGGAATTGTTTCGGAAATACTGCACAGCTCCACATAGTGGTGGTGCGCGGCAAAAACTGCCTTTTTTTAAGTCAAACAAAATGAATTATTTTCAGGTACCACGGTCATTTGTTACTAAGTCACATTATTGCTAAGTTCGCAATCCACAAGAGAATCGTGCTGCAAGGTATGTTTCTATTTCTTTAATAAGTTTTTTATGTGTAACAACCAAAATCTTGGGTTTCAAATTTTTTTTTGAGATATCATTGAGTATTACATTTTAGCCTAACTTAAAACTAATGAATAATTTAAATCTAACCTAATTTACTAAAAAGGATATTTAACGTAAGAAAGGTTTGTAATATAATTGATATGTGATTTTTTGAATTACAGAAGAAAATGTTTTGAAGAATTGATATCGAATTAAAATATTTTATATGTTCTTTCTATTAAGAAAAAGAATACCAGTTTCTCAGTCAGATCAGTCCTAAGACAGATCTTAAGACAAAATCTAGTTTTGGGTCAGTCTCCCGGGCTAATTACATGTAACGTAATAAATAGTAGTAGTAATCTATCAATTCTTCTTCCCAGTCTTCCACAGCCTTTTGAAGGCCCACGCAGTGGAAGCGCGTGGGGTCGTACGCGCAGCGCTGGAAATCCTAACTCCAGCAATGCCCCAACGTATGGAAGATGGCAACACGATGCTCACTCACTGGACCAAGAAGATCATTGTTGAAGATGGACATTCAGTGCAGCAGCTCTTCCATATTCTGCAGCTGGTTGTTAGGCATTATAAGGTATGTAGGAGACATCAATTCATCTTCTTTAGTTAGGCGTGGAAAAATCATTAAGAATATCTGTAATGACGCAAATTGGCTGCCAATTCGAATATTTTATTCCGATACAAAATGGTAGAAAAAATTATATGATTTTAAAATTACAATATTTAAAATTACCAAATAAAGAAAACATAGGACAGTTTAATAAAAATATATTTCTTAATTCAGGTCCTTGTACCATTAAACTAAATGAAACAAAAATTTAAGCAATGTCGAAAAATTCGCTCAATTTTTTATCTAAAGAAAATGTGTTGTAATGAAACCTGAATTAAATTATGCTCGATTTTTCTATAACTTAGAAGCATTTCATATTATGACAGTTTCAAGAGAGGCTCTATTACATAATATAAGATAATTCAAATTTATATAAAGTTACCCTAGTTTACAGGAGCCCAATCTAGTACAGGTTTCAATAATATTACAGATATTTCTAAAGATTTTGATTTCCTTCAGGTTTATTACCCGGTTCGACACGCGCTAGTAGGTCATATGGTGGCAGCAATGCAGCGACTAGGTCTCTCTGGCACCGCTTCATTGGAACACCGCCGACTAGCAGTTGACTTAGCAGAGGTAGCCCTCAAGTGGGAACTGCAGAGGATACGCGACTATACTCCCGATGAGGCTGTTGTGAGTTATAAATAATGACTAAAATAATACTTTACTAGTTTTATGCGCATTATTTTAATATACATTATTTTAGACAAAAGTTTAAGATAACTATTATAAGCAACTTTTAAACTATTCGTCGCAATTTGTGATGAGTTCACACTTTCTTGGGTGATCACCATGGCGAGATTTTTACTCATAAAGTACTACAAGTGTTTTAAATATCTTAATATAATCTCATTCGGTAATATTCTAATAATTATGAAATGAAATACAGACTTTTATTGGCATATTTTATTTACATACTTCTTTAAGAAAATTAAAAAAAGAAATTAAAGCATTATTCTCCTAACAAAACAATGCTTTAAAATATTTTTTTAATTATTAAAGTAAGTACAATTTTTTCCATTTTGGCGCTATTTCGTACATACGAATTTGAGTAATATTTTGTTGGATAAAACTATAGTAGCAAAAATGTCGAGCCACACCGACGATACCGTTGAAAATTTAACTCCACCGGACATTCTAGAAACTGACGAATAGTGTTTTGCCTGAAAAATCAAGAAAAGCCTACGACAAATGTTACCAAGACTTTATGACTTGGAAATCTATAGCCCTAAGGATTAAATAAAGTAGTGTATGCAACTGCATATAATTAGGTATTAAAACACTCGTGTAATCTTATTTTGACTAAACTACACTCATGTTTTAATACCCTCTATTATATGACAGTTGCATAAACTTCCAAGAGTTGCTTGTTTTATTATTAGTTATAAGATGTAGTAAGTAATTTTCTTATCGATTGTATTTTTAATTGTAGAATTATCTTGACTTCTTCATTAGTTATGTCCGTAGAATAATATCTAAAGAACGTTGGAACTTCGTACAATATTTAGTGAAGCGTTTTTCATTGATTTCTGGATCTATGAAATTACTTCGATCTTGAATGACTGTTGAGTAAATATTAATAGGAAATATATAAGGTAACGAATAGTATTTCAACGTTAGGGATAGAAATGAATAAGTGTTATGTAATCACAGGCTGGAACATCAACTAGTGGGGCAATCAAGCGCATATCCTCGGAGGACAGTAGTAGCGATGCTCGAAAAGCCCTAAATACGGGTTGGGCCAGTCCGCAGGCCGCTAGTTCCCGAGAGCCGGACGCCGCGAAACCCTTAGAGAGACAACATGTTGATGTTGTAGTCAATCTATTATTGAGACTTGCTTGCCAGGTATTTATTGGTATATTTAAGTTAAAGTGGAATCATATTAAAATTATTTGTAAATTTATCTTATTTTGATTGAATTATATTTTTTTCTATTATGCTAATATACCCGTTAGTACAGGTTTTATTAAATTATCAAAATTGATAAAAATACATAAGTCTTGACAAAGACTTAAATTTAATTGCTTTGCTTTGTTCCATTAGTTTTGTAAGTAACTATATAATCTTATGTAGTTTTGCACTTCGTGCGCTCACCTTATCTAATTTAATGTTTTATTTATTTATTTTATTTTTCTGACATTGGTTACATGGAAGAGATTGATCAAACGTGGTATGACCGCCAGTTACCATCCTTTTTATTTATTTATTTTAGCTTTTCTGTATTTTTGTATACTTGCAACGTAGTGTGCAAACGGGTATAATATAATCGTATTATTTTCATTATTACAATATTTATCATACCATTATGTCATGTTAGTTATCCGCATGTATTAAAAGATGCACAGTTGACGACCCCATCGCAGGTTAACGAGGCTGTGGGCGGGGCCTCGGTGGCAGGGGGCGCGGCTACTACAGCAGCAGCCAATAGCAGTGCGGCAGTTGGAGTGGGCGGATCCCCCGCCGAGCAACTATCACGGCGGTGTGTTTTATTGCTGAAGGCCGCGCTCAAGCCTGACGTCTGGCCACATCTATGTGAACCGAAACTCGCCTGGTTGGATAAGGTAATGCATATTACTTTTGGGTGTAACAAAGTAATACAAATTTGTCTTATGTTAAAAAAATATGTAATTATTTTATTAAAGGTCTTTTATATACGAGCAGTGTTGGCCTAGTGGCTTCAGCGTGCAACTCTCATACCTGAGGTCGTAGGTTCAATTCCCGGCTGTACACCATTGGAATTTCTTTCTATGTGCGCATTTAACATTTGCTCGAACGGTGAAGGAAAACATCGTGAGGAAACCGACATGTCTTTGACCCAAAAAGTCGACGGCGTGTGTGGCGCGTGGCGAGGCACTGGAGGCTGATCACCTACTTACCTATTAGATTTAAAAAAGATCATGAAACAGATTCAGAAATCTGAGGCCAAGACCTAAAGAGGTTGTGGCGCCACTGATTTTTTTTTCTTTTATATACGACTATCAATCAAATAATATTAAACAGTTTTTATGTAGCTCCTGATTTCTTTTACAAGCAAAGCTTACCTTTATTTCAGGTTTTCTCAACAGCAGAGAGTAACGCCAACGCGAGCACGGGCCTTGAACTCCTAGTATTCCTGTTGGGAGTTCTACGACGCGATCAAATTCTTGCAGCTCTGAAGCCGCTACACCGCGGTCTATCGGCGTGTGTGGCGTCCACTAATCCCAAGATAGTTCGACTAACACACAATTTGTTGGCTAAGCTTACTGCGCTGTTTCCCACCGAACCCTCTGGTGCTGCCCAGGCTTCTAAGGTGAGTTTAGTCTATTATTCTTTATGCCGAGTATTTACCAAATACGATATATATTTTTTCTTCTTTATTCAGAAACGATTGAGAACGCGTGGCCTTTGAAAGGGCTTTAAGCTAACTACTTTTTTTATTAGGTTATGAAATATGGAGAAAGAAGTATACGGAGTAATTATAACTTTTTCTACAGCTGTGATACTTTTTGACATTCAACACCTTTTTTCTTCAGTCACCGTGACCACGCACGCTGTAAAGCACGCGAAAAGTCGGAAATTATGTAAAATAATTATAAGTTTATAATAATACATAGCTTCAATCCGTTAAATAATTAGTGTTTTCTTTATATGTGTAAAAGTTATGTTAATAAAAGACTATAATATATGATGTTAAGACAGAAACGTGTCTGTATTGCGGTATCTTTAGTTTAGATAAGATTTAGTTATTTATTTTAAAAAGTTCTGAAAAAAAATGGTACAGTAAAGATTTAATTTTACATAGTTTATCAAAACTTCACACCCTTTTAATGGCAAACACTTGTTTACAACATACAATCTTTCTCATAAATGATACAGATGATCATTTTTTCTTAACTATTTACTTTGTTTTCAGTACGAAGAATTGGAGACATTGTACGCGTGCGTGAGCAAGTACGCGTTCGAAGGACTGGCGACGTATGAAAAATCCGCGCCCGGAACTGGCGCTAATTCGCTCTTGGGGCCTTTAATGATGTTGAAGGTAGTTATTATTATTTAAGTTTAATTTAGTATTAATCTAATCTTATGCTACTGATAAAACTTTGTATAGAAAAAAATGGTGAGGTTAAAGTAAATGATTCTGATATTTTTTTTAAAGTTAATATTGTAGATATTAAAACATTTTAAATAGGTTAGGCTTTTATGTCAGTGGCACTATAAATAGGGTATATTTTTGTCTAAAGGCAAGATTCAGAAGCGAGACTATGATTTGCGTTCGTCAAAATTCATTACGTGTTCGCGTACGGAGTCACACTTGGCGCTAAGTCTTGTTTCTGAATATTACTCTTAAGCAGCGATTGTATTTTAGTGAAAAGCTAACCTATCTGTGGAAAGATTTATATTTTAATTTTATAGTTAAAAACGTTAATTATTTTAACTAACAAGCTGTTGATGATTATATATTTAGTATATAAATTGTAGAATTTCATCAAAAAGGTTTTTACTACTTCAATAGAGGTAAAATGAACCTTTTTTGACATGATAATAATTTGGCAAGTTTTTGCCAACATAATAATTAAATACAAAATCGAAGTTTTTTTATTTATCATTAACACTACAATTAAAAAAATAAGAACGAGGGTATAATTTAAAAAAAAACTAAAATATTTACTTAAATCGTAACTAAAACTTAAAATCTAATCTAAAATTAAGGGAAAGTTAACTTACTTTAAACGGTAAAATTGTGTCAGATTTAAGTTTAAACTTGTGTTTATTACAATAATGGCCTGTTCCGTTGGATTATTTTTTTTACCTATAAAGAGAAAAACATTTATATATTATATTTATCCCAGGCATGTTGCACTTCGAGTCCGGGCTACGTGGACAGACTATTGCTGCCTCTAATGCGGGTTTTGCAGAGAATGGCCCGAGACCATGTCGCACCGAATCCTGATAACGCTACTTCGGATTTACTTGTAAGTATTCTTTACCAAATAAAACATTTCACATCAGTAAGATCCTTCAAGTACACATATTTATTCAAAATTATAAAAATGTTTAAAACTCGTGGAATTATCCTTGCAAAATATGTATAGTCAAATCTCTAGCATTTAATTAATTGGAAGAAAATTGTATATAGAAAATTTGCTACAGAGTTATTTTCTTTAGATTTTAGCATTGGACTTACTGAAAGCAAGGGTGTCAGTGATGCCAGTCGAAACAAGGAAGACATTCATCGGAACGATTCTCGTCGGGTTGATAGAGAAAACGAGTGACGCAAAGGTATGCATATATATAATTAATAAGATATTATTTACCATATTCTCAACTTTTACGACTTTTTGCATCTAAATTAGCTTTCAATATGTAATAAAAACTTTTTAATTTATTAAATTGCATAGGATTATAAAACCCATTGATGCCATGGTTGAGTTAGTTAAGATTTTGAATTGAATTACAAACAAAATTGCGTGAAGGACAAATAATGAGGTAGATAGTTTACTTTTGCTAGACGAAATGTTAGGGAGACATTAAAATTATGTTTCTGTGTTTTCTTGGTTATTTATAGGCGAGTATCAGCCCTTGGCACCTTCTTGTTTTCCTAATAATCAAACCACGTATTCTGAGCGGTATTGGCATTACCAGATTAATGGTGATTTTTAATTCCTTAGGTAATGAAAGCCATTACCCGTATGGTCGAAGAATGGGTAAAGAATCGTGGTACTGCAAGTACAACGGCTCTGGCGGCGCCATCTCTCAGAGAAAAGTCCATTCTTCTTGTGAAGTTAATGCAATATGTGGAGAAACGGTTTCCGGATGATCTGGAATTGAACGCTCACTTCTTGGATCTTGTCAACTATGTTTATAGGTAATAGCTTAGTTATATTGTGTATATTATTTCTTCAAACTGTTCCTTTACTTGAATATACTAATTAAAAAATACAGGAATGAGAATGTAAAACTATAATTAATAAATGTTAGAGTTTAAATATTTTTTGTAATATTCCCGCATATACGGAAGAATATATTATGTCTTCTTTTTTATAGCATGGCATATTTTATTAGTTGAGTCATAAATTTAATTAATATAACAGGATTTCCAAGTAAAATAAATGACTAAATGTATAAAAATGTAATTGCTCCATTATTTATATCATAATAATTAATATAATAACAAATTTCCACTATTAATCTTACTAAACAGATTTTGACTGGTCAGAATGTTCTGCCAAAGAAATAATGCAGGCTAGCCCAGAATGGACAGTCTGAGTTGTTTGTAAAACAAAATAATAATTGCTTTTCTTTTCTTCATTATTTGTTATTTTGTTTGCAACTAACGGTCACAGAATAAAGGCTTTATTCATTATAAATCTAACTAATCTCTAAACAGGGACGAACAACTGAAAGTAACAGAACTATCGATGAAGCTAGAGCCAGCTTTCCTGGCGGGTCTACGTTGCACGCAGCCGAACATACGTGCCAAGTTCTTTGAAGTGTACGACGCGAGCGTTAAGAAGAAACTATTTGATCGTATTCTTTACATCATTTGCTCTCAGAACTGGGAACATATTGGACAACATTTCTGGATAAAACAGTGTTTAGAGTTGCTGCTTGTCACATGCGTTTCGAGTGAGTATTGGTTGCTTTACATAGTAAAGTAGTTATACATAGTTTTGCATATGTTTCATTTTGCGCTTTTATAGGCAAGTAGGTGACCGGTGATACTTTTTTTAATTAGGGTAGTTTAATATTCATACTAACCTTCTTACAAAATTTTCCTTTCTTTGTAATCCTAGAGTTACTAGAACTAAAAGTCTTCTATACGTACCTACGGCTCGCTTTTTATGGACTAGTGAATAGGCTATCTCGCTCTTACAAATTGATTACTAACATCGATGAAAATATTGATATATTTTACATCAATCTTTCAAGTTACCGTTACTTTGTTTATCTGTTTAGCTTTAGGTATTGTTATATTTTTTTAGTTATTGTTTTTTTTAATATATTTTTTTAAAATTTTTTAATATTTTTCCTTAAAAGCTTTTATGATTGTAATTGATGTGTATGTGTATGTGTGTGAAATTTGTGATGTCATATTATTTTGTATTTTTTATGCACACACATTGTTTTAGAACTTATAAATATTTATATAAAAAAATAGTTCTAATAAATAAAAAGTTGCGCTACAACCCTAGGTCTTGGCTCCAGATTTCTGCTTCTATTTGGTGTTTTTTTTTATAACCGACTTAATTTCTCGTAATTATTGTTATATCAATTATCTTTTACGAAGAATTATATTAAGGTATATATTTTGTATACTTATGAAGTAAAAATTTCGTTCTATGGTAGTTAAAGCGACGACTCCGGTTCTAGTATTTAAATATTTTTATTTTCATTTTTATAATTATTTTAGTAATATAATTGAATAAACATTTGCAGCTACCCAAATTCGACTGTCTAACACAAAATACCTTTTGCCCAATATCACTGCGGTGATAAACTGGGCAGATAGCGAAGAGCGAAAGTCTTTCGCGATCTTTAGCAACGTGAAAGAAGAGTCGTCCGATGGATTCAGTGACTCCCTTGACCCTGACAAGGAAGACGTCTTAGATATGGACTTGGACTCCAATTCTACACAAAAGGAAGATTTGACTAAAAATGTTCCTAATAGGTGAGGGCATAAGTAATCCAAAAATAAATAATATATTATTCAACCAGTATCATAACGGTCTTTAAGATAAAGATTTTAATTTTTCACTATAACTACTACTAACAACCTATATACTTGGTTTTTTGTTTAATATAAATACTATAGGTAGTAGTTTATTTTGTGGTAAAAAAGCATTAGCATTAGCATAGCAAATATGGCTTATATACTGAATATATTTTTTTTATACTTCCGTATAAAAAAAAACTATTTTGTTGCCCATGAAAACGTGCTTCGAAGTGAAGCTATAGCTAAGCTTTATAGAATTAAATTTTATTTACTTTTGGAAATTTTACATGTTTAGGAAAATTTTGTTTGAGACCCTTTTACTTTTAGGATTATTTAATATGAAGGTTATTATTTTTTATTTGTTTGTGTTTAGGCAGCGAACACTTAATCAAATAATAGCAAAGCAATCCGAGTTCCTTGAATTGGCTCGGCGCGTGCGCACAGAACAGTTAGTAGCCGCGGCTGCGCAGCTTTGTCATATGGACGAAACACTCGCACACTACACTTGGTTGAGGCTGTTTCCCAAGCTCTGGACCACTTTTGATGAAAGGCAACTCCCGGTAAGTAAATGAAGTATTTACTCCGGCCATAGGAAAGACGTGTAAGCTTTCTTTACTAAGCTTTTAAAATAATATCATTGTTTAAGAGCTTACAATAAGCAATAAATCAGATGATAGATATTCAGCATAGTTGTTCATCACAAGCCTTAATCATTTAATTAAAAAAATATATTGTATCTTGATCACGATCACACATATAAACACTCTTTTATGAGCTAATATTGTTCCTTTATACTCACTTATAATGTAGCATTATATTAGTGAAATAATTTTCAATATCACATCAGAAGTTTCATACCTTTTCATAAGAGGAGATTCAAGTATCGTTAAGAGCTCTGTGACATATATTTTATAACAATAATATTTTTATTACAGACTATTATGAATGAAATAGTTCCATTCATAATTTCGGGAGTCCACGTTATTCAACCGCACCTGCCAATAAGCGCTTTACACACGTTTATTGAAGCATTGGCGCGGTGTAACCCACCAATCTCTATCAAACCGTAAGTATTCAGTTATGGTTAAAATCATATAGAGGAATGTCTTTTTATACAAGCACTATTGTATATTGTAATACGCCATTACAGTTAATGAGAATTAAGAGTAATAATCAAATAATCTCACAATATTTCACGGAATAAACTCTTAAAAGAGGATAAAGCCGAACTTCAAAAATAATAATTTATCACTTTGATGAAAGTATATAGTATAGTACGGCCTTATCGCTTTCGAGCGATCTCTTCCAGGCAACCACTGTGAGGAAAAATTATATTAGTTAAGGTGAGCACAAGAAGTGCAAAATTACATAAGATATATTATAGTACTTACACAAAACTAATGGAACAAAGCAAAGCAATTAAAACATATTATGTCAACAATGAATGGGACAATAAAAAAATATGTTGCAGACAATTTATAAGTAGCATTAAAATTCACAGAATAATAACTAATTTTATTTGTACACAGTCCAATGATGAAATATCTCGGAAAAACTCACAATTTATGGCACCGGATGACTCTGAATCTCGAGCAAATGGCCATCGATCAAGCGGCTGGAAAGTCGAGTCGGGATGCGCTTGAAATCTACGATTACGATGTAGAAACCACAACACCATCTGTAAGTCAATATTTATATATTTATGTCATAATATTTTACTCTTGGATTAAACAGACTAAATATACCTCCCGAGAACCTACTTTCACAACTCCACTTGACAAACAGCAAGAAAAATTTAGGATGTGTGAGTGTACAATACCAGTAGAACTTTTTTCAATTATGTAACCTCAAATTTCTATGGAATCTTATTTACTCTACTGTTAAAAATTAATAAACTCAACCAAATATTATTTAAGTAATTTAGTTTCTTAGGACATATTTGAGTATTATCTCATCTGAAGTGGGACCAGAATTTAGTGTTGTTTTATTTGTTTTTGCTCATAATATATATTAAAAACGAAAAGTACAGAAAACACCAAAAAAACCACTAAGTGTTTTAACCATGGTGCCTGAAGGTCTACATCACCGTACAAATTTAAAATTCCTTATATAGTAAAGAGTTAAAAAGAAATACAATTAATAAAAAAAACGGAAGGAAAACACAAGCGAGAGAAAATAAAAACATTTTCCTTATGTAATTAGATCTGTTATAATAAGATATATAGTGAGAACAAATGATATATTATCTTTTTAGGAAATAATGGAGTCTTTGAGTGACATGTACGAGCTTCTTCAAGAGGAAGACATGTGGTCCGGACTATGGCAGAAACACGCGCGGTATCGCGAGACAAACGTCGCCATCGCGTATGAACAACAAGGATTCTTTGAACAAGCACAGGTACTTCCAGTTATTGTTGCCAATAATATTTTGTCTGCAGATTATATAGTATAATAATCTGAATTTTAAAAAGGACGGTTAACTCTAACTTTAAGTAAACATTTATCAACTATACTAAACAACATTTGACTGAGAGAAATAACATTTTCGGACTAACATTTCGACGCTCCCTGCGTTCAAATATTACGAAACGAATTTTGGGGGCGAGGTCCTTTTGTAAAACGTTACGATGCAGGGCGGGGATTGAATTACGCGTTATTGTTAATATTATTTTCGACATTCCAGTACCTTGCACCACATAATGGTAAAAGAAAAACGTTACTGCACGTTACATGGGGGGAGGGGGTACAACACTCCCAAAGCTATAGTTTTAGCAATATTCTCTATTCCTTTAAAGATAAGTTGTAGGGGTTGCTTTTTACTGTAGATTATCTATTATTACAAATTAATAAATCAGTCTGTTTAGCTTTATTGAGTATATTTGGCGAGAGGATTAACGATTAAAAAAGTATAAAATGTGATTGGGAAAATTGAATATTTATTTGGGTTCAAGCAATGCCAGTATATTGGCGTGTAAAAAATTTATAAAATTAAATAAATTAAGAAGAATTAAAAGTTAGTATGCTGGTGACGTGGTCGGGAAGAAAATATATGCTCATGTTGATCTTTGTGCACCAGGATTTCCTGAGGATTCGACGTTTGATGAGTTAGTCAAATTAGTAACAGAAATTTAGAACCTCAAAGGTCAAATCGCGGAACGGCAGTGTTTCGTTTGCGACGTCAAAAAAATGGGGAGTCTTTAACGATATTGCTCTAAACACTTGGCCTCTTCATGTAATTTCGGCAAGTGTTATCGTGCTCAACTTTGGAAGAAAATCTTCGGGATCAATTTGTATGGGTTGGCGAATGATGCTTGGATTAATTTGAAAAAAGATACACTATAAAGAGGCTTGGAACTGATGCATTAGCCTAACCACAGAGGTCAGTATCCACAATCTAATGAGGATAGAACAAAGGTGGTCAGGTGAGCAGGGCTTGCATTACCCGTGGCGGTGCCGTGTGGGCAGCCAACACCCACACCTAATACACCCAAGGGCGCTGGTGTTCTGTCGTTCAGCAGGTGGAAAGCGGGGACTTCAGGTTCTGTGTTTCATCTGCCTGTGCAAGCACACAGGGATAAGTGTGTTTTAAAATAAATTGTATGAGTGTGGCCGACGGGGTATTTAAAAGTGATGTCAAACAAGTGGTGGTAGTGATAGTCGACAGAACTTTGTGTGGAGAATCTGATGTTGAGTTATTTAATTTGAAGTTGAGCAGTCAGGGTAAGAACCTTATTTTATAAAGGTTTTTATAGACAGTAATTTAATTATCAAGTAGAAGGAATGTATATCAGCAATAAGTGAAGAAATGTATAATAATTTTTTTGTATAAAGTAATTATAAGGGATATAATTTACGTTTTATTGTATAGATGAGTCTTTGGTTAATTGAGGTAAATGTAGTTTGGGCAATGGAAGTTAAATCATTAGTTTATATATTATAAAAGAAGGTCTAGACCTTTAATAGGACGAGAATGTTACGTGTTAATATTAAAAAATTTATCTTATAAATAGGGAAGATTCTTTTTAATAGATTAACAAGAATTTCAGAAGTTTTTTTAATAAGTTGGGCAATTAAGAAAACTATTAATTAAATTTGATAAGAAGTTTATGTCGAGCAGCCTCCACTACACTTGCGAGTTGAGAACGAGCTACCTTTACAGAGGATCATTTATCGGGTGGAGTATCTGATTTTGGGACCCCAATCGTACCAGTAGTTAAAAAAATGGGGAGATACGTATTTGTGGGGATATAAAATTACTGTAATCCCAAATTAAAAAGAGATTTTTATTCATTACGCGAATTGATGAATTATTTGCTAATTTAAGAGGGGGAGCAGTACGAAAATAGATTTAACACGCGTACGAGCATGTCTTTTATCTGAGGAATCACAGCCGGTCACGGCCATTATAATATGGGTATTTTTGCTTATCGTCGTACTCCTTATGGTTTATCATGTATACCGGAAAAATTTAAAAATTAATGGAAGAAACGTTGCGTGGAGTGAGGGCTGTGTCGTTTTTAGATGATATTTGTGTGACAGGCTCAATAGAACTGAAACATAATAATCTTAAGGCTGTACTCGAACGTTTGCGTAGTATGGGGCTAACTGTCAAATTATCTAAATGTAAATTTTTGCAAGATAGTGTTAAGTATCTTGGTTTTATTATAAATAAAGAGGGTTTGCAACCAGATCCTATAAGTTACAAGCTATTAATAATGCACCCACCCAAGTAATGTAATCAATTAAAAAGTTTTTAGATGTTAAATTATTATGGAAAATTGATTGTTAATTTAAGTACTTTTTTGCAACCGTTAATAATTTATTAAAAAAATTCTTCTTGGTCTGAATTCGAAATTAGGAGGCGTTTGTAAAGGCAAAGGATCACTCTTGAGTAAACGGTTTTAGCGCACTATGAGGAAGGTCGAGAGTTAGTTTTGTAGTGGATAGCAGCGCTTATGGGCTGGGTCTGTGTTAGCCACCCTATCCGGCGGGTCGAGCGGCCCGTAAGCTGTGTTTCTCGCACTTAATCGCGAACAGTTACAGTAATTAGAAAGGAAGCTCCTATTGTCTTTGGTGTTTTTAAAATATCAATATTTGTTTGAAAGACGTTTTACATTCGTAGGATCATCAAGTTGACATATATTTTTGGCAGTAAGGGAGGTATTCCTCTGACTGCAGCAAGTCGGTTACAGAGATGGGCAGCAGTTTGGCTGCATATGATTTTACGATAGAATTTGTACGATCGGTAGATAACTCCACATCTTTGTCGGTTTGCCGCTTCCTCAAGAGGGTCGATTTCAATTCAGTAGATTATCTTAATTTAGTTGCGGACTCTTCACCTATTTCTTATAAAGATATTGCCAGGAAACTGAAGAGATAATTTTTTTGTAAAATCAAACGTATATTTTTTTGGTTGGCCAACGATCCGAGTTGTGAAGGTGAAAAACATATTTTGCTAGAAAAATGATTTTGCTGTTGAACAAGGTTGTATAATTTATAAATATAGAATTGTGGTTCCAACAATTTACAAAAAAATATTTTGGATGAAATTCATGAGGGTCATTTGGGAATAAATAAAATAAAAGTTTAGCTAGGAGCTATGTGTATTGGGGACTTTAGATCGCGATATTGAGACTCTTTGTAGGAACTGTGGGGCGTGTCGGTCCGTGTTGATGCGCCACCTCACCCAAATTCACCCATGGGAGTTTCCTTTGCACCCTGGCATCGTTTGCATGCTGACTTTGCGGAATATGGGGGTAGGCGTATCTTTTGTTGTTGATGCAAACACGAAATGGATAGAAGTATTTTCAATGACTAATACCACGCGTCTTTTAAATTAGGGTTTTTAGAAATATTTTTGCAAGATTTGGTTTACCATCACAGCTCTATGATAATGGTCCACCATTTTGTTCTTTTGAATTTGAGTCTTATTGTGTAAGTAATTGCATTAAACATATACTTGGTCTTATACTAGGGCAATGAGACAAATTTTAAACTTAAAAAAATTAAAAGGAGTTTAGAAATATTGACAGCTCTCATAAATTTTTTTAATATCCAATTGAGCTCCAAACTGCATTACCGCCTGGTGCTAGGGCTGTAGTAGCGTTAGAATAACATCCCCACTGTTCGGGAAAAGCAAGGCAATCCAAATACCCTCTAAAGTTTAAATTGAGAAAAGTATTGCAGAGATTATAGGCAAGGAGGGAGAAATGGGTTCAAAAGGTTAAAGGGGGCCTGTTTTTTAAAGATTGACTATTATCAAATACAATATTTTAAAAAGATTTTCAATTCACCAATAAGCGTTGTTCAAGAGAGGGTAATGATGGGCTAGGGTTGAGATTGGAGGTAAATAGAGAGTGATCTTAATAAAACAATCAAAATTATGATCAATGTCAGTGGAGCTCATCACAGACTTCCGAGTACCGAGTTGCTCTCAGGAATATCGCTCGAGCATTCGTGCTTTAAAGCGAGCTAAAAATAATAGTTGATAAGTTAAGTAAGTTTGTCATGATTAAAGATTTTATTTTGGTAGTTTATTCTAGTAGTTATTAAATTTTGAATATTTCTTGTATTCCTATTTAGTGGTTTAAAATGTGTGTTTTGGTTTGTAGGAAAGATTAGCATCTATCGCTACAGAAATATAGTCTTTTGAGCTTTGACGTATCACTTACCATGCTTTCTGTCACCCAGTATTATTTGCGCATAGTTGCACAAATTGTTCTGGGTTATTGCTTGAATCAATAAAACATGCGACAACTGGCCTATGTGTCTACCGCCAACATAACAGGGCAACACTGTTCTTATTAGAATAAAGCTAATACCATTTTTTATATTATATAATTGATATTTCAGGCAGCATATGACGTAGCGATGGCCAAATTGAAGCAGGAGTATTCGGCGAATCCATCATCATATAATATGCATAAAGAGTGCAATCTATGGACTCAGCATTGGATAAAGTGTGCCAAAGAATTGAACCAGTGGGACTCGTTACTTGAGCTCGGATTAACGAGAAATGTACGAGACCCCTTCTTGATTCTGGAAAGTTCTTGGAGGAATCCAAATTGGCCCACTATGAAAGAAGCGCTTGCTGAAGTGGAATATAATTGTCCCAAAGAATTAGGTATGTAGCTTGGCGAGATTGAGGATTTTTAATCATAATTATTATCTGTTATTTGTTAAATGACTGAACCGAATTGATTATAGAAAAGTGTATATATTTAGAAAAAGTACAAAAGTTTAAGAAATTTTTATAGGAACAATTTCTAGACAATCAGAGCGCTTTTGTGCATAGGCATGACAGACACTTAGCTAATGTAAAGTTGATGCCCATGGACACTCACACTGCCAGAAGGTGAGATGCCGGCCTTTTCGGAGTTGGTACGCTCTTAGCGTCTTAGCGTCCAGTTGCCACGGTTGGTCTCTCTCCCTAAAATATGGCAAGGAGGCCGATGGCTGGCCATGCGTCATACTCGTGAACGGTTGCTGCTTATGGTGACTGGTCGTACTTGAATTCGTGTATGCGGTGATGTTAGTTGTTTCGACTATGTATTTTCGTTCTGTTCCCACGAGAATGTAAGTGCGTGCTCCTATTTCACCATGCCTCCTGCTGATAGAGGATAAATGTTTGTTTTCAATTTATTTTATTATTATTTATTACTTAAGATGTCATGTGGAACATGGTGTAATGGTTGCAGCTCCTTACAAACATTTTGTAAAACAAAAAACGGAGAGTTTATTGCCAGTTCTTCTCTTCCGTTCTATGTTCTTGATTTGAGAACTGGCAGTAAATGTAAAATTAGAAGCATTTAATATGTATTTCCTTTTTGAAGTTCATAAGTGTCCATTGTGTTACTTATATTAATAAACGATTTTGACTTTGACTTAGTATCTTGAAGGGTGACCGATGATGATGACCGGAAATATTTTCATTTCGATTATTGTTCTTAACCAGCATTATATATTTTTTTAAGGTTGGGTGGTAAACCTCTACCGTGGTTACCTATGCATCTGTGCGCATGGCGAACAGCAATTAGGCGGTGTAGAGAGACACGCTGAAGCGGCGGCAGCACAATGTCTGCGAGAGTGGCGCCGCCTGCCTAAGCTGGTTTCACACGCTCATCTGCCGCTATTGAGAGCTGCCCAACAGTTAATGGAGCTTAGCGAGGCTGCTCAAATTCATACAGTAAGATCTATTGTCATAGTCATACATCCACGTCAACTTCTAGTACGAGAAGTAGTATATAACTTTTGATACGAGATCCAGCTGCAAGATCACGTTGTTTATTAAAAGAAGACGTTCTTTGTGAATGTAATGAAAATCTAATTTCTAAGTACAATTGGGAGAATCTTTTTGCCAAGATGCCAATCTAAATTTATCAACAATTAATGTTAATAAAAATAGTATTAATTTACATTAAAAAAATCTAATAAATTTTGATTGGTATGTAACACAATGAACGTAAGTTATCTTGCAGCCGGGTTTTACACTAGTAACTAGGTCCTACCTTAACCTTGGTATGTACGTAAAATAACTGAACTGTAGTGAACTAGTTCGTCATTTATGCAACACATGAATTATTAGATTTCCTTATAGACAGCTGTTAAATAACTATTTCAGAAAACAAAGTGCTCCATTATCCTGGTAATAAGCAATACTAATTATGTTTTTTTTTAAATGTATGTAAATCATTGTATCAGTGCAGATATAAGTCTGTCTGATAATAATAAATAAATGGTAATAACAGAATGTAAAAAAATATTAATTCATATTTACATCTAAATAATGTAACTTATCAAAACTTTGATATTTTTTTTATATTGACTATTGATTCTAAGTTCTTAAGTCTGTGATTAAATTCCTAATTTATTACCTATTAAATCACATAAACCATTGCAGGGCCTAGTACACAGCCGTCCAACATCGCTACACGATATGAAAGCAATTGTGAAGACATGGCGCAACCGCTTGCCCGTGGTGGCCGACCCATTATCCCACTGGGGCGCCATTTTCACCTGGAGACAGCACCACTACCAGTTCATCGCATCTCATTACGACTCGCAAGCCGATCATGCCTCCAACCATAGTATGTTGGGAGTACATGCTAGTGCCCAGGTATTTTTGTGACATTTGTTGTCAGAAGCAGAAGATAGTCACTCAGGATGTTATTTTTTGAAGTGAAAACTTCTTTAGCGGCGTTGTACACTTTTTTTGGAATGGGTAAAAAATGTTAAACTCGCGTCAGGACACATGACGTGATCGAAAATTCGTAAGACGGGTGGAGAGTAGACAGCTGTCGAGGCGTATTTCATGTGATATAAATTGTCATGTTTGTGTACGATAGCGCAATAAATAAATATTGTATTCTACCACATAAATGATAGTACTTTTATACTGATAATTAAAGCAATTCGTGCAAAATTATTCCCTAACCATTCCAAAATATCAAAAATGCACAACGTTAATATTCAAGTTTTCACTTCTGCCGGCACTCCCGGACTGCAACCCGTCGTTTTTTTTAATAAATCATTACAATATAGCCTATTTTATTTGATCTGTTTATTTGTACATCTACCAATATTCACATCAAATAAACCATATAACGGTTTTAAACTAATTTGTCTTTGATGTTTTTAAATTAAAATCGTAATGGCAGCTGATACCAGCGCCATTGCTGCGACAAATATAATTCAGGTTGTCAATAATAAATAAATATTCCGTATTTTATGTTTTTGGGCAAAAACATTTTTTACCAATAAAATTAATCTCCGAGTCGTAATATGGGATTTTAAGTATTTCAATATTTTAACACGTGACTTCTTTTTATATACGGATATGAGGTTTTGATTGATCACCGTTTATATGTATATCTTTTATTTCCAGGCCATAATACACTTTGCGAAAATAGCGAGAAAGCACAACCTATCTGGTGTATGTCTAGACTCACTTCACCGCATCTACACCATCCCTAGCGTCCCCATAGTGGATTGCTTCCAAAAGATCAGGCAACAGGTCAAGTGCCACATACAAATGTCGTGGACCGAAGGAAAGGACGAATTGCAGGAGGGTTTGGATATGATTGAGTCTACAAACTTCAAGTACTTCACGAAGGAGATGACGGCCGAGTTTTACGCCTTCAAAGGCCTTTTACTCGCACAATTGGGACGTTCCGAGGACGCGAATAAGGCGTTCGCGGCCGCGGTTCAACTTCACGATACATTGGTTAAGGCATGGGCTCTTTGGGGAGATTACTTAGAGCAGATATTCATAAGAGACCCGAGGCAGGTGCAAGTTGGTGTGTCTGCTATGACGTGCTTCCTACACGCGTGCAGACATCAAAATGAATCGAAATCACGAAAGTATTGTGCGAAGGTAAGACATTTTGTGTAAAAACGTTGCTTTAAGATATGTTTGTAAAGAATAAACTCAAAAACTACTGGACCGATTTCAATAATTCACCGCTAGAATACTATATTCCTGAGTTACAATTTTTTACAAAGATTTAAAAAAAAAGCAGGCGGCTATTAAATTATTATTGAAACATAATCTCACACGATTAATATATGTTTTATACATCTCTTTGCAAATTAAAAAAAAATCGCATACGTAACGTACACATAAATAAAGTTGCCACTTAGTTTGGATAAAAAGCCATATCGTAAAAACGTATAAATAAAATCAGTAAACAGAAAAATTTACTAAAATATTGACGAAAAATGAAATGTCTACTCAAATAAAGATATGAATGAAAAATTTCAGGTGCTATGGATGCTAAGTTTTGACGACGATAAGAACAGTTTAGCTGAAGCATTAGACAAGTACAGCGTGGGCGTTCCACCCGTACAATGGTTGCCATGGATACCGCAATTGCTGTCTTGCCTAGTGCAATACGATAGCAACGTTATACTCAATCTCCTAAGTCATGTAAGTCATTAGGAAACTTCATTTAAATAAAAATACAACCATTGAGGGTAGAATTTATAAAAATTTAATTGTGGGTAGTTTGGAATTCCATTAAATACTACTATTTTAAAGTCTTGTAGGTGATAATGTGCTTAACAATATCGATGGGAATCAAACCTCCTATATCCTTAAGAGCGGTCAGATTGTTTAGTATTCTGTTTTTAGTTTTTGGTCGGCTTCTATCTTTATTATATCATTAGGCTTTTGTAAATAACTAAGTAAACAACTATGCTAGATTGTTACCACTACACTAAAATAAATTTTAATAAAATTTTGTAAAAAATATATATTCGGTTTTAATTTCTTTAATTATGAATGAATTTCCAGGTGGGTCGCCTGTACCCTCAAGCAGTGTACTTCCCCATCCGCACATTGTACCTTACTTTGAAGATAGAACAACGTGAGAGACACAAGACGGCTGAGCAGTCGGCAAATCTGCCATCTACTTCTGTGGTAAGATATATTTTTAATATTATTTTTCTGAGAAAAGACTAATCATGTAAACAATTAAAATTATTAGTGTAATATATATTTACGAAAAACGGTAGTTTTATCATTTCGTTGTTTCATATTAAATTTTCTGTGTTAAAATAAAAGTTCTTGTTAAGAAATGTCTAACACTGATTCTCTCAAACCACAATCACATAAACTTATGGAAAAGTAATTTATGTAAGTTCAACCAGTTTGATATACTTGTCTACTACATTGTGTAATTTTAAGTATATTAAAACTACGGTTTTTATCAAACTTGGACTGTGCCGTGGGTGAGATACGTATGATATTTATTTTATATTGGATTTATTTCTATATGACAGCGTCCGAATAATCTGTGGACATACATACAGTCACAACATGAACACGTTCTTATGTATAATTGAAGCACATAGATCTTACTTAAATACTACCCAATTCTAACATTATCACATTAAATCATGTGGTCACACAGTCGAAGTTTAGACAGTAGTATACAAACTTTGAGTTTTCTCATATAGAAGTAAAATTACCGTTTTTATTTAGAATATAAAAGCCCATGACACATATTGCATTTCCACTTCCAGACAAAAACTGGCGAGGGCAGTTCGTCCGGTGCGTCGAGCGTGTCGGACGCGGGCCCGATCAAGGCGACGCTGCCGATGTGGCGCTGCTCCAAGATCATGCAACTGCAGCGAGAGATACATCCCACCGTGCTCTCGTCGCTCGAGGGCATTGTGGATCAGGTACTGAGAGATATTTACGCTCGTTTATCTCTGTTCTCGCATCAAATTTATTAATTAAATATTAATTAAAAAAAGAATTGTTTTTTTAAGATAGGGAGCGCTCAAGTATTACGTCACGCAATTTTTGGAAATTATTGCCCCCCTCCCCCATGTAACGCGCCGTAACGTTTTTCTGTACCCAAGTATAGTAAAACGTTTCTTGACCACCCAGTGACTCTTTATACCTAAAAGTTACGATTATGTGGTGTAAAGTACTGGAAAGTCGAAAATAATATTAACAATTACGCGTAATTCAATCCTCGCCCCGTATCGTAACGTTTTACAAAAGGACTCAAAATTCGTTACGTAATACGTGAACGCTCCTATAGCCAATAATTAATGAAAATTGTAATGTGTTTATTAGATAATTAAAACAAGTACCTAGCCGGTTTTTGCTTTTATGTAAAAATTCAATCAATCTTATTGATGAGTTAATTATCTAGGCATTAAGCTAAAATAACTACTATAATTTAAGAAAAACATAAAAATACTTTTGTACATTTACTTTCAATTTAAAAGAGCCACGGAATACTATTACTTTTTCGCCATGCAGATGGTATGGTTCCGCGAGAACTGGTACGAGGAGGTGCTGCGTCAGCTGCGCGCGGGTCTAGCCAAGTGCTACGTCGTCGCTTTCCACCACCGAGCGGCCGTAGGGGTGGCCACCGTCACGCCCCACACTCTCAACTTCATCAAGAAGGTCGTCTCCACCTTCGGCATCGGAGTCGGCATGAGTAAGTTGCTAACCTCCCCCACAGCTCCCAGCTCTTTGTCTATGAAAATCGACGCCTCGTATTTTTAATATACATATATATTTAAACAGGGCCTAAGCGTAACTTCTGGAAAGATCCAACCACAAGGTCCAACTTATATTACAATCTATAGATAACCCTACTCCATAATTACCTAGTGTCCTATCTATCCTATACATGGTGTTCCCCTATTCCTACTGCAGAATACAAAATAATGAGCATATGTATTAAACACTCATGTAAATTTCTATTTTATATATTTCATTCACATTTAAATATCTCAATGACAATTCTTTCAAATTTATTTGGTTTAAAGCTTGCAAATACTAACATTCTTTGTTTTAAGCCCTTTCATTCAATGCTCATATGATTTCATGAGTTTAAACCATATTCATTTAATAGTCACTGAAGTGTTTTTATTCATCGCAAAAGGAACTGAACCAGCTCTCCAATACTGGATCTTGGAACTCACACGAACAGATCGATAAAGCATTTATTTGGTCTGTAACATTCTTTTTCATGCGGCTTAAGCAGACGTTTTAAGTAGGTATTTGAATCAAATGTTGCATCAGCATCGATTAATTTGGAACTTTTGATTTAATTTCTGTACGTCCCTCGATGTTTGCCCATTACATATGAATGTGACCCCGCATCCGATAATGTCCGATGTTGTACATACGGTTGACAATGGTTCCTCTTTTGGTTCGTAGTTAAGTCACCGATGACCGTTATTTTTCAGTTAGTGCTATGCGATTTGTTTTTCAAGATTATGTTGCGGTCGTACACAGAATGGAAGTAGTGGAATGAGCTTTTTTGAGATGTTAAATGTCGTTTGAGTGCAAAGGCGAGCGTCGATATACACATACTCCATTTTGTATGTCTACAGAAAGTGTTTCAAGTTCTGTAAGTGGTGCATTCTCTTCAGCTGCATCGGAGAGTCTCGCCAGGCGGGCGCAGGCCACGGTGCAGGACCCCGTCTTCCACAAGATGAAGACTCAGTTCACGGCTGACTTTGACTTCTCCCAGCCCAACGCTATGAAGCTACAGAATCTCATACAAAAGCTCAGAAAGTGGGTCAAGATTCTCGAGGCCAAAACCAAGGTTCTGCCCAAGTAAGTTTTCTTCTAACGCAACTATCATGTGCGTTGCTCGTATTAGTCGCTCATTACAAATACTTCCCGAGCCTCATATAAAATGTATTATATTTTATGTTTTAGGTCGTTCTTAATCGAAGAGAAGTGTAGGTTCCTATCCAACTTCAGTCTAAAGACGGCCGAAGTGGAGTTGCCGGGTGAATTCCTTTTACCCAAACACACGCATTATCACGTGAGAATCGCGCGTTTCATGCCACGCGTGGAGATCGTACAGAAGCACAATACGTACGCACGGAGGTTGTACATACGCGGACACAACGGAAAGATATACCCGTATCTTGTGGTCAACGATTCGGGGTTAGGAGACGCGAGAAGAGAAGAGAGAGTCCTCCAACTGTTGAGGATGTTGAACCACTACCTCGGAAAGCAGAAAGAGACTTCTAGAAGGTTCCTTCACTTCACGGTACCGAGAGTTGTGTCTGTGTCGCCGCAAATGCGTTTGGTCGAGGATAATCCTAGCTCTCTATCTCTTTTGGATATTTATAGGACCGAATGTGCTAACAGGTAACATTTATATTTTTTTTAGTTTATGTTCTAAATATTTGAACTGAAAGTTTTCATATTTTCAGGTATTTTATACCGTGTGGATACAGTATGTGACCAGATTGTCTTGTATCTCCTACTAAACTTAAGTTTCTTATTTCTACTCCTTCGTAGTATTTATTTCAAAATAGATTCTCGTTATTAGTTTGTTGAAAAAAAAACGACGGGTTGCACTCCGGGAGTGCCGGCAGAAGTGAAAACTTACATATTAACGTTGTGCATTTTTGATATTTTGGAATGTTTAGGGAATAATTTTGCACGAATTGCTTTAATTATCAGTATAAAAGTACTATCATTTATGTGGTAGAATACAATATTTATTTATTGCGCTATCGTACACAAACATGACAATTTATATTACATTAAATACGCCGCGCCAGCTGTCTACTCTCCATCCGTCTTACGAATTTTCGATCAGGTCACGTGTCCTGACGCGAGTTTAACATTTTTTACCCATTCCAAAAAAGTATACAACGCCGCTAAAGAAGTTTTCACCTTAAAAAAAATGTAGATGTAGTAACGGTTACGAGGAGTTTCCTTTATTTTTATGTATATTAAACACTATTTAGTTTTATTAAAAATGTTTTTATTTAGGGGCTTGGAATACGACGCACCAGTAGCGCGTTACTACGAGCGACTGGCTGCTGTTCAGGCGAGAGGATCGCAAGCCTCACACCAAGTACTCAGGGATATACTAAGAGAGGTTAAACTCCATTTATTTATTGTTTATATTATTTACTATGTACTATTACCTAGACATTGAAAATGTTTAACATTCTGTTTACAAATTTATGATTTTGGAGAAATATTTTATATAAAATAATTGCTTATAAATAAAAAGCAAGGTTTATTTTTATACTGTTTCAGGCAATTCCTCAGACACTAAAATATAATGTATTTTCGACAGGTGCAAGCGACTATGGTTCCTCGCGGAATGCTCCGCGAATGGGCAGCAGCTACCTTCCCAGCACCCACGGACTATTGGACCTTCCGCAAGATGATGACGCTGCAACTGTCTCTGGCTAGCTTCGCGGAATACGTCCTGCATTTGACAAGGCTGAACCCGGATATGCTTTATGTGCACCAGGACTCGGGGCTTCTTAACGTGTCGTACTTTAAGTTCGACGTTGACGACACAACTGGTATGTCAACTATATATGTAAACGCACACACACACCATACATTGCACATTCTCACACACACCTCAACAGTCAAATTATTAGTAAATAAATTCGTCGTATATATTATGATGTAATCCGTTTTGGCTACATTGTATAAACTTCTTATATTTCATATATTTTTCATTTGATATTTTATAAAACAGTTAAATAAATAAATAACTGCTTTAGCACGAAAAATATATAAAATCTAATTGTTGTAGCTAAATTAAAGCACGACAAGCATTGTTGGATCAGAATGCGTGTAGACGCACGCAGACTCAACTATACATTTGTATGTTTCTGTGTAAAATTTTTGTATGCTTTGTGATGGTGTCTTTACCCTTAAAACCCTTTATACTCTGATTTTTAATTTCGTAGAATTCTGACATTTCATTAGTGTTGCTACTAACAAAGTTCTCCACCGAAAAAGGGACAAATTTGACTTATTTGAGGGCAATAAAAAACATGCTACGTATTTTTTATGTTTTACATATAAAAAAGTAAATCTAAATATTTACTTACAAAAATAACAAATATTTCAATATCTCGAACAATATATCGATATATTAACTTTAATTACTTTATTGTATTATTTAGCTGGCATCACTGCCTACTAATTCCAGGTTTAGTAAACCTTTTTAAAAAATAAAATTTTATCTTTATTTTGTGCGTTTTTTACTGTTCGTGATGAAAAGGAACATAATTACCACTCCCCACTTTTAATATGGATCACCACACTTAATAAAATGGGTACATTAACTAACAATAAAATGTATGTATAGACTCAGATGTTCAGACTCGTATTAAAATTGAAAATGTGCCCGGCCAAAAAGGTTTGCCATCGCTGACATGTCAAAAAATGATAGCTGTCAGAATTCTACAGAATTAAAAATCAGAGTATAGATATATTTTTTGAATGGAACGTTGATTCGTTCTCGATCTAGCCAAAAAATTATATACGAGAACTTCGCAAAGTTCATTCTAAGGATATCTTTAACATAGTTAATGTTGGATATGTAAAACACTTGTTGGAGTTTTTTTCTGTAGAAGAGCACTGGAATGCCATTCTTTTTCATAGAAAAATTTAATCATACCTAGTCAACTTAAAACTTACAAACAACGCGCGTGTCGATCTGTTGATACTTTTAGGCATCAAATTTGTGATGTTTTTATTTTTTTATCGCACCAGATAATAAATTGTGATATTGCCTTCTGAATAACCTGTTTAGACGTGCTAATTAGCCGATTAACTGGTGTTTTGTTTTCCTGTACCGTAAGTAATCTTAAGATAAGGCAATTACGTCTACTTACGTATAAAGTATTTTTTTATTCCAATTCATAAGAAGAATTCGGATAACTTTTTATTAGAACCATTCTAAAATGTTGTAATAAATTAGGGCCAAACCATAATCATATATGTCGAAGCAATGGCGCTGGTATCTGCCATTGTCATTATATGTCACAGCTCGTAAATTAACAACGTCAAAGTCTAATCAGTTTATAACCGTTAATACTTGTGGTTAATTCGATTCGTTAAAATTCAGGTCGTGCTTTCTCGTTATTTTGCCTAGTTCCCCTACCCCGTCTACTTTCTCTATCTTACCCTCTTATCCCGTCAATTTATTTCCCCCTCACTCTGACATATAAAATAAAACAAGAAAATTACTTTTAATGCATGCATAAATCGCAAATCTAAATTATTCTTTCCGATTGTGAAACCTGTCATTAGTTGCTTGATATATTTTATACTTTTTTATAATGCAAAAGACATAGACCAGATTTTGTTATTTTGGAATTATTTATTTTTTATTTTAACGCAGATAACTATGCGAAAATAAAAACTTACTATCTACATCAATCCATTATACTTTCAAATTATTCTTAGCTATAATAAAATCATAATTAATTCCAAAATAACAAAATCTGGTCTATGTATTTTGCATTATAAAAAAGTATAAAATATATCAAGCAACTAATGACACTTGACAGGTTTCACAATCGGAAAGAATACACGTTTTGACCACATTATAGAATCATTTTATTGCGCTTATTTTAGGGATATTTGTGGAATGAAAATCACAAGATTACTGTGATATTTAAAGCCTTAAAAGCATAAAGATTAATTGTCAGCCTTGCATTCCTCAAACAAGTTCTGCATTTTTATATTTCTTTTACAGTCTCCATTAAAAACGTTGTTTTGGAATTTTTTGCAATGGCCCTAATAAAACATGGTTAGAGCAATAAAGCTTTATTACTTGTATTAGGTATTCATAATAAGAGGATTGATTATATCTATAAATATAATAATTAGTCGAATTCAAGTTCCAAATCCACATTTTGCCTATGAAGAGCTAAACAGTTTGAATCCTTCAGTTCAAAATAATACAAATCGTTTCTATCACTCGTTACTTATAATTTCCGTAACCAAACCAGAAGATAATGAAAAGCAAAATACGTGTTTTGTTTAATTGTTATTGGTCGTTCACACTCAAACGTAACGCGTCATTTCGTCTTTTGTTTTACATTTTCACCAGACTGTATCTCTTTCTTATTATTTCCAGCTTCAATAGATATTGTGAAACGATGAATTTTTTTCATGCTTATATTAATTATGGACATTGCATGTTTGCAACAAATAATATCATAATAATTCCAATCGAATAATATGATCGCGCTCTGTGTTCAGTCACATGGAACCAATATGAATACTGATTTATTTCTAAAACGAATTTAAGCTTTTAATACCTACGTAAATACACCGGCAATGTGTTATTCCTAGAGTTACAAAGAATGCCGCAGGAGTTTGTGTTGTTGTCAATAGGATAGTTCCAAGGAAGAAAACCAAAAATCTAGAACCACAGACGAAGTTCAAGTTTTTTTGTCTTTGTATTTCAATTTCCCGCCTATTTCAGATTGCGCCTATGTATATTAGATTGGTATAGTCACAATATAACCGGATGTATTCGCATTAACATGCATGATAGAGTAATTAAAACCATAGTTAAAAGCTATTAAAATAAATATTATAAACAGTCTTATAACCGATGTCTTTTTGTTTTTAATGACGCTATTTTCAATGTGGAGCTTGTTTGCCAAGTAAAAAAAGGTTTTTATGTATGCAAAGAGAACTCGTTCTACGAGACCCTAAGATTGTGATGGTGCAAATAATTGTTGGTTTAATCGGATCAGGGAGAGATCAAAGGATTTTCTATTATAATGTATTTTGAGTTTGAGTTTGAGGTGTATAGTAGTGCGTATATATTTCTATTTTTTATAATAGATATTTACTATTTTAAATGTGAAATACGTGATTTTATGTACTTTAGTATGTTCCTTTGACATTCGAATTAAAAATTATTATATTTTCCATAGCACATTACATCAAAGTATTAATACAGGTATTACGTGAAATTTAACCTTATAATTTCTTAGTTCCATGGAATCCCTAACCAACCTAACTGTTATTTTTTCTCCGTTTAAATAAGATATTATGTACAAGGACTGTGGTGTGGTGGTTTAAGATATGAAGGCGGTAAAGTCTATTTTTTTTGTAGGAGAGTTGGACGGTAACCGTCCAGTACCATTCCGCCTGACGCCAAATATCGCAGAATTGCTGACTAATATCGGAATAACTGGACCCCTTACTGCTTCTGCAATTGCTGTCGCCAGATGCCTTGTTACACCTAACTTTAAGGTAATTATAAAAAAATCATTGCCACATGGGCTAGACATATTTGTTAGTTTTAGTGACAAAATCTTTCACCACAGATGTAGAAACATAATAAAATGCAACTGGACTAATTTTAATTAATGTCAGAAGTGAAACTTCTTTGGCAAACTAATTTTTAAGTCTTGTTCATATTTATACAAATCTAAAACTTTAGATTTTCGAGACTAGAGGGAGGGAAAAAGGAAGATATGTTAGGAATTTATTGAATTCAATTTTTTAAATTTATTTCTTCGATAATAAAAACACGTGGCATTTTAATTTACAATTCATCATTTGAGATTTCAATAAATAATTTTGCATAAAATATGTGTACGCACTAATTATGTACTTTGTACGCACGCACTTTTTTTTATGAATCAAACAATTTAAAAATATAAAATTCAACTTGGATTTGTAATTAATGCAGTTAATCACATTTTAGTGTCATGATTTTATTAATTAAAACGTGTTTTAATCGTGCTTCCTGTAAATATGTGACTTGCAGAAAGGTTAAAGTGGCAATAAGTTCTGACATTTAATGTCATACTCAAAGGCCACTTCTAGCTGTCCCTTTCATAAGTATACTGTAAACAGAGATAGCAATTTTTTTTGCAGCTCTTCATTTTTTAAGTCTGATGATATGCATAAAAGGAAGCTTTTAATAATGCATAATGCAAATCCAATGTTAAGATTTATTAGTCTCACAAAAACAATATCTTAAGATGACGTGGGTATTTAAAATAACCCACACCAAAGATTTAATTAAAAATATGTATATTGTTAGTCTTAACGTCAACCAAACTTAAATCTAGTTTTGAGAGCTGACAAAACATCTTTTGAAGTGAAACTTCTTTAGGCGCAGGAGGGTAAAATTTTTACGGATACGTCACGAAGATGTGCAGCGTTTTTGTCGAAGAAAAGGGAGAGAGCGATTGAGACTTATTGAGAGAGAGTGAGAAGGGCGAATTACCTTATGAAATTCAATTTTTAAAATTAAAATTTCGTAAAGAGAGTTTATGAAATATTAGTATTTTATATTTTATGCAAAATAATTGATTGAAATCTCAAATGACAAATTGTAAATAATTTAAATGCCACGTGTTTTTATTATCCAACATATAAATTAAAAAAAAATATAATTTTTATTAATTTTCGACACTTAATATTTTAATGACAATTAAATTCATTAAATTCCTTACATATCTTCCTTTTACCCTCCCTCTAAGTTTTGGAAATTTTTAGATTTGTATAAATATGAACAAGACTTAAAAATTTGTTTGCCAAAGAAGTTTCACTTGACACTGACATTACGTGTACTTTGTACTCACGCACTTTTTTCTTTATTAAATTTGATAGTGCTGAAGACGCGATTGTGTGAGACATGGCCCTTTCGGCCCCCCACGGAATCAAGTAAATTATAAAATGTATTTAAGAAAATGGTTACAACTTACATGGAACGAAAACACTAAATGATAACTTTTATAGCTTTTAAAATATTTTATATATTCAAGTATTTACTTCGTCCATTGTTTCAGATACAATCGATCCTACGGACGATATTACGTGACGAAATGGTGACCGGATACCGTAAACGTATAGAAGATAAGTCGGGAGTGCCGACACCCGGCACTTCGACCGACAACAAATCCACGGAAATTGACAATGAGACCATTGTTAATATGGTTAACAAGGCTGTCACTATGATTATGAACCGTTTGAACTCTCTTGCCTTGTTCGACGGACCCGATAGCAAAGTCGCAACCTTAGTCACAGCCGCCAACAGCCATGACAATCTGTGTCGTATGGACCCGGCGTGGCACCCCTGGCTATAAGTTTTCAATTTAAAAAAATTATCTTTGTTAAGCTTAGATAGGTACCAATACAGGTGATATCTTTTGTAAGGTTAAAGCATTTTCAAATGCATCTTTGTATTTTGGGATGATGTCCCTTTGATCTCGTATATTAAATAAATGTTATAAGCACTGTGTTGTTTTATTTGGTTGGTTGTGATGTTTAGAACTGGAGTGGACGTCTATGTAAGTGGTTTAAATTAAAATTGTTTGATAGTAGTAATAACAACCATAATCGTAAACAAGATAAATTGAATGAAGTATTTTAGTAAAATAAAAAGGCTTTTTAAATTTCTTTCTAATATTTTGATGTACACAAGTTTAAAATCAAAACTTGTAGATGAGACAAGAGGTAAGATTCAGTCAGGACTTAAGCTATTAGGCATGATAAAATTTGATTTTTTTCAAGCAACGGTACATAAATTAATTACACATTTCTTGTGCGAGTGCATTACGAACAAAAACGTTTAAATTAATGTAAAATCAGCGAAGAGAGCCAGAGGTGGTGGTTGCTGTGACTGGTTGCTAAGCAGTGAGCTGGCAGTAAGGCAGTATGGAGCAGTTGAAGCGTCGGGCGTCGGCGGGGAAAGGCGGCGGGCGCCACGTCGGCGAGTCCCCTCCCGCGGCCCTCGCCCTCCGCTCTTCAGCTCTCCCTGGCCCGTGGCTCAGTCCGCCGCGCGGCGTCAGTCTGACCGAGTGTGTTGCGCATCCTCGCGATACCGAAGTGCCCGACCTCTGGATCGGACCGTTTGCGACATTCGACAACCCCGCCCCGTGCTTTTCCCCGAGTTGCATTTCGATTAGTGCGAAGAGTGCATTCGCTGCCCGCGATCGGCGACTCCTCCCGCCTTTATTTATGTTGTCGTTGTGGTGTGGTGAATATTTGTGCTGTACGGACGAGTACCGGATTATCTGTGCGCTCGAGTTTGTGGATATTACAAACGACCTGTGGTTTTTCCGCGAAGGTAAGTGAAATTTTTCCCATATTATGTTGTTGCCGGATTACTGTTGCGATGCCGCGACGCGACGTGGCGCTCCTAATCGCACAATAAAAACAATGGAATAAATTGATTTTTACTTTATACAGTACTTACAATAACATATGTCCAGCGGTGAATAGGTTAAAATTGTTTTTACACGTAGACGTTCCGCTTTATTTGTTTTTGTGACGTCATTCGTATTGGCAGGATGTAGTTCTTGGAATCCAAGATCTATCACTGCAATATTAACGAATCCAGTTGGCTGTCTAAAATCTTGTTAGAATCGGTCCTATCCCACTATTCCATATGGTGGACGGATACAAATGGGTAAGAAAACATGGAGGAGAGCGGGCGTCGTGGTCGGCGCGGGGTGGTGCGCGGCCGGTCAAGCGACCGCATTCCTTGTGGAATGCCGGGCTATACGCAATGTCAGTGTGACTGCGAGCCTCTTGCTTCTGCACTCACCGATGCACATTAATTGCAACATTGTGCTTGCTGGAATGTTCGTGTGTGTTTGGGAATTGTATTCGTTGCTAATTGTGGGCGTTGATTGACATGACGGCGCAAGTCTCGTGCTGCCACCCACGTAACATTATTGTTAACCTTTATTTTAATTCTGCAATCTTTTCTATTGGCATTTAAAGATTCCTCGAGTCGATCGAGGAACTACGACGGATCTACGACGCATTTATGAAGGTAGACATAAATTATACACAAAAGTCAACACAAACAGCTGTTTGAACTGAGTTTGTTATGCTCAATTATCAGCCGCAGGATTTAGGTAAGTATATCGTCTTGAATCTCGGATAGTATTGATTTATCGCGAGCTGATAATTGATTCGAAGTTGCAAATCCGATTACTATGTTGCCCTTATGTCATGGACATCGAACAAGCCTTTAAAATTTTCCACAACGCACTGTACGATCTCGTTAAGAGTGTATGACAACGAGCAAAACGTTTGATAACGCTATTTCGAAACTCGTCCGTTGCGTCTTCCGCCCTAGGTATGTCACACAATTTGGGCATTATTAATTAATGTCGCTGCTATACTGATTAATAATGGCAAAAGGTTAACGACGAGAACTTAACGGGTTTTCCATATTGTAAATATCTCCGAAGACGGTTCAGTGTTCATGCCATGTTGACTATTTTAATGAAGCATTGGATATAACTTTATAACAACAAATTTTCCTTGTTTATATCATACAGGTGCATAAAGTCGTAGCAAATCTATAATTTTAAGAAGTAACTAGGTAAGAACAAACAGCTATTGAGATGAATAAACAAAAAAAATTGAAATATTATTGAGTAGGTATGTAAATGATTTAAATCAATAAATTAATGAGAAATGTCAAGGTGTTTCGGCAATAATACGAACACCTGCGCTATTTTTCTATTAAGATTTATTCAAGGATTGTTTACCTCAACTATCTAAATCTTTATATTTGTTTTTTATTGCACGATTTCTAAATCTTATTTGTGCAAAAAAAAACCTCAACATTAAATGAAAATATGCAATTGCAATGAATTTTTTTGTTAAATATGAAAAAAAATATGTGGGTAGTCGCTGCATTTTACCTCATATTTATTTCGTGTAATAGGTACGTTATTAATACAATAAAAAATAAAAAACGTGTGTGTACTTATGTACACGCGTTAGAAGTTATACTTCTTTGGCGTAATAAGATAAAAAAAAATAATCTACGTTTGTGGAAAAAACGATAATAACAATAGAAAAAACTAAAATATTGACTATAGCTAACTTCAGGGTGTCGGTTTTTGTGACGGTGTGCGGGCGCGTAAAAATTTTCTGTAATCATTTTTCCCTAACGCGCCAAAAGAAGTATAACTTCAAAAATATCCCGACCACAAATTATTTAACACAGAGATGAAGCGATAAACGGTCAATTCCGAGAATTAACAAAGGCGCGTGTTTTAGCTATCTAAAATGAGATTAAAGGTCACTGAGATTGTGTAAATTTGACCCGACACCCGGACACCACTAAGATAATATTTAAATACCTAACGCTTACAGTAACATTAATTTGTTTCATTCATTTAATAGCGTTATTTTTATGCATGACAAAGGATAACAATAAAGTATTGTTTCTAACTAAAATATTAAATCTAGTAGCAGTATATCAAATTAATATACTCTTCTGTTTCGTGAGTAAACCTTCAAGTTAATTGCATTCCGCGGTGAGACCCCTCTCACCGGCTCTAGTACAATGTGCAGTAAATTGCATCGCGAGGACGAAAATCCTTAGTAATTTACTATTAACTGCCTTTGTCAATGTCCACGGTGGTCTAAATAAATAAAAAAACTGTGTAAAGGATGTGTCTCCTGATTTTAGTTGATTGATTTTAGTTAAGATTTGTAACATAGAACGAAGGTATAGGAACGGATAACGGTTCCATCGTGTTTGTAGAGGCTGTGCGCGTGTGCGTGTCAGACTCACACTTATAAACAGTAATCACACAGGCACGAATACAAGCATAAAACGCTCACTGTAGCAGGGCCGTTGAACCGATTACCCGAGGAATTTCTCCACAACGTGCAACGTTGCGCACCGTCTCTATCGTGGATGTAGAAGAAAATGTTAAGAAAGAGAGATCCAACATCGGAAAAGTGTCATAAATTTTACGCATACAGGGTGATAAAGTTCTTAACGAAGCCATCTCAGCTCAGAAGGATGTGATCTTTAATCAATGTTTAGATATATACCGTCATATAGACAGTATTAACAGCATCACCTAAATTACAATATAATAATAAATACAAAACGTATTGGTTTCTCTCCATAAGAGATAATTTAGTTGATGATCGCAAAGCTGTTATTAAATAATTAGAATGGTCTCGCAAATCTGAAGACTCGGTAAAAGTAAAGTGCTATCAATAAGTTGCATAAGTGAGCGTTCTCTTTCAGAGTTTCGACATTTACCTGCGCGTGAATTGCACATTGGCTGTTGCACAAACATCCGCTTCAAACCTCGGCTTAGATGACAATCAACATTTTGTTATGAGAATTTTAATTATGACATTTTTAATTGAATACTTTAAACTATGGGCTTCGGTGGCGGCGTTATTTCGTGAACATTCTTAACTTACTTGAAACATATACTGTTCCTAAAAATATTGCCTTTTCTAAATATACTTGAACATGCAACTTAATAATAAAATCTATTAAGCTGCCCCCCAAGACTAGATCACATGAGATTTATTTAGAAAAACGGGCCTTCAGTATCAAATCGGGCGGGCAAGTGAACGCAGCGACCTTGGGTCCGTGCCGCCTCGCGGACGTTCGTTGAACCAAGCTCTGCGCCCGCGCACCCCGCACAACCCGTTCTGCTATGATTATGAGTAATTTCCCTAAATTATATTTACACAAAAACAACGTATATACGACGTAATTTTAATATTACGCTTGAACTCTTTCATTACCTTGATTTTAATAATGAAAGTATTATGTAGATTTGGGATACCGTAACTTTTGTTTACATAATAAATTTGTGTAGTATTCATAAATTTCGAGATTAATATTTGTTAGAAATTATTTATTACATCTTTAGGTCAAAAATAATTGACTCGCAAAGTTAATCTTTTTATTTTGTATGTCACATGTCAAATAATACAAAGACAATATAGAATAAAAATGTCGATAGCATCGTGCCAGCAGTTATCAGCTACCAACTATATTTAATTCAATCTTTATATATAATCTTTAAAACTTAAACTAGACTTAAGAATTGCTGTAGACGAATTCAGTACCTAGACAGGAACAATGACCGCCTTATTACAAAGCATTAATATCACGCCGCTAAGTTTTTTGGCAAACACTCCCAGCAGTACGGTATGGCTTATAATACTAAATTTGCTGATAAAATAAAATTACTCATAAAATAGTAATCATCCGGGATAAAAACGTTTTCTTCAATTATTACACCTACAGTTTTGCTGTGGTATTAGTTTTCCTGACGTTTTTCTGTTGTTTGCATTGCCACAGGATACGTTGGATTTTCCTCATTGAAACGGTGACTCGTATCGCCAGTGAACACGTTTAAGACATTATTTATTGCGTCTTCATATACGAAACAGGTTGCATGCTATTTAAAGCTGTAATATTGTGGAATTAAAACCCCCTCTAATCATTTACATTCCTAGATGCGGAGAAACTGGCCTTCGTTTCAATCATCGCACACGCAGACCAATAAATCTTACACAATTACGAGATTAAACTACCCAAATGTGTTGTCATGCGCAATGAAATCAGAACGAGAAAATCGCATATCGTAAAAACTATTTTTTATGATGACAATAGTAAATATAAATTAGTATTATATCGGCGGATACGCATGTTTTGATTCAATTGTAACCAGCGCTAATGACTTGTATTGCGCAGGTGACGACAGATGTTTGCGATCTCTCCAACAAGTAGGCACTTTCTCCGAGTGCACTTCATTTGTGAGCTCAAGTCACGGTGCATTAGAAGCCAATTTGAAAACGTCATTTACGAATGTAACTATGTATGTTATTTGAATTGTACTAGAAGGTAACCGAGTGATGAAATATTATATCTTTGTTTAAATAACGAGATTGTCAACTGAACTTTAACTATATCGGTCAACTAGGAGCGTGAAAATTCAATTATAGTAGAGATTGCGTCGAACGGGGAAATTCAGCGTTGAAAACTGAATTAATTTTCAGCTACCTGGACTGCGAGTAGTTACGAAAAACCAAAAACTTTTTACTGTGTACTTAATGGATTTGGAATTACATATATTTCCAAAATTCCTTTTTGCACAATTGCGTAGTTACGAATCGGTTTATTAAGATAACTTCATTTTACCTATACTTACCTACATACCTACTTCTAAAATAAAGAAAAGAGATTGTTTTGTAACTAGTGACTAGCATATCTATGGAAGAAAATTACAAACCAGAAAAGCATTTCTATGTAATATACGGATCATTCGTCATTTTATATACATATG